AAGCACATTTGTGGTCTTCTTCTTTCTTCTTCTTCTTCGGCGATCCCTCGCTTTCCAAGGATGATTGTCTTCCAGTGTTCTTGTGGGTCCGTATGTGGCTGTGGAGCCCTAGTCTTGCTCTGCATCTTCTTCTGCAGTGAGGGCATTGGTTTCCAGGTGGAAGGCAGTCTCGGTCGGGGTTGGCTTGACGCGCCTTCCTCTTGGCACGCTTCTCCCTTTCACCCTCCATTCGTGCCTCCTCAAATTCTGCAGCACTGCTGGTCACAGCTGACCTCCAGCAGGAGCGGTCAAGGGCCAGGGCTTCCCAGTTCTCAGTGTCTATGCCAGAGTTTTTAAGGTTGGCTTTGAGCCCATCTTTAAATCTCTTTTCCTGTCCACCAACATTCCTGTTTTCCGTTCTTGAGTTCGGAGTAGAGCAACTGCTTTGGAGACGGTGGTCGGGCATCCGGACAACGTGGCTGGTCCAGCGGAGTTGATGGCAGAGGACCATCGCTTCAATGCTGGTGGTCTTTGCTTCTTCCAGCACGCTGACATTTGTCCGCTTGTCTTCCCAAGAGATTTGCAGGATTTTCGGAGGCAGCGCTGATGGAATCGTTCCAGGAGTTGCATGTGACTCTGTAGACAGTCCACGTCTCACAGGCATATAGCAGGGTTGGGAGGACAATAGCTTTATAAACAAGCACCTTGGTATCCCTACGGATGTCCCGGTCCTCAAACACTCTCTGCTTCATTCAGAAAAATGCTGCACTCGCAGAGCTCAGGCAGTGTTGTATTTCGGTGTCAATGTTGACTTTGGTGGAGAGGTGGCTGCCAAGGTAGCAGAAATGATCAACATTTTCTAATGTTACACTATTAAGCTGTATTTCTGGCATTGGGGAGGGATTGGCTGGTGACTGCTGGAAGAGCACTTGGTTTTTTCAATGTTCAATGACAGGCCGAGCTTCTCATATGCTTCTGCGAAGGTGTTTAGAGTGGCTTGTAGATCTTCTTCTGAATGCGAACAGATGACGTTGTCATCAGCATATTGGAGTTCTATAACAGATGTTGTTGTAACCTTGGTTTTGGCTTTCAGTCTGCTGAGGTTGAATAGCTTGTCATCTGTGCGATAGATGATTTCCACTCCGGTAGGAAGCTTCCCGTCAGCAAAATGAAGTATCATAGCGATGAAGATGGAAAATAAGGTTGGGGCAATAACACATCCCTGTTTGACACCGGATTCCACTTTAAATGTGGTACAAACAGATGGACATCCATACAGTACTTTGACTTTCACAAGAAAGTGGAAAACCTCAATTATTTTTGAAAAATCTACCTTTTCTTGAAAGAATGAGTCTTTAGGAATTTCTAGGTCTTCTGCAAACTGAATAGCACTGGAAGGCTTACAGTTTCCTACAAAGGTGTTCTCTCCAGAAATTTCTAGCTCCTCCAGCATGACTGGAGGAAGTTGGCCATAAAGTCCCTCTGGAAGGTGTAGAGAATCAGAATCATAGAATCAAAGAGTTGGAAGAGACCTCATGGGCCATCCAGTCCAACCCCCTGCCAAGAAGCAGGAATATTGCATTCAAATCACCCCTGACAAATGGCCATCCAGCCTCTGCTTAAAAGCTTCCAACGAAGGAGCCTCCACCACACTCCGGGGCAGAGAGTTCCACTGCTGAACGGCTCTCACAGTCAGGAAGTTCTTCCTAATGTTCAGATGGATATGAGATTGATATGAGAACATTTCCAATAAACAATCATATCCACAAAAGTTAAAACTGCAAACATGGGAGTCAGGACTGTATACTTGGGCTGTATATAGAAAAGTATGGCATCTACCCAGCATGGCATCTACATCTGTCCAGTAGAGGGCAGCAGCAGCATGCCAATCAACTCCTGGCTTGCAGGCACACAAGAACAATTAAAACAACAGCATCATTCATTATATCTTTATCATGCTTTCTTTCTATTTGTATTACACCAAACATATACGTCTGTGTGACCAATCCACTTTTGTATCACCCATCCCAGTCTTCTCAGTTGGTACTAACCAATGATTAGGGTCTGGAGAACAAGGGTCTGGAGAACAAGCCCTATGAGGAGCGGCTGGAAGAGCTGGGCCTGTTTAGCCTGCAGAAGAGAAAGCTGAGAGGAGACATGATAGCCATGTATAAATATGTGAGAGGAGGTCATAGGGAGACTAGGACGCAGAACAGTGGCTTCAAGGAGACTAGACGTAATGGAGCAATGGCTTCAAACTACAGGAAAGAGATTCCATCTGAACATGAGGAAGAACTTCCTAATTGTGAGAGCTGTTCAGCAGTGGAACTTTCTGCCATGGAGTGTGGTGGAGGCTTCTTCTTTGTAGGCTTTGAAACAGAGGATGGATGGCCATCTGTTGGGGATGCTTTGAATGTGATTTTCCTGCTTCTTGGCAGAATGGGGTTGGACTGGATTGCCCATGAGGTCTCTTCCAACTCTATGATTCTATGAACTCCTGGCCAGTGGGCAAAGAAAGAAGAAAGGAGGGAAAGAGAAAAGAAGAAAAAGAGAGGAATAAAAGAGAATGTTGTCTCTTTCAACAAGAAGGAGGGATAAAGAGAAGAGAAGGAGAAAGAGAAGGAGAGAGAAAAAGGGAAGGAGGGCAAAAAGGAAAGAAAAACTGTGTTGAAAGAGAGAAGGGGGAAGAGAGGAGAAAGAGAAGAAAAAGAAAGAAAGAGAACCCTCCGTTGAAAGAGAGAGGAAGGAGGGAACGGAAAAGGAAGGCAAGAAGAAAAGAGATCAAAGAGGAAGCAAAAGAGGGGGAAAGAGAGGCTCTTCTGGGAGAGGGCAAAGAAGGAAGGAAGGAGGGCAAGAGAGAAGAAGAAAAAGAGAGGAATAAAAGAGAGGGTCCTCTATTGAAAGAGAGAGAAAGGAGTTGAGGAGGAGAGAGGGAAGAAAAGAAGACAGAGAAGAAGGGAGGGAAGAAGAGAAAGGGCAGAAGAGAGGAAGGAGAAGAAAGAGGGCGAGGGGAAGAAATGAGGCCCCTGTGTCGGAAAAGAGAGGGAGGAGAGGGAAAGAAAGAGTGAAGAAGTGAAATAGGTGGGGGAAAGAGTCCTTTATGACCACCAGCTGTTGAATGAGAGAGGGAAGAAGAAGAAGAGAGAGAAGGGGGCAGGAAAGAAAGATGACCCTGTGTTAAAAGAGAAAGCGAGGAAGGAGGGGAGGAGGAGAAGAAGGAGGGACCCAAACAGAGGGCAGGAAGGAGGGGAAAAGAGAGGGACCCTTTGGAGAGAGAGGGAGGGAGAAAAGGAGGAGAGGGGAAGAGATAGAGGAAGGGAGAGAAAGAGAGAAGGAGGCAAAGAAAGAGAGAAGGAAAGAGAGGAGAACAGAGGGGCCCTTCGGAGAGAGCGGGGGAGGGAGAGAGAAGGAGAAGGAGAGAGGGAAGAGGAGAAGGAGAGGAAGGAGGGAAGAAAAGAGGGAAAGAAGAGAAGAGGAGGAGGAGAGGAAAGAGGGAAGAAAAGGGCAGAGAGAGAAGGGAGGAAAAGGGAAGAAGGAGTGAGAGAGGGAGGGAGGCGGAGGAGAGAAAGAAAGAGAGAGAAGGAAGGAGGGAAGAAGAAAAGGGCGAAGTGGGCAGGAAAGAAAGATGACCCTGTGTTAAAAGAGAAGGTGAGGAAGGAGGAGAAGAAGGAGGGACCCAAACAGAGGGCAGGAAGGAGGGAAAAAGAGAAGGACCCTTTGGAGAGAGACGGGGGGAGAAAAGGAGGAGAGGGGAAGAGATAGAGGAAGGGAGAGAAAGAGAGAAGGAGGCAAAGAAAGAGAGAAGGAAAGAGGAGAAGAGAGGGGCCCTTCGGAGAGAGCGGGAAAGAGAGAGAGAAGGAGAAAAGGAAAAAAGGAGGAGAGGGGAAGAGAGATAGAGGAAGGGGGAGAAAGAGAGAAGGAGGGAAGGAAAGTGTGAGCAGGGAGAAGGTGAGGAAAGAGGGAAGAAGGGAGTGAGAGAGGGAGGGAGGCGGAGGAGAGAAAGAAAGGGAGAGAAGGAAGGAAGGGAGGAAGGAAAGAAGAAGGGAGGGAGGGAAGCAAAGTGTGGGCAGAGAGAGGAAGGCAAGGAAAGAGGGAAGAAGGGAGTGAGAGAGGGAGGGAGGCAGAGGACAGAAAGAAAGGGAGGGAAGGAAGGAGGAAGAGGAGAGGAAGAAGGGAGGGAGGGAAGCAAAGTGTGGGCAGAGAGATGAAGACGAGGAAAGAGGGAAGAAAGGAGTGAGAGAGGGAGGAAGGCGGAGGAGAGAAAGAAAGGGAAGAGAAGGAAGGAGGGAGGGAAGAAGAAGCAGCAGAAGAGGGCGAAGTGGGCAGGAAAGAAAGATGACCCTGTGTTAAAAGAGAAAGCGAGGAAGGAGGGGAGGAGGAGAAGAAGGAGGGACCCAAACAGAGGGCAGGAAGGAGGGGAAAAGAGAGGGACCCTTCGGGGACAGAGGGAAACGGGGAGAAAAGGAGGAGAGGGGAAGAGAAGAGGAAGAGGAGAAAGAGAGAAGGAGGGTAGAAGGGAATGGTGTGAGGGAGAGAAGGAGGAGAGGGAAGAAGGAGAGAGGGAGGGAGGGAGGAAGGAAAGGAAAGGGTAGAAAGGAAGGAAGGAAGGAAGGAAGGAAGGAAGGAAGGAAGGAAAGGAAGGGAAGGGAGGAGGGAGGAGGGAGGGAGGAGGGAAGGGGAAGGAAGGAGAGATCGGAAGAGCACACGTGGGGAGGGGGGAAGGAAGGAAGAAGGGAAGGAAGGAAGGAAGAAGGAAGAGAAGGGAGGGAGGGAGGGAGGGAGGAAGGAAGGAAGGAGGAAGGAAGGAAGGAAGGAAGGAAGGAAGGAAGGAAGGAAGGAAGGAAGGAAGGAAGGAAGGAGAGAGAAGGAAGGGAGACTCCCGGAACCTTCTCTTCCCTTCATCTGCGGGGGCGGGACCCCTTCCTTTTTTCCCTCCTTCCCCCTCCTTCCTTCCCTCCTTCTTTGCCTCCTTCTTTCCCTCCTTCTTCCCTTCTTTCTTTCCTTCCTTCCTTCTTCCCCATCCATCCCTCCCTTTAAGCCCCGTCCGCTCTGCCCTGAAGAGTGGGGATGTCGGGGGTCTTGGGGGTCCAGGGGTCCCCCCTGTCCTTCCTCCTCCTCTTCCTCTTCCTCCTCTTCCTCGTCCCTGGACCCACCGCCCACCAAGACCCGCCTCTCCTGCACTACTACGCTGACAACGGTGAGCAAAGCCACTACAACTCCCATCCTCCCCTGCACTGGGTCCTGGGCTGGGGGCTCGTGTGGGGGGGCTTTGTGGTCCCTTCCCATCTTAGTTCCCATTCAGGTTTCCTCCTCGTTGGAACTTTGTGACTGATGGGCATCCTACTCCAAAGACATCTTCATCACACTAGAGGAAAAAAAATCCACTTAAAATCCTGTTTCTGCCTCCTGCAGAATTCTGGGGTTTGTAGTTTAGTGAGGCTGTTAAAGGCTACCCCCCTAAACTACAATTCCCAAAATTCTACAAGTGGATTTTTCCCCTAGTGTGATGAGGCTCTAAGTAGCAAGGAAAGGGTGTGAGGTCAACTACAATCTCCATCCTCCCCTGGTATGGGATCCTGTGCTGGCTGGGGATGATGGGTATTGCAGTCCAAACAGAATCACGGGATTCTCTTCCAATTCCTTGGGAGGTAAGGCAAAAGGCATGGGGTCAACTACAACTTCCACCCTATCCGATTAATGTCTGTCTGGGGACTGATGGGTTTTGTAGTCCAATTGTCTCTGTGGTGCATAGGGGTGGCTCTATTCTCATTTCTGGGGCCAAGGAACCAAAAAGGAAGTAAGAGGTTAACTACAACTTCCATCCCCTCCTGGATCTCAACTAGTTGTGCTGGGGGGTGATGGGTATTGCAGTCCAAACAGCATTATGGGGCGGCAAAGGAAAGGGCAGGAGATCAACTACAACTCCCATCCTCCCTGGTAAATAACCTTGTCTAACTGGGGGATGATGAGCTTTGTAGTCCAACTGTCTTTATGACTGTTCTTTTCTGAGGGCCAAGGAAGCAAAAAGCAATGAAGAGGACAGATGGTTGACTACAACTCCCATCCTCTCCTGGATCTCAACTTGTCTGTGTTTAGGGCTGATGGGTATTGCAGTCCAAACAGCATTATGGGATTCTCTTCCCATTTTGGGGGTGGCAAAGCAAAGGGCAGGATATCAACTACAACTCCCATCCTCCCTGGTAAATAACTTTGGGATGATGGGCTTTGTAGTCCAACTGTCTCTATGGCACTTAGGGGTGACTCTGCTTTGGGATGATGGGCTTTGTAGTCCAGCTGTCTCTATGGCACTTAGGGGTGACTCTGTTATCATTTCTGAGGGCCAAGGAAGCAAAAGGCAATGAAGAGAACAGACAGTTGACTACAACTCCCATCCTCTTCTGTATCTCAACTTGGCTATGTTTGTGCTGATTGATATTGTAGTCCAAAGATCTCAGACGTACATGGAGGTGACCCCCTTCATGTTTTTAGAGAGCAAGAGGCCACAAAGAAGGGGTCGGAGGTGGACTACAACTCCCATCACCCCCTGGCAAAGAATCCCAGGTTGGCATGGTGGCTAGTAGATGCATTGCAATCCAATGAGCTCCACTACAATCCAAGTAATGAAGAAGTGGTGGGTAGAAGGTAGACTACAATTCCCATCATCCCCTGGAAAAGGATCCCAGGTTGGCATGGTGGCTAGTGGATGCATTGCAATCCAATGAGCTCTACTACAATCCAAGTAACGAAGAGGTAGTGAGTAGAGGGTAGACTACAACTCCCATCATCCCCTGGCACAGGATCACAGGTAGGTGTGGTGGCTAGTGGATGCATTGCAATCCAATGAGCCCCACTACAATCCAAGTAATGAAGAAGTGGTGGGTATAGGGTAGACTACAACTCCCATCATCCCCTGTCAAAGGATCCCAGGTTAGTATGGTGGCTAGTGGATGCATAGCAATCCAAGGAGCTCCACTACAATCCAAGTAATGAAGAAGTGGTAGGTAGAGGGTGGACTACAACTCCCATCATCCCCTGTCAAAGGATCCCAGGTTGGCATGGTGGCTAGTGGATGCATTGCAGACTGGTAAAGTAATAAAGAAGTGGTGGGTAGAGGGTAGACTACAATTCCCATCATCCCCTGTCAAAGGATCCCAGGTTGGCATCGTGGCTAGTGGATGCATTGCAGATTGGTAAAGTAATAAAGAGGTGGTGAGTAGAGGGTAGACTACAACTCCCATCACTCCATGGCATAGGATACTGGACTTGTGCTGATGGGCATTGTAGTCCAAAAGTCTCTGAAGATCAAGAAGCACAAAACAAGGAAAGAGTGGTTCCCACTACAACTCCCATCTTTGAAGTACAGCTCCCAAGCCCGGGGATGATGGGATCTGGCATGAGATTTGAGTGCAGAAACTTCTGTGGGGATGCATGAGATCCCACCAACTTTGAGCCCTTTTTTTTCTTAAGGAAAGAATTCCGGAACAAGTTTCCAGTGCTATAAAAATAGTATTTATCTGATTTGGCCCCGTTGGTTTCGGTATGATGTTCACACACATCCAGGGCTTTGTTGTGATGTGTTGTAATGATGTCAAGAGGACAACATATGTTTCCATTATGTTTAACTTCCCAAAGAAATCAAAGCGCTCGAAGAAAAAGACACATCCTGGCCTTAATTGCATTGGTTCTGATGGCTTGCTCCTGGGCTGCAAGAATCAGGCTTTCTTCTGTCTCCTTCTTCGGGGTTCCATTCATGAGCCATCACCAAGTCTTCTCCTTATCAACTTTTCCTTCAATTTTGTCAAGGAACTGCCCATGCAATGCTTTGTTGTGCCAGCTGTCAGCTCTGGTTTGCAGCTCTGGAGTGCAGTTTTCTTGTACTGACTCTTTGTCTGCTGTGCTTTGAGAAGTTTCCGATTATTGACTTCAATCAAAGCAGGTTCTTGGCTTTCCTTGACATCTTCTGCCAGGGTATCGTGTTTTTCTTCTTCAACTGCTTGTTTTCCTTGTAAGAGTCCTCTGCCACCAGACTTTCTAGGCAGATAGAGCCGGTCAACATCACTGCGAGGATGCAGTGAATGATAAATGGTCATGAGTCTATTGTCGAAGGCTTTCATGGCTGGAATCACTAGGTTCTTGTGGGTTTTTTCGGGCTATGGGGCCATGTTCTAGAGGCATTTCTCCTGACGTTTCGCCTGCATCTATGGCAAGCATCCTCAGAGGTAGTGAGGTCTGTTGGAAATAGGACAGTGGGTTTATATATCTGTGGAATGGCTGGGGTGGGGCAAGGAGCTCTTCCCTGCTGGAGCTAGGTGTGAATGTTTCAACTGACCACCTTCATTAGCATTTGAAGGCCTGGCTGAGCCTGGGAAAATCTTTTGTTGAGAGGTGTTAAGATGTGCCTGGTTGTTTCCTCTCTGCTGTTTTGCTGTTGTAATTTTAGAGTTTTTTAATACTGGTAGCCAGATTTTGTTCATTTTCATGGTTTCTTCCTTTCTGTTGAAATTGTCCACATGCTTGTGGATTTCAATGGCTTCTCTGTGAAGTCTGACATGGTGGTTGTGAGAGTGGTCCAGCATTTCTGTGTTCTCAAATAATATGCTGTGTCCAGGCTGGTTCATCAGGTGCTCTGCTATGGGTGACTTCTCTGGTTGAAGTCGTCTGCAGTGCCTTTCATGTTCCTTGATTCGTGTTTGGGCAATGCTGCTGCGTTTGGTGGTCCCTATGTAGACTTGTCCACAGCTGCATGGTATACGGTAGACTCCTGCAGAGGTGAGAGGATCCCTCTTGTCCTTTGCTGAACGTAGCATTTGTTGGATTTTCTTGGTGGGTTTGTAGATTGTTTGTATGTTGGGTTTCCTCATCAGCTTCCCTCTGCGGTCAGTGGTTCCCTTGATGTCTGGCAGGAACACTTGTCCTCTTGCTCCACCCCAGCCATTCCACAGATATATAAACCCATTTTCCTATTTCCAACAGACCTCACTACCTCTGAGGATGCTTGCCATGGATGCAGGCGAAACGTCAGGAGAAATGCCTCTAGAACTTGGCCCTATAGCCCGAAAAAACCCACAAGAACCTGGTCATGAGTCTTCTTGTTTTTCTGTCCAAATTGTCCAGTTCTGCCTGCGTCCAGTTTATGATGCCAGCAGTGTATCTTATGACAGGTATGGCCCAGGCGTTGATGGCCTTGATGGTCTTGCCTCCATTGAGCTTGCTTTGGAGAATTTTCTGACCCTTTGAATGTATAATAATAATAATAATAATACTTTGATTCTAAGAGGACATTGATTATAAGATGCACACTATTTTTTCTATTGGTGGTACTGAATTTAATGTGCCTCTTACTACCGATGACCCTTTAGAATAGAAGAAATATGGTATTATTATTAATATTATTATTGTCGAAGGCTTTCATGTCCAGAATCACTGGGTTGTTGTAGGCTTTTTCGGGCTATATGGCCATATTCTAGAGGCATTTTCTCCTGAATATGGCATTATTATTAATATTATTATTGTCGAAGGCTTTCATGGCGGAATCACTGGGTTCTTGTGGGTTTTTTCGGGCTATGGGGCCATGTTCTAGAGGCATTTCTCCTGACGTTTCGCCTGCATCTATGGCAAGCATCCTCAGAGGTAGTGAGGTCTGTTGGAACTAGGAAGGGGGTTTATATATCTGTGGAATGACCAAGGGTGGGAGAAAGAACTCTTGTCTGTGGAGCTAGGTGTGAATGTTTCAACTGACCACCTTGATTAGCATTTGATTGCCTGGCAGTGCCTGGAGCAATCTTTGTTGAGAGGTGATTAGATGTGCCTGATTGTTTCCTCTCTGTTGTTTTGCTGTTGTAATTTTAGAGTTTTTTTAATACTGGTAGCCAGATTTTGTTCATTTTCATGGTTTCCTCCTTTCTGTTGACATTGTCCACATGCTTCTTGTGGATTTCAATGGCTTCTCTGTGTAGTCTGACATGGTGGTTGTTGGAGTGGTCGAGCATTTCTGTGATCTCAAATAAGATGCTGTGTCCAGGTTGGTTCATCGTGTGCTCTGCCGTGGCTGATTTCTCTGGTTGAAGTACCTTGCAGTGCCTTTCATGTTCCTTGATTCGTGTTTGGGCAATGCTGCGTTTGGTGGATGGTATACAGCTGGATGGTATACAGTAGACTCCTGCAGAAGTGAGAGGATCCCTCTTGTCCTTTGCTGAACGTATTATCTATATATATAAATCTGTAAGGGGCATTCAATGAGACAGCAAAACTAAAAAAAAACCCCAACGAAAATTAACCAAAATTCCCATGCACATACCTCAACCCACAAGGTACAAACAAATCGAAACAAAATAAAAAACAACACAACAAGCTGCTGGGATTTATAGTTTACCTATAATCAAAGCATTCTGAACACCACCAATTTATTTATTTTATTTTATTTGCTTTATTTTTATACCGCATTTTTCAGCCTAATTCGGCGACTCAATGCGGTTTACAATGCAATTTATATAACAATAACAATTAGTTACAAACACAACATACTCGACAGACAATACAAGACAAACAACATAGTCATCAACGCCTCAGTAAAAATCAGATTCCGTTCTCATATTCCTTCTACCATTCCTTTGTTCATTTATACCGTCTTCAAGAGTTCAGTTGCCTTGTTGACCGAACGCCTGTTCATAGAGCCACGTCTTGACCTTCCTCCGGAACTCCAGCAACGAAGGGGCCTGCCTGATGTCTACGGGTAGGGCATTCCATAGCCGAGGGGCCACCACCGAGAAGGCCCTGTCCCTCGTCCCCGCCAGCCGCGCCTGCGACGCAGGCGGGACCGAGAGCAGGGCGGAATTAAACTAACGACAGAATTAAACTAAACGTGGCACACAGGACTCCCATGACCTAACAGAAAGCACGAAAAGGGTTGGATAAGCAATGGGAAGGAAGAAAGGAAGGAGGGAAGGCAGGAAAGAAAGAGGTACCGAAGGAAGGAAGAAGAGAAAGTAGAAAGGAAAGAAAAATAAAAGGAAGGAAAGGCAGGAAAGAGGTAAAGAAGGAAGGAGAAAAGGAAATAAAAAATGAAAGAAGGAAGGAAACATGGAGGAAGAAAGGAGGCAAAGGAAGAAAGGGGGAGGGAATGAGGGAAAGAAAGAAAGAAAGAAAGAAAGAAAGAAAGAAAGAGGTAGAGAAGGAAGAAAGGAGAGAAAGGGGGAGAAAAAGGGGGAAGGAATAGGTAGGTACCTCTCTTTCATAATACTCCAGATATCTACCTCTACTTTGAAAAGATTTACTATAGGCCACAGCAACGCGTGGCAGGGTACAGCTAGATAATAATAATAATAATAATAATAATAATAATAATAATAATAATAATAATAATGCAAAGGCCAATTGGAGACAGGCAGGTGGCCCTGGGGTTCATGCTTCTCCTCCGATGTTCCCTCTGTCTCAAGCAGAAGGCTTTCTATGAACCGCAAAGCCACTTCTGGCTGGGCCCTTTTCCCAGAAAGGCAATGCTACTTAATGAAGTCCAGCTGGTGTTGCTCCAATGTTTGGGGGAAGCCAGGAAAGGGAGGGAGGGAGGGGTGGAGGGTGGGAGCCGGTGTCCCTTTGACAACTCACTCTCCGCCTTGGAGAGGTTTGGAGAAGCAGCAGCTGGAATCAAAGCAGGGCCATTGGTGCTGCCTCTCCCAACCTTTGGTGTCCTTAGGAAAGTCCTCATTTTGTGCTTTGACCCCCAGCATCCCTTGCCCTGTGTTGATTAATACGTTTGCCAGCTCTCTGGTGGAAGTCAAGCTGCCCATTTTCCAGGTTTGGGGAGCTCAGCTCCAAGCATAAGGAAAGACTGTGGTTGTTGCCTTGTGCCTTGTTCAAGCCATTATTTCTCCAGAATGACCCCAGAATGGGGCTGAGAGGGTGGGACTTGCCCAAAGCCATCAAGGGGTTTCCATGGCCAAGTGGGGAATCAAACCCTCATCTGCAGTGTTGCATTTCAGCACTCAACACCAGTGACCATTTGGGAATAATTTCCAATGCAGTGGGAAACTCCAGAACCACAAAACACAGATCTGCAGTTTCAAGTCTGCATTGTTCACTTACCAGCACCCTGGCAATTATGTGACATGCTTCCCCCAGGAGTTCCCATAGAATTGATAGATAGATGGGTGGGTGGGTGGGTGGGTGAATGATAGATTGGTGGTTAGATAAATAGATAGATTAATAGATTGATGGATTGATAGATCAATAGATTGGTGGATAGATGATAGATGGATGGATAGATAGATAGATAGATAGATAGATAGTAGATTGATGGAGAGATAATGGATGGATGGATGGATAGATGATAGATTGGTAGATTGATGAATGGCTAGATAGATAGATGGCAGATTGGTAAATAAATCAATGATAAATTGGTGGATAGACAGATAGATAGATGATAGATGATAGATTGGTGGATGGATGGATGGATGGATAGATGATAGATTGGTGGATGGATGAATGGCTAGATAGATAGATGGCAGATTGGTAAATAGATCAATGATAAATTGGTGGATAGACAGATAGATAGATGATAGATTGGTGGATGGATGGATAGATGATAGATTGGTGGATGGATGGATAGATAGATGATAAATTGGTAGATGGATGAATGGCTAGGTAGATAGATAGATAGATAGATAGATAGATAGATAGATAGATGGCAGATTGGTAAATAGATCGATGATAAATTGGTGGATAGACAAAGATGATAGATTGGTGGATGGATGGATTGATAATAGATGGATAATAGATGGATGGATGGATGGATGGATGGATGGATGGATGGATGGATGGATGGATGGAGACAAGCAGACAGATGATAGATTGGTGGATGGATAGATAGATGGACAGATAGATAGATGGAGGGGGGATAGAGATGATAGATTGGTGGTAGACAGATAGATGATAGATTGGTGGATGGATGGATAGATAGATAGATAGATAGATAGATAGATAGATAGATAGCAGATTGGTAAATAGATCGATGATTGATTGATAGACAGATAGATGATAGATTGGTGGATAGATAGATAGATAGATAGATAGATAGATAGATAGATAGATAGATAGACAGACAGACAGACAGACAGACAGATAGTAGATAGATAGATAGATAGATAGATAGATAGATAGATAGATAAAGATGGACAGATGATAGATTTGTGGATGGATAGATAGATGGGCAGATAGATGGCGAGAGAGAGAGATGATAGATTGGTGGATAGAAAGATAGATGATAGATTGGTGGATGGATGGATGGATGTATAGATAGATAGATAGATAGATAGATAGATAGATAGATAGATAATAGATGGATTGATAGATGGAAACAGATGAACAGATGATAGATTGTTGGATGGATAGATAGATGGGAAGAGAGAGAGAGAGAGAGAGATATGATAGATTGGTGGATAGATAGACAAATGATAGATAACTAGACAGACATAGAATCATAAATTCATAGAGTTGGAAGAGACCCCGTGGGCCATCTCGACCAACCCCCTGCCATGCAGGAAGAGCATAATCAAAGTATACCTGACAGATGGCCATCCAGCCCCTGTTTAAAAGCTTTCACCATACCCTGAGGCAGAGACAGATGGATAGAGAGATGATAATGGCTAGATAGGCATTTGGATGGATGGATGGATGGATGGAGAGGGGCGGGACTCATTTGAACCTCTCGTCCTTTTTGGACTGAAATGACCAGCATTCCTTCAAATAGTCCTTGCTGATTCCCACCTCTAGTGTCAGCATTGCTTGTGGCATCTCCCAGATTCTCAAGCTTTTTTTGGAAAAATTGAGAGATATATAAACAAACCTTTTATTTGGAGGCCAGAATCATATGGTGCCTTCAGATCTGGTTGAACTTCAGAGTAGGTCAGCAGTGGAACTCTTTGCCCCTGAATGTGGTGGAGGCTCCTTCTTTGAAGGCTGGATGTCCATCTGTGGGAAGTGCTTTGAATGTGATTTTCCTGCTTCTTGGCAGAATAGGGTTGAACTGGATGACCCACCAGTTCTCTTCCACCTCTTGGATTCTATGATTTGCTGGAATCTCTCAACATTGGCTGGGGATGCTGGGAGTCCCAATCCAAATACATCAGGGAAGTTGTGCTTTATTAGAAGATGCTAGTTGGACAAGGGAAAGTATGCCTTTGAAAGATGCCCAGGCCCCCTTCTCCATAAGGGTTTGTGGTGTTTCTCAGTCACAGGTCAAAAAGTAGTCAAAAGAAGGCAAGCGAAACAGTCCTCAGGCATCATTCCAAGTCTGGATGAGTCTCAAGGGAGCACTTAACACATTTCTACTTTGAGCATAGCATGTCCTCAACAGCTGTTGGAAGAACTTTTGGTGAGATTCCACCTACATATTAGGAAGAACTTCCTGACAGTTTGAGCTGTTCAGCAATGGAATGTGCTTCTGCCTGGGAGCCTGGTGGGGTCTCCTCTGGGTGTAATCAAGCAGAGTCTGGATTGCCTTTTGTTGGGAAGGCTTGGATCGCGTCTTCCTTTGTGGCAGAAGGGGTTGGACTGAATTGTCAACAGGATTCATTGATCCTATAGTGCGGACCCTCTTGGGCCTAACCTCTCCCTTCTCCTTGTCTTCCTTCCTTCCAGTCCTTGACCTTCTGGAGGCGCTGAACATCACCCGCTCGGTGCTGGGGGTCACCAAGGCCAAGGGCCCCGATCCAGGTGTGCCGGCCTGGAAGTTCCGCCCCCGGGTTCCTCACCTGACGTTGCCCTGGGATTACTCGGTCTACTTGCTCTCCACGGTGCAAGGGGCCTTGGGCTTCCACTTTGTGGCCCGACAGAGCCGGGGCTCCGAGGGGACCCTCATCTCCCTGGTCTCACCGGCCGCCCTCAAGCGAGATGGACACCCACTCTTGCAGTTGGTCTCCAACACCCGTGCTGACCACCTGCGGCTGGACTACCGCGCCGTCCACAACATGGAGCCTGCCCGGCTGGTTTTCCCTACGGGCAACCCCTTTGCCCACAGCCGCTGGGTCCGGCTGGCCCTCAACCTGGAGCCGCTGCGCATCACGCTCTTTGTGGATTGCCAGGAGCCCTTCGTCTTCGGGAAAAGCAGCGGGGAGGAGGTGCTGAGCCTGATCCTACCCCTGGATCTCCAGATCACCTTCGCCAGCATCTTGGGGGACAAGACCAGCAAGTTCCTGGTAAGACTTAGGGCACTTCCAGACAGCACAAAAATGCGGGTTTTTAAGAGAGGACAAAAAAAAACCTGGGACCTGAGAACATGTTCCCACACAGACCTGTAGGTCCGGGGATTTCTTTCAAGTGGTGTCTGACTCTGGGGGGTGGTGCTCATCTCCATTTCTAAGCCGAAGAGCCGGCGTTGTCCATAGACACCTCCATGGTGATGTGGCCAGCATGACTGTATGGAGTGCCATTACCTTCCCTATTGATCTACTCACATTTGCATGTTTTTGAACTGCTAGGTTGGCAGAAGCTGGAGCTGACAGCGGAAGTTTACGCCGCTCCCTGGATTTGAACCTGCAACCTTTCGGTCAACAAGTTCAGCAGCTCAGCGGTTTAAACCACTGCACCACTGGGGGCCCCTATAATAATAATAATACACTTTATTTATATTCCACTCTATTTCCCCGAGGGGACTCAAAGACTAGGTACATAAATCCCAGGCAGGCAAAACCATGCCTCATGAAATCAGAACACAGAAATAGCTTGGCACTTGATTTCATGAATTTCACAGCCATTGACACCAAGAAGTCAGTGCCTGAATACAGCATTGCTCTCACAACAATTGTATCAACATGAACCACTTTTAAAAGCCAAAAATCCCTCCCATGACATCACTTCATTTGCACCTGGTCTCCTTATCTCTGAGCCGCTTGGAGAAGCGAGTCTTAACTTCCAGCCCTCTTGTCTTAGCTCTCATCTTTCCGACCATGACGAACATTCATCTTCCCCTATTTCTCCTGAACTGCACTTCTAGCAGGTTCCCATGGGAACAGCCTTCACTGTTCTCCAGGAAAAAGTCAGGAAATTTCTGCCAGGAGATTCCAAAACATTTGTCTCTGAAACCCCTGAATCTTTCCCAGCATCCCCTGTCTCATCTTCTGAACACTCAGAATCTGACCAGGCCACAACACATAGAATCCTAGAGTTGGTATTTAGTATTTATATTCCACCCTTCCCACCCCGCAGGGGACTCAGGGCGAATTACAATGCACATATACATGGCAAACATTCAATGCCAGTTAGACATACAACATATATAGACCGACACAGAGGCAATTTAACATTCAAGCTTTCCAGCTTCATGAGGGTATGCTCGATTCCGGCCACAGGAGGAGCTGTTGCTTCACTGTTCACTCCTTGATGGAGTACTTCCTCATTCTTACGCGCACTGCTGGAAGTTTTTATGGTGTTGCAAATTAGTATTTATTTATTGTGTCAGGCAACCAAACAGTCGTATTACATTTTTGACAGAACAAACAAACAAACATACAAAAGACACAGAGTTTGCAAACTTGGTAGTTGATTAAATGTCCTTTGACCAGTGTCTGGCCCCTTGGAGTGCTTCTGGTGTTGCTGCAAGAAGGTCCTCCATTGTGCATGTAGCAGGGCTCAGGGTGCATTGCAGCAGGTAGTCTGTAGTTTGCTCTTCACACTTGCATGTTGTGGATTCCATTTTGTAGCCCCATTTCTGAAGGTTGGTTCTGCATCTCGTGGTGCCAGAGTGCAGTCTGTTTAGCACCTTCCAAGTTGCCCAGTCTCTCATTGGGTATCAGCCATTGATTGAGGCTCTGGGTTTGAGCCTGCCACTTTTGGACTCTTGCTTGCTGAGGTGTTCTAGCGAGTGTAAATTAATTAAAATAGCCTTCTTGCATAAAGCAGTACCTAAATTCCCTACTTGACAGATGCAACTGTTTCTTGGGCTGCAAAGGTTGACAGCAAGCTAGACTAATGGCCGGAAACTCACTCCAACCCATGACCAATCGGTCAGTAGTGATTTAATGAAGCTGGCTCCTAGATAGCTGCGCCACAGCACGTAGTCCCAACTCTGTCACACCCTTAGGTTTTGTGTTTGTCTTTTTGTTTATTTCTTCTTCTCTGCCCCTCTGTCTTCCATACTTGTTTTCCCTTTTCCACTTCTGAAGGCAGCATCCTTTCTTCTTCAGGGCTACTGGCAGACAGCGGAGATTTCGCCCAGCGGCTTCCCACATCGTCCATGGCACTGTGACAACCTCCCAGGTAAGAGCTGGAGGATGGCGACAACACCAGGGTGCATCTACACTGTAGACCTAACACAGTTTGATACCACTTGAAGGCCATGGCAAATCTTCCTTGGATCAAAATCTTACCAAGAAAAACCCTTTCATTGGTTTGCCTTAGGGACAGGAACGCTTTGAAAGCACACAACAGCCAATTCTCCCAAAGTAACTTTGTTGAGCCATGCAACAGAGAGAAAGCTCATCCATTTAGAGGGGGATCAATCAATGGGGGAAATGTGGATCAAAGCAGTCCTCTGACTTTGGGAAAGTTTCTTCCATTCCGAGGCTGTGACATCCCTGGCAGAGAGCGAGCACAGCTGGACCAGATGTTCCTGTTATTGTGGGATCCATGGGCCTTGGAGGGGTTCCAGCTGGCACTTGGGAGGCGGCCGGCAGCCCACGTTGCCTTTCCCAAAGAGCACAAAGCAAGAGGAAAGCAAGAGAGGAGGTCAGCAGGGAGGCCAAACAGAAAGGGATATTGGCCTTTGATTCGGAGCCAGCCAAGGGCGGATCGAAGACTATTCCCTATGTCTTCTTTTCTGTTATCCAGACAGGCAAGGGATTTCCATTGTGAAAAGACTGCGTCCTGGATTCACGTTACATTGCACCTTCCTTGTTTCCTAACCTTTGCAGGCAATTTTGCTCTCTTTTTCAGTTACTTACTGAAACGAGGTGATCACTCATTGTCCGAGTAAGATTGTCCTTGTTCTGTCGCGCACTGGGTCTGAACAAATTGTCTTTATTCTATAGGACGTACACTTTAACCCAGTGGGAAGCCGGGGTGCCTCAAAGAGAGATTCTTAGGGAATTCCTGAAGTGATGGTCTTTGGAGTCTTTAATGGTACAACAAAGTCTTTATTAAGGAACAAATAACAAATCTTCAAACAACACTTCAAGGTTTTCTTATTCTAGTCTTTAAGAGACTGGCGCTGACTTGGATTAACTGTACTTTCTCAGCATGAGGAAGAACCCTTTATAATCTCTCCCAGGCTGACTGTTACCTGGGCCTTGCTGGTCTGGGTCTTACTACCGATCCCAAATACTTCTGGACATCGAGTAAACCTACCAGCCAAGGCTTGGAGATATTTCAGCTGGAATTCAGTGGTTCTGTAATGCTGTCCTGTGGGAACTTCAGGGCTGTTTTCCCCTCTGGTGCTGTGAGGCTGAGAGGCTGTGAGGCCTTTGGGATCCTTTCCTTCTGTTCCTGTTTCCCTGGATGGTCCCCGGATGGTCTTGAGGAATGAAGCTTTTCCTACAGGACGAGCTGTCTGCATCCTATAGACTAGTTTGTTGTGTGTGACTAACTGAAAATGGCTTCCTTCCCTTCTCAAAACCCAAAAGGGGGTGGAACTAAGGAACCTAATGTTGATGGACAGGTGGCCTGCCCTATAACTGCAAACTTTAACAGGAAGCCACCCTTCTGCAAAATCCCAAGCCTTGGGCAGCAAGCAAACACTTAATTCAAAGCAAATAAAGTGGGAGCTTCTGGTACAGCTGTAGCAGCACAGTCCTCCAAGTGCTGTGTCCTGGCGGTGGGTGCGTAGGTGGCTGTGGAGCCCTATTCTTGATCTGCATGTTCTCCTGCAGTGAGGGCATCGGTTTCCTGATCAGGATTGGCTTGACGCAGCTTCCTCTTAGCACATTTCTCTCTTTTGCTCTCCATTCATGCCTCTTCAAATTGTGCAGCACTGCTTCCATGAAAGAAGAGCAAGAACTTAGTAGGATTCTAAAACGATGCTTCGTCTGACTATATTTCCCATGCTTGGAACTTTATATCCCCCTGTTAAGCCATTCCAAGCACACAGAAATTGGTTTCCTTTTCCTTGAATGCATCTCATCCTTATCTGTCAAAGCCTGGCAGAATGCCGAAGGCCTTGGTCGAACTGTTTGTTTTGGCTAATTTCCAACCGCCTGTCTATATACTCACTAGTTTCTGCAGGTGCCGAGTTGTTTTCAAGCCCCAAATCCTGGGAACTCTCTGGGAGCAATTCAGGAAATAAGCTCTCATCCCTATACCCCGTAGGAACATTCTCATGAGAAACTACACTTTGAACCAGTGTCTCTCTGCATTGATATCATTGACCAAACCATTGCCATCTTGACCCTCATTGACATCATTCCCCGCATCCAAACACCTTGATCTTGAAACACAATCACAGGCTGAACTCCAACAAATGGTCTCTTCTCTTCAGGAAAGAGAAGGAGAATTCATTGGACAGAAGCATCCTTCGGGTTCATTCCCAATCCACTGCCTAGCCCACGTTCTCTTAGCCTTTCCTGCCAAACTACAACTCCCAGGACTCCATAACAGGGAGCCATGGTGGTCAACATGGTGCCAAACTGCATTCATTCTACAGTGTGTAGATTCAACCTTTGTCACGTGGGGTAGTGAGGATGTGGAGTTCCAACCTCTCCTCCATAAAGAAGCAACTGCGATCTCAATTGCGATGGCCAGCCCTGGCTACAGACTCTAATGGGATTATGGGGAGAAGGGCATGGTTAATCAAAGTGATTAACTTGAGTCTTAAATATTTTTGAGATAATGTGCCAAGTCTGGGAACAGTGTGAAAAGAGGCCGGGGGGGGGGGGGGGGGAGGCAAAACAAGCCGGAAAAGGGCTTCGGGCCAAGGCTTGCTTTCAGGGTCTCGGCTCTGGGTTTTGGCAAACAGCCTGATCGCTGGGCTGGGGAGGGGGCAAAGGAGAATAGGGCCTTCCTCTAAAATAGGCATGGGCCAACTTGGGCCCTCCCTCCAGGTGTTTTGGACTCCAAATCCCATTTATTTATTTATTTATCATGTCAGGAGCAAACCAAACAGTTGTATTGCATTTTTAACAAACAAACATAGTTTTCTAAGATCTACAGAGCCATTCACTGGAACACCTCAGCAAGCAAGAGTCCAAAAGTGGCAGGCTCAAACCCAGAACCTCAACCAATGGCTGATACCAAATGAGCGACTCCCCCCTGGGCACACAGAAGACTGGGCGACTTGGGAGGCGCTGAACAGACTGTGCTCTGGCACCACGAGATGCAGAGCCAACCTTCAGAAATGGGGCCACAAAGTGGAATCCTCGACATTCGAGTGCGGAGAAGAGCAAACCAATGACCACCTGCTGCAATGCAACCTGAGTCCTGCCACATGTACCAGAGAGGACCTTCTTGAGGCAACACCAGAGGCACTCCAAGTGGCCAGATACTGGTCAAAGGACATTTAATCAACTACCAAACTCACAAATTTTGTATTCTGTCTGTTTGTTTGTTTTGTTCTGTTAGAATGTAATATAATATGACTGGTTGTCCTGACACGACAAATAAATAACAAAGAAACAAACAAAACACAAACTTCGCAAGCTTGGTAGTTGATTAAATGTCCTTTGACCAGTAGCTGGCCACTTGGAGTGCCTCTGGTGTTGCCGCAAGAAGGTCCTCCTGAAGGATGGACTGGTTGGATCTTCTCGCAGTCCAAGGCACTCTCAGCACTTTCCTCCAACACCACAGTTCAAAAGCATCTCTCTTCCTTGGCCCAGCCTTCCCTAAGGTCCAGCTCTCACATCCGTAGGTGACTACAGGGAAGACCATGGCTTTGACTAGCGGATCTTGGTTGCCAGTCTGATGTCTCTACTCTTGACTATTTTATCGAGACTGGACATTGCTCTCCTCCCAAGAAGTAAGAGTCTTCTGATTTCCTGGCCACAGTCTGCATCTGCACTCATCTTTGCGCCTAGAAATACAAACCCTGTCACGGCCTCCACGTTTTCTTCCTCTATTTTCCAGTTGTCAATCATTCTTGTTGCCATAATCTTGGTTTTTTTTATGTTTAGCTGCAACCCGGCTTTTGCGCTTTCTTCTTTCACCTTGATTAGAAGGCTCCTCAGCTCCTCCTCACTTTTGGCCATCAGAGTGGTGTCATCTGCATATCTGACGTTGTTAATGTTTCTTCCAGCAATTTTCACCCCAGCTTTGCACCGAATGTCCCTTCCAAGATTTCCTCTTGCTCCACCTCTTTTGAGGAATCCAGAAACGGCGCACAGACTTCTTGGCAGCTAATAGAGGCGAGGGGAGGCCTGGAGTGCTAATTGACCAATTACCTGGGAAAGAGGCTTCGGCCGCAGGTCATGAGACCGGAGCTGATTTTTGCCCAAAACGCACTGTTGCGCAACATGCCCTAGACATCAAACCAGATTTTCCATCTTTTGCTAGGAATGCGATCCAACCGCCCATCTACACTGTAGAATTAACACAGTTTGGAACCACAGTTATGGATCTCTGGGCCTCGAGGGGAATGCTGGGAGTTGTAGTTCCCCAAAGGTACAACCATATAGAGCTCATTCTCGGCCTGCTTCTCTCAAAGCCTCTGTCCCCATGCCAGGAATGCCCCTTTTCCAGTTGCCGCCTGCTGTGCCCCTCCTAAGCCTTTCTGCACAGCTAATGAGCCTCCAGGCTTTGGCATGGGCCCCTCTGCGCTAATTGGGGGTTTGTTGTCTGCAATCCTCCCCATAAGGTCATTTGGGGGGGGGCAGCATGACGCTATCCATGCCCCTTGCCCCACGCAGCTGCTCGCTCGCTTGCTTTGCAGGGGGCCCTGGCAAGGGAGGGAGGTCAACCCCACAGGGGGACATTCCTTCTGGAGAGGGGCAGATGCGGGGCACCAGGCGTCCGGCCAACTGGTCATCCCTTGAGCCCCTGATGGGCAGCCTTGTGCCAATGCCATCTCTCCGCTTGGCTGCCCCCAAGTTTGCAAGAACTTTTGATGGTCAGAGCTGGTGGGCTTTGGAGTCGCCTTCCTTCTCTGGAGGCTTTTAAGCAGAGGCCGGATGGCCATCTGTTAGGAGGGCTTGGATGGTGCCCTCCATCCTGGCTGGATGGCCTTTGGAGGTCTCTTCCAGCTCTAATCTATATAAACAAAAATGTAATGTTCATTTGTGGGATTGACATACCTCAAAAACCACTGGACGAATTGACACCAAATTTGGACACAAGGCACTTCACAGGCCAACAAGTGACCATCACTCAGAAAAACACTGAAAAACACAACAGAAGGGACTTTAAAAACCAAAAAAATTTACAACACATGCACAAAACCACACACACACACATATATACATGCAAACACACATATATGTACATATACACAAATATATACACACACAAAACACATAATCCGGTGGATTACTTTTTTGTCCCGTTGACTGTCCTTCTCTGGAGGTTTTTAATCAGAGGCTGGATGACCATCTGTCAGGAGGGCTTGGATGGTGCCTTCCATCCTTGCAGAATGGGGTTGGGCTAGATAGCCTTTGAGGTCCCTTCCAAGTAATGGAATATAGATTACTTTTTAGTCCAGTGGAGTCTCCTTCTCTGGAGGCTTTTAAGCAAAGGCTGAATGACCATCTGCCAAGAGGGCTTGGATTATGCCTTCCATCCTTGCAGAATGGGGTTGGACTAGATGGCCTTTGAGGTCCCTTCCAACTCTAATGGAATATGATTTGGTAATCTGGTGGTGTCTCCTTCTCTGGAGGCTTTCAAGCAAAGGCTGGATGGCCTTCTGTCAGGAGTGCTCTGATTGTGTCTTCTTGCATGGTGGAAGAGGGTTGAACTGGATGGCCTTTGAGTATATAGAATGGAATGTAGATTACTTGGTAACAGAGTGGAATCTCCTTCTCTGGAGGCTTTCAAGCAAAGGCTGGATGGCCATCTGTCGGGAGGGCTTGGATTGTATCTTCCATCTTTACAGAAGGGGGTTGGAGTAGTTCACCATTGGTGTCCCTAACAAATAATGGAATATAGATTATATTTTAGTGCATTAGAATCTCCTTCTCTGGAAGTGCTTAAGCAGAGACTGGATGGCCATCTGTCATGAGGGCTTGGATTGTGTCTCTCATCCTCACAGAAGGGGTTTGGACTAGATAGCCTTTGGGGTACCTATCAGCTAATGGAATATAGATTACATTTTAGTCCATTGGAGTCTATTTCTCTGGAGGTTTTGATCTGATTGTGTCCTCCTGCCTGGCAGGAGGGGGTTGGACTGGATGAACCTTGGGGACCCCTTCCAACTCTAGGATTCTGGAAGGAAGACAAAGCCCCCAAAGGCAGCCCCTTCCATTTTGGATCGGAGCCACAGAGCTCCCTTTTCCCTTCTCCTAATTAATTAGCACAAAGCCCCCAGACACAACATGCTAATTGCATTTGCATAACGAACCCTGCCCCATTTCTTTGGTTTTTCTGCATAATCATTTACTTGAGGACAGTGCTGCTAGTGATCAAATGGGCACATCTTGACCGCCATCGAATCATAGCGTTGGAAGGGAACCCAAGAGGTCATCTAGTTCAACCCCATTGTGCCAGGCAGAAGTGCAAGCAGGGGCGGCTCGTCCATTACGCAAAGTAAGCGGTCGCAGAACACTTTTTTTTTGCCAGGGGTGCAGAGGCGCCTCTGTAAATGCCCCTCGACCGCCACTTGAGGAGCGCCCCCTCGGCTCACAACAGCCCTAGCAGTCCGGGGGGAGCCTCGGCTTTCTTGCCTCACTGCTGGGTGATCATCTTCCCAAAGGGGCCGCGCCCTTGAGCCTCACCTAGCCCCTCTCGTTCCTGCTCCACCCGGCCACCGGTTGCGCGATCAGAGTCGGCGCTCAATCGTTCTTCGCGTTCGATCCCTTCCCCATGACTGGCTCCCTTTCCCGATCCCCCGGCACTCCACCCGCCTCCTCTCCTCTTCCCAATCCGTGGGTGGGCCAAGGGGCGGAGCCACCGCGCCAGGCCCACTTTGGGCCCGGAGGCGTGTCTGAAAACCCCAGCGTGCGCATCAAAAGTCGCCTCTTCTCCTGACTTTCTCTTCAGCCATTGGGACCAAGAGAGAGAGAGAGAGAGAGAGCCCCTCCGGCTGGAGGTATCTCCCACCGCCGCTCCCTCCTTTGTTTTTGCGCCTACCTTCAGGAAAGGTGGGCATCTCCACCTCTCTCTCCCTCTCTCTCTCTCTTAGAATCATAGAATCAAAGAGTTGGAAGAGACCTCATGGGACTTGCAGTCCAACCCCATTCTGCCAAGAAGCAGGAATATTGCATTCAAATCACCCCTGACAGATGGCCATCCAGCCCCTGTTTAAAAGCTTACAAAGAAGGAGCCTCCACCACACTCCAGGGCAGAGAGTTCCACTGCTGAATGGCTCTCACAGTCAGGAAGTTCTTCCTCATGTTCAGATGGAATCTCCTCTCTTGTAGTTTGAAGCCACTGTTCCATTGCGTCCTAGTCTCCAGGGAAGCAGAAAACAAGCTTGCTCCCTCCTCCTCCCTGTGGCTTCCCCTCACATATTTATACATGGCTCTCATCATATCTCCTCTCAGCCTTCTCTTCTTCAGGCTAAACATGCCCAGCTCCTTAAGCCGCTCCTCATAGGGCTTGTTCTCCAGACCTTTTATCATTTGAGTCGCCCTCCTCTGGACACATTCCAGCTTAGAGTCAATCTCTCTCTTGAATTGCGGTGCCCAGAATTGGACCCAATAGTCCAGATGTGGTCTAACCAAAGCAGAATAGAGGGGTAGCATTACTTCCCTAGATCTAGACATTATGCTCCTCTTGATGCAGGCCAAAATCCCATTGGCTTTTTTTGCCGCCACATCACATTGTTGGCACATGTTTAACTTGTTGTCCACGAGGACTCCAAGATCTTTTTCACACGTACTGTGTCCCAATGGTTGTGTCCCAATGGCTGAAGAGAAAGTCAGGAGAAGAGGTGACTTTTGGTGCCGGGATCTTCAGGCACGCCTCCGGTCCCAAAGCGGGCCAGGCAAGGGAGCAAGTGCGGCAAGTGTAGTCACTGGGATGTATAGTTCACCTACAATCAAAGAGTATTCTGAACTCCACCAATGATGGAATTGAACCAAATATGGCACACTGAACTCCCACGACAAACAGAAAATATATATCAATGATTGGTTGGGGTTGGCTTACCTTTGAAAATTACCTAGGGCCGCCTCTGAGTCCAAGCATTCCTGAAAGACGGCCATCTAGCCTCTGTTGAAAGGACTCCAAAGAAGGAGGCTCTATCATACTCTACAGCACTTTGTAATCCATTAGAGTTAAAAGGGAACCCCAAAGGCCATCCAGTCCAACCCCCTTCTGCCAGGCAGGAAGACACAACCCAAGCCATCCCAACTGAAACCATCACTTGATTTCATATTTCGCCTTTTCTTCCGTAACCTTTTCCACGCCAACCCACAGAGCCAGAACCGCTGCCTCTGCCCTACGCCTTCCCTGCGGAGCGGTATGCAGACCCGCCTGGAGAGCATCTCCTGGAGCTGGACTCTCCTCCGCTGCACTTTGAGCCGCTGGCCCTGACCGATATCCGCCACTATCAACGCGAAGCCAGCGAGTCGGACTTCCCGCCCTTTGGGTCAGCCCTACGGCCCGATCCGGCCGGCCCGGAAGAGCGTATCCGGAGGCTGGAGGAGCTGGTGGACGGGCTGGGGACCATGCTGGACATGGTCAAGGAGCAGGTGAGGCCTCCCAGAGACAGGTTGCACCCACTCAGCCACACCCAGACCCACTCACCCTAAAGTCAGATCATCTAGTCTGACCTTAGGAGTCTATATCTTTGTGTACTTTATGTAGGCATTGGATTTTTGCCATTAGTATGTTGTAAACCACCTTGAGCCTCCCCAGGGGTAAGAAAGGCTGTATATAAATACAGCCAATCAATCAATCAATCAATCAATCAATCAATCAATCAATCCAATGACCAATGGGAAAAACCAAGGTACAAAAGAACAAAGGAGTGGTGAATGTATATGTGTGTATGTATGTATATGTGTATATATGTATTGGGGTGGTGAATGTATATATGTATGTGGATATATGTGTATATGCGCATATGTAGATGTTTATGTATATATGTGTATTTATATATGTATGTGTTTATATCTGTATATGTGTATATGTGTGCATATGTAAATGTGTATGTATATATGTGTGTGAATATGTGTATGTATATGTGTATATGTTTATGTATATATATGTGCCTGTATATATATGTGTGTGTATGCATGTATATGTGTGTATATATATATATGTGTGTGTGTGTCTATATGCATTTATGTGTGTATGTATATATGTGTGTGTGAATATGTGTATGTATATGTGTATATGTTTATGTATATATGTTTATGTATGTATGTTGGTATTGAATTTTTGCCATTAGTATGTTGTAAATACGTACATGTGTATATACATGCATATGTAGATGTGTATATATGTGTGTGAATATGTGTATGTATATGTGTATATGTTTATGTATATATGTGTATTTATATATGTATGTGTTTATATATGTATATGTGTATATGTGTGCATATGTAAATGTGTATGTATATATGTGTGCGAATATGTGTGTGTATATGTTTATGTATATATACGTGCATGTATATATGTATGTGTGTATGCATGTATATGTATATGTATATATGTATGTGCATTTATGTGTGTATGTGTATATATGTGTGTGAATATGTGTATGTATATGTGTATATATGTGCATATGTAGATGTGTATGTATATATGTGTGTGAATATGTGAATGTATATGTGTATATGTTATGTATATATGTGTATATGTATGTGTATATGTGTATGTATATATATGTATGTGTATATATGCATGCATTGTGTATGTGTATGTGTGTATGTTTATGTAGATGTGTGTATGTATATATGTATGTATATATGTGTATGTGTGTATATACATATATGTATGTGTATGGAACAATATAAAATGAAAGATCAACTTAAAATGGTAGAAGTTGTGGCACAAATGCAGTTTGGCCTTCTTGAACTGCCCTGGCTCAATGCTATGAAATCCTGGGAGTTATAGTTTGTGAAGCATCAGTAGAGAAGGCTACAGAATTTGTCAAATGACAACTCCCAGGATTCCATAGTAATAAGCCATGGCAGCTAACTGAAAGAACCCCTGTGTCTCTTCATCTCCGCAGAATTCGGACCTGCTGGTCCGCGTGAAGTCCCTGGAAGAGTGCGAGTGTCGGCCCTTGTCATGCATGTGGGAAGGACGCCGCTACGAAGACGGGGCTTCCTGGGAGAAGGATGCGTGTGCCACTTGCGCCTGCATCCGGGGCAAGACGGAGTGCTCCTTGCGCCACGACAGGCCACATTGCTTGGGTAAGCATTAGGGATGTGCAATTCTTTCGTTAGTCTTCCCAAGTCGGATCAAATTTGTTAAGTTCGTACTTAGGTCTGGACAGTCACTTGCATCCATTTAGATGTGCAGTTTTTTTTTTGAAGTTTTTTTTTGGGGAGAAGAAATACGAGGGTTGAATGAAAAGTAATGCCTCCACCTTAGTAACTCTTCAACAGATGGCAGTACTGGTATGCGGCAGGTACTGGCTTGTTCAGTAGACTCTCTTCTACAGCTCCATTTTGGTGGGCTGCCTTAGCATTGAACGGTTGTGTTGTTAAAGTGCAAAGTACTTGGGTTGAATGAAAAGTAAGGCCTCCACCTTCGTAACTCCTCAACAGATGGTAGCACTGGTATGTGGCAGGTACTGACTTGTTCAGTAGACTCTCCTCTACAGTTCCATTTTGGCGGGATGCCTTAGCATTGAATTGTTGTGTTGTTAAAGTGCGAAGTACAAGGGTTGAATGAAAAGTAAGGCCTCCACCTTTGTAACTCCTCAACAGATGGTAGTACTGGTATGTGGCAGGTACTGGCTTGTTCAGTAAACTCTCCTCTACAGTTCCATTTTGGTGTGAAGCCTTAGCATTGAATGATTGTGTTGTTAAAGTGCAAAGTATGGAACCCTGCGCAGATGGTCAGTTAATGCGACTTAAGCAACATGCAGTCATTGAATTCTTGACAGCAGAAGGTGTCACCCCATAGAAGATTCATCAGAGAATGCAAGCTGTTTATGGAGATTGTGTTGATGTGAGTACTGTGCGTCGTTGGGCGATTAAGTTTAAAAATGTTGAGGTGGGAACATCTGACTTGCGTGACAAAAAAAGAGTGGACGTCCTGTGACAGCAACCACTGAGTTTCACAAGCAAAAGGTTGACAGATTGATTCTGGTCGTATCACTCAGAGAGAAATTTAAAGCATTATTTATTTATTTATTTATTTATTTGGGGTGCTTCTACCCCGCCCTTCTCAACCCCCTCGGGGGGACTCAGGGCGGCTTACAAAGGCACAATTCGATGCCTAACAATTACAACATACAATGCAATATATAATACACAAATTTACCACATAATATCACAGTTATAACTAATTAAAACAATCAGACAGTATACTAGCAGCAATAAAAACATCTTGTGGTCCGTGTTCACCAAATCCAAGTCCGTAAACCATTTAGCATTGTCATTGTCCTTTCCTACTCTGGTCATTATTGGTTGCCTTTGTCCATCTGCCAGCTTAGCCGAACGCCTGGTCCCACATCCAGGTTTTTAGCTTCCTTCTGAAGGAGAGGAGGGATGTTGATGTCCTAATTTCCCCGGGGAGTGCATTCCACAGGCAAGGAGCCACCACCGAGAAGGCCCTGTCCCTCGTCCCTACCAGTCTCGCTTGTGATAAAGGTGGGGCCAAGAGCAGGGCCCCCTCAGCAGATCTTAAATTCCGAGGTGGGATGTAGAAGGAGATACGTTCGGACAGGTACGCTGGGCCGGAGCTGTAAAGGGTTTTGTAGGTCAAAACTAGCACTTTGAATTGTGCTCGGAACTGGATCGGCAGCCAGTGGAGCTGACATAGCAGGGGGGTGGTGTGCTCCCTGTATGACGCTCCGGTGATTAATCTAGCCGCCGCCCGTTGGACTAATTGAAGTTTCCGAACAGTCTTCAAAGGCAACCCCACGTAGAGTGTGTTGCAGTAATCTATTCGGGATGTAACAAGAGCGTGGACCACCGTGGCCAGATCCGACTTCCCAAGGTACGGGCGCAGCTGGTGCACAAGTTTTAATTGTGCAAAAGCTCTCCCAGCCACCGCTGAGACCTGGGGTTCCAGGCTCAGCGATGAGTCCAGGATCAAAATTGGCATTTTGCAAGAATGTGTGGGTCACATTATTGCTTTGCTTGGCTATCGGAAGATCTGTGCACAATGGGTACTCAGGATGCTGAAGCCTGAAATGAAAGCGCACAGACTTGAAACTTCAGAGACTGGATCTCACCACCGTACAGCATCCTCCATACAGTCCAGATTTAGCACCGCCTGACTTCCATCTGTTCCCGATAATGAAAGAAGATCTGCGGGGACATCATGATGCTTCTGATGAAGATGTTGAGAGAACTGTGAGACGCCGGTTGCGGAAACAAAGTGTCGACTTCTTCTGTGACGGCTTCAGAAAACTTGTTCATCGTTGGCAGAAATGTATCCAAATTGTCTGGTGATTATGTGGAAAATGGAATAGTGGGTGTTAAAGAGCACATTCTAAGGATTATTTCTCCATTTGATTTATTAAAATATTCCCACCCAAACCCAACTAACAAAGGTGGAGGCATTACTTTTCATTCAACCCTTGTATTTCTCCTTCCAGCCTCTGATCCCCATGGTGTGCCATCCTTTCCGCCCTCATTGGGGTTTGGCAGGTAGAAATCCAACAGGTGACCTCTGGCATTGATTTCTTCCCCCTCGATTTCTAGGTTGCGTGGATGGGAGAAAGGAAGGGGAGAGCTGGAAGATGGAGCCGTGCCAGACTTGCTGGTGTAAGGTAGGAAGCGTGATCACAAGCCCCATTGATAATCTCAGGGTGCATCTAGATGGTAGAACGAACGCAGTTTTATACCCCCCCTTTATTGCCATCACTCAGTCTTGGGAGTGGTAGACTTACAAGATCTTGAGCCTCTACAACTTCCAGGATTCCACAGCTTTGAGACATGGCAACAAAAGGGGTGTCATCACTGCATTATATCTGCCCAGCGATATAACACTATGACACAGAGATATAACACTATGGAACTAAATTTGAATTTTTTTCTGTTCCTGGTTTGAAAGTGTTATTTCCTGTTTAATTGTGCAGTACTTACTTTGAAATGAGTTGTTCTCCTCCAGAAACTTTGGTTTTGTGGCTGCCACAAGCTACGAGGGGCATTCATTACAGATTTCCCCGACCCACTTCTATTTATCACAGGATGCCGAAACTGCCCATGTGTAATGATCTAAGTCCCTATAGGTTACGTGCCAATTGACAACTCAGAACTAATAACCTTATTGTACAAAAACTGGGTTATTGTAGGTTTTTTCAGGCTATATGGCCATGTTCTAGAGCCATTCTCTCCTGACGTTTCGCCTGCATCTATGGGAAGCATCCTCAGATGTAGTGAGGTCTGTTGGAACTAGGAAAATTGGGTTTATATATCTGTGGAATGACCAGGGTGAGACAAAGGACTCCTGTTTGCTGGAGCTAGGTGTGAATGTTTCAACTGACCACCTTGATTAGTATTTAATGGTCTGGCAGTGCCTGTGGGACTCTTTTGTTGAGAGGTGATTAGATGTCCTTGTTTGTTTCCTCTCTGTTGTTTTGCTGTTGTAATGTTAGAGTTTTTTAAATACTGGCAGCCAGATTTTGTTCATTTTCATGGTTTCTTCCTTTCTGTTGACATTGTCCACATGCTTCTTGTGGATTTCGGTGGCTTCTCTGTGTAGTCTGACATGGGGGTTGTTGGTGTGGTCCAGCATTTCTGTCTTCTCAAATAATATGCTGTGTCCAGGCTGGTTCATCAGGTGCTCTGCTATGGCTGACTTCTCTGGTTGAAGTAGTCTGCAGTGCCTTTCATGTTCCTTGATTCGTGTTTGGGCAATGCTGCTGCGTTTGGTGGTTTCTATGTAGACTTGTCCACAGCTGCATGGGATATGGTAGACTCCTGCAGAAGTGAGAGGGTCCCTCTTGTCCTTTGTAAACATTCTTTATTTGCACCTCGAGTTCCATCACTGGGGGAATTTGCTCTATCTCTGGCACCCGTTGGACAATGTCTGTGACGTCACTCATGCCGAACAGCTTGGAAAAACCCAAATAGACTTCTGACAATGTGTGTCTCTGATGAGTCCATACTTTCCTTTCTGTGCCCCTTCTAGGCTGGTACGGTTCAATGCCAGGCCACCAAATGCCCTGAGCTTTCATGTCGGGAGCGCTACACGCCACCAGGGGAATGCTGTCCCGTTTGCCGTCCAGGTAAGAGCAGAAACACAGAATTGTAGAATCCTAGAGACCCCCAAGGGCCATCCAGTCTGACCCCATTTTGCCAAACAAGAAGGCACAATCCAAGCCCTCCAGACAGATGGCCACCCAGCCTCTGTTTAAATACATCCAGCAAGGAAATTCCATCAGACTCTCAGGCAAGATACCTCAATAATGAACACAATGAAGTTCAATGGGGACAAATGCAAGATACTCCACTTAGGCAGAAAAAACGAAATGCAAAGTGACAGAATGGGGGACAATGAGGCCTGGCTTGAGATCAGGATGTGTGGAAAAGATCTTGGAGTCCTCGTGGACAGCAAGTTAAACATGAGCCAGGAATGTGATGTGGCGGCAAAAAAAGCCAATGGGTTTTTGGCCTGCATCAATAGGAGCATAGTGTCTAGATCTAAGGAAGTAATGCTACCCCTCTATTCTGCTTTGGTTAGACCACACCTGGAATATTGTGTCCAATTCTGGGCACCACAATTCAAGAGAGATATTGATAAGCTGGAATGTGTCCAGAGGAGGGCGACTCAAATGATCAAGGGTCTGGAGAACAAGCCCTGTGAGGAACAGCTTAAAGAGCTGGGCATGTTTAGCCTGAAGAAGAGAAGGATGAGAGGAGACATGATAGCCATGTATAAATATGTGAGAGGAAGTCATAGGGAGGAGGGAGCAAGCTTGTTTTCTGCTTCCCTGGAGACTAGGACGCAAGGGAACAATGGCTTCAAACTACAAGAGAGGAGATTCCATCTGAACATGAGGAAGAACTTCCTGACTGGGAGAGCTGTTCTGCAGTGGAACTCTCTGCCCCGGATTGTGGTGGAGGCTCATTCTTTGGAAGCTTTGAAACAGAGGCTGGATGGCCGTCTGTCAGGGGTGCTTTGAATGCAATTTTCCTGCTTCTTGGCAGAATGGGGTTGGACTGGATGGCCCACCAAGTCTCTCCCAACTCTTCTATGATTCTATCCCGGGAGTTGTAATTTCATGCAGCACCAGCACTCTTGGCAGAAAATGCTTAACCTTTTGTAAGGCTGCAACTCCTAGGATTGCACTGCATTGAGCCATGGCAGTTAAAGTGGGATCAAACTACATTAATTCTGCAATTCTGGGAAGCTTCCAGGATGCTGAGGATGTCCCTTAACCTCCGTTTTATGCAGGTTGTGAGTACGAAGGACAGAGGTATCAAGAAGGGGATGTCTTTGTGGCCAAATCGAACCCGTGCATGAATTGCTCCTGCCTGGTGAGTGGCAAACATCTCAGGAAGCATTGGAGATATACATTGGGCATCCCCATTCCCTGGATCTGCATCAAATCCCCTGTATGCGCTCAGCCAGGGGATTCAAAGCAGATCCAGGGAATTGAGAGCTGAACATATGCATCCTGCAAGTCTATTCGTGTGCATTCAGATGAACAATAACACACTGTCAGATCTTGGCTCCCTTTTTGGAAAAGAAACAGGTTTCCTGTTCTTAAGGAGGCCCATTTCATCAAGACAGCAGAGAGAAAGCTCTTATCTCCAATCTGCAATTGATCAGAAATAAGTTTTGTGGTTAAGTACCAAGATTTTGACAGAAATAATGACCTCGATGGGAATTGGAAAACACCAGTGAACCAAATGAGCCATTTTTATGCATTATATTTGGCCAGTAGTAGCCAAAAGGTAAGAAGATGGTGCCAATTATCTTCCCAGTGATGCATAATGTTTCCAGATTTGGAGACTGTCACATATTGTAACTGTTCATCCCAGCTATTGCTGAATACAGTGTCAATTATCACACCGTTGTCACGTTGCCAGGGCTCTGCCAATATTTAGGCAGAGATTAAGCAAACTCCCAGTTTGTGTTAAACAATTTAATTAAAACAGCACTTACTTTCTGGCTGTTTTAATAGTCCAAAACATAAAGATAGCACTCAGCCACAGAATATAAAACAAAAACAGCAAACACTGTTGCAGGTTCAAGGTAACTCCGTAGTCAAAAGGTCCAGTCCAGTGGTCAAACGCCGAGAGTTCAATAAACAAAGTCCAGGGATCAAGAGTCTACCGTAGTCAAAAGCCAGTCCAAAGATTCAAGGTTCCAGGATTCCAAAGGTTCAGGAGACAGGTCAAGACACCGAAAATCCACGAACCTGGGGGAAAACCAGCAGCATCTACCACCAAGATAAAACAAATACTTTTCTCCCAAAGATCAGTCCCAAGGCTAGCTCATTATATCCAGAAACACCCAGCTGCAACCCATCTCTTGCATACCTCCACCCTTGATTGCTTTCACCCATGAACTCTTACTTACAGATTACTCAACCCTTTAGAACTAAGACTTAAATTAACCCTTCCATCACCAACTGTTAGGCCTACCACCACCAACTGCAGAACATGATACATGACAACTGTCTACTAGTGAATTGCATGTGTTAATTCTTCTCTGGGTGACAATTCCTCTGATCATGTTAAAAGTGCCATTTTATTCCAATAACTATCTCACTAAACACCTGACAGTGAAGAGCCGGTGGCCCAAAGTATGTGGGATAAACTAGGAATGGGGCGAAAGTGTTGTTTAGGTGTTACTGCTCTAGGAGGTAAGGACGAACAAATTTTACAGAGAAGAAAAGTATCTGACCCAACTATTTCTATTTCCTCCTCCTCCAGAGGAGCCTGGTCCGATGCCACCCCATCCAGTGCCCCCCGATCCGATGCTCCAAGGCTGTCCCGCAACCGGGACACTGCTGTCCTGTCTGTCCAGGTAAGTGGCTCCTGGTTTATAATAAAGCCTGCTCCATTTGCTCATTGTTTACAAATTCTTGGCTGTGTCAGAATCTCTTTATTATTAAAGCCCCAAATAAACCTTGGGAATGAGAGACGAACCCAGATGGTGCTCACCAATGCTTCCTCTTCATCCTGGAAAGAAGTGATGAGTGGAGTGCCGCAGAGTTCCGTTCTGTTCAGCATCTTTATTAATGACTTAGATGAAGGGCTAGAAGGCATGATCATCAAGTTTGCAGATGACACCAAATGGGGAGGGAGAGCCAAGACTCCAGAGGACAGGAGCAGGATTCAAAACGATCTTGACAGATTAGAGAGATGAAGGGCCAAAACTAACAAAATGAAGTTCAACAGGGACAAATGCAAGATACTCCACTTTGGTAGGAAAAACGAAATGCAAAGAGACAGAATGGAGGACAATGCCTGGCTTGGGAGCAGGACGTGTGAAAAAGACCTTGGGGTCCTCGTGGGCAACAAGTTAAACATGAGCCAGGAATGTGATGTGGTGGCAAAAAAAGCCAATGGGATTTTGGCCTGCATCAATAGGAGCATAGTGTCTAGATCTAGGGAAGTCATGCTACTCCTCTATTCCGCTTTGGTTATATTGTGTCCAATTCTGGGCACCACAATTGAAGAGAGATATTGACAAGCTGGAATGTGTCCAGAGGAGGGTGACTAAAATGATCAAGGGTCTGGAGAAAAAGCCCTATGAGGAGCGGCTTAAGGAGCTGGGCATGTTTAGCCTGAAGAAGAGAAGGCTGAGAGGAGATATGATAGCCATGTATAAATATGTGAGAGGAAGCCACAGGGAGGAGGGAGCAAGCTTGTTTTCTGCTTCCTTGGAGACTAGGACGCGGAACAATGGCTTCAAACTACAAGAGAGGAGATTCCACCTGAACATTAGGAAGAACTTCCTGACTGTGAGAGCCGTTCAGCAGTGGAACTCTCTGCCCCGGAGTGTGGTGGAGGGTCCTCCTTTGGAAGCTTTTAAACAGAGGCTGGATGGCCATCTGTCAGGGGTGATTTGAATGCAACATTCCTGCTTCTTGACAGAATGGGGTTGGACTGGATGGCCCAGGAGGTCTCTTCCAACTCTTTGATTCTAGGATTCTATGATTCTATGAAATTACTGCAATGCTAGAATTTGGGAAAAAATCATTGAAGGGCAGAGTTATTATTATATTAACTGTTTTTAATACTTTTGTGTGTTTTTAACAATTCTGCATGCAATTCTACTTTAATATTTACCTGTTTGGGGTTTTAAGTTGTATTGTTTGTAATGTCATGAGCCATCAGAGGAAAGTGCGGTGTTGTTGTTGTTGTTGTTGTTGTTTGGAAGGATCAGGCATCTGCATCTTGCACCTCCCATCTCTATCCCCCCGAATTCAGTTCTGCATATGAGAATTTTAACTAATTGCACATGTATTCCCTCTTCTCTGGGGAATCCTGGGAATTGTAGGGCATCCCAACATTTCCCAAGGCAATTAGCCTCCCTCAATGCATGAGTGAGAAGCAGAGATGCTAAATAATTCCATCCAATTACCACGGCACTAATTATAATTGATGTCTTAACGGCTCGTCTGGATCCTTCTGGGATTAATGTCGCCGTTTTATGCCTTGGCCCCCAAAGCCCATCTGGTCCAAAAATGCTTTCCATATAAGTTTTTTAAAGTTAAGTAATGAACTATGCTTTTCGGAGGGGGGGGGGGCAATGACATTGTTTAGATAGGAAATTTAGCCCCCCAAAATAAAACCCCTGTCTCAGTTTTTGCTTTGATATTCCCAGTTTCTCCAGTCTGTGAGCTGGATGGACGTCCCTTAGAGCCGGGGCTGGAGGTCACTTCCGCCGACGGATGCCAACGCTGTTCCTGCTCTGTGAGTTTTGGGGGTGCAAGGGGTATTTTTTATTGTGGGTGGGCTTTGAAATGAATGCATTCCCCCAATGGGGTCTCTTCCAACCCTAGAATGCTATGACCTTGCATTGTCTATTTATTGTGAAATTCAGCTCTCTAGATAGATAAGTGGATGGATGAATAGATAGGTGGTTGGTTGGATAGATAGATAGATAGATAGATAGATAGATAGATAGATAGATAGATATAAAAGATAGATAGATAGATAGATAGATAGATGATAGATAGATAGATAGATAGATAGATAGATAGATAGATAGATAGACAACATCAGTAAGAGTAAAAAAACACTGCAGCAAATAATGTTAAGATAGAATAGATAGATAGATAGATAGATAGATAGATAGATAGATGAGATAGATAGATAAAAGATAGATAGATAGATAGATAGATAGATAGATAGATAGATAGATAGATAGATGATATAGATAGATAGATAGATAGATAGATAGATAGATAGATAGATAGATAGATAGATAGATATAAAGATAGATAGATAGATAAAAGATAGATAGATAGATAGATAGATAGATAGATATAAAAGATAGATAGATAGATAGATACAAAAGAAAGATAGATAGATAGATAGATAGATAGATAGATAGATAGATATAAAAGATAGATAGATAGATAGATAGATAGATAGATAGATACAAAAGAAAGATAGATAGATATAAAAGATAGATAGATAGATAGATAGATAGATAGATAGATAGATAGATAGATAGATAGATATAAAAGATAGATAGCTGTAGACATTATAGATAATGGGTCGACAGATTTTTTTTTTCATGTCAGGAGCAACTTGAGAAACTGCAAGTTGCTTCTGATGTGAGAGAATTCACCATCTGCAAGGATGTTGCCCAGGAGATCCCCAGATATTTTACCATCCTGTGGGAAGCTTCTCTCACGAGAAGCTGGAGCAGACAGATGGGAGCTCACCCTGCTCCCCAGATTTGAACTACTGACCTTTGTGTCAGGAGTCCTGCCGGCACAAGGGTTTAACCCATTGCACCTCCGGGGGCTCCTGGTCAATAGGTGTGGGTAGATCGGTGATAGCTGGGTAGGTGGATGAATGGATTGATGTATGGGTAAATGAACTGATATTATAGGTGGATAGATAGATGATTGATAGATGATAGATAGATAGATAGATAGATAGATAGATAGATAGATAGATAGATAGACAGACAGATAGCTGTGGACATTACAAATGATTAGATAGATGTGGATAGGGAGATGATAGCTGAGTAGAAGGTTGAATGGATGGATGATGGATAGATGGTTAAGTGAATGGATAGATAGATAGATTATCTATCTATCTATCTATCCATTCACTTAACCATCTATCCATCATCCATCCATTCAACCTTCTACTCAGCTATCATCTCTCTAGCCACATCTATCTACCTATCATCTATAATGTCCACATGTTTCTACCTATCTACCTAACTAACTACCTATCTATTTATCCATTCACTTAACCATTCATCCATTCACCCTCCTTCTCAGCTATCATCTGCCTATCCACATCTATGTACCTATCATCTATAATGTCCACATCTATCTATCTATCTATCTATCTATCTATCTATCTGTCTATCTGTCTATCTATCTATTTGCCTATTTATTTATCCATTCACTTAACCATCCATCCAGCCTCCTTCTCATAGATAGATAGATAGATAGATAGATAGATAGATAGATAGATAGATAGATGGATAGATAGATGTGGCATTATAGATGATAATAGATAGATGTGGCTAGACAGATGATGGCTGAGTAGGAGGGTGAATGGATGGATGGATGGATGGATGGATGGATGGTTAAGTGAATGGATAAATAGATAGATAGATAGATAGATAGATAGATAGATAGATAGATAGGCAGATAGGTGGGTAGGTAGATGTGGACATTATAGATGATAGGTAGATAAACGTGGCTAGAGAGATGATAGCTGAGTAGGAGGGTGGATGGATGGAAGGATGGATGAATGGATGGATGGTTAAGTGAATGGATAAATAGATAGGCAAATAGGTAGGTAGGTAGGTAGGTAGGTAGGTAGGTAGGTAGATATGGACATTATAGATGATAAGTAGATAGATGTGGCTAGACAGATGATAGCTGAGTAGGAGGGTGGATGGATGGATAGATGGATGGATGGATGGATGGTTAACTGAATGGCTAAATAGATAAGCAGATAGGTAGGTAGGTAGGTAGGTAGGTAGATAAATGTGGACATAGATGATAGGTAGGTAGATGTGGCTAGGCAGATGATAGCTGAGTAGGAGGATAAATGGATGGATGAATGGATGGATGGGTGGATGGTTAAGTGAATGGATAAATAGATAGGTGGCTGGCTGGCTAGATACTAGATAGATAGATAGATAGATAGATAGATACATACATACATACATACATACATACATAACAGGTCACAATATTCCTCTGCCAGCAGAGGAATACCTGGCCGCTCTTAATGAGTTCAAGTCCCCAGGGCCAGATCATTCACACGCCAGAGTATTGAAGGAACTAGCGGAAGTCATTTCGGAACCATTGGCAACCATCTTTGAGACTTCTTGGAGAACGGGAGAAGTTCCAGCAGATTGGAGGAGGGCCAATGTGGTCCCAATCTTCAAGAAGGGAAAAAAGGATGACCCAAACAACTACCGTCCGGTCAGCCTCACGTCGATACCGGGCAAGATTCTGGAAAAGATTGTTAAGGAAGCGGTCTGCAAACACTTAGAAACAAATGCAGTCATCGCTAATAGTCAACATGGATTTATCAAAAACAAGTCATGCCAGACTAATCTGATCTCTTTTTTTCGATAGAGTTACAAGCTGGGTAGATGCGGAGAATGCCGTGGATGTAGCGTACCTGGATTTCAGTAAGGCCTTCGACAAGGTCCCCCATGACCTTCTGGCAAGGAAACTAGTCCAATGTGGGCTAGGCAAAACTACGGTGAGGTGGATCTGTAATTGGTTAAGTGGACGAACACAGAGAGTGCTCACTAATGCTTCCTCTTCATCTTGGAAAGAAGTGACGTGGAGTGCCGCAGGGTTCCGTCCTGGGCCCGGTCCTGTTCAACATCTTTATTAACGACTTAGATGAAGGGCTAGAAGGCATGATCATCAAGTTTGCAGACGACACCAAATTGGGAGGGATAGCCAATACTCCAGAGGACAGGAGCAGAATTCAAAACGATCTTGACAGATTAGAGAGAGGGGCCAAAACTAACAAAATGAAGTTCAACAGTGACAAATGCAAGATACTCCACTTGGGCAGAAAAAATGAAATGCAAAGATACAGAATGGGGGACGCCTGGCTCGAGAGCAGTACGTGTGAAAAAGATCTTGGAGTCCTCGTGGACAACAAGTTAAACATGAGCCAACAATGTGATGTGGCAGCAAAAAAGCCAATGAGATTTTGGCCTGCATCAATAGGAGCATAGTGTCTAGATCTAGGGAAGTAATGCTACCCCTCTATTCTGCTTTGGTTAGACCACACCTGGAATATTGTGTCCAATTCTGGGCACCACAATTCAAGAGAGATATTGACAAGCTGTAATCTGTCCAGAGGAGGGCGACTAAAATGTTCAAGAGTCTGGACAACAAGCCCTATGAGGAGCGGCTTAAGGAGCTGGGCATGTTTAGCCTGAAGAAGAGAAGGCTGAGAGGAGACATATGATAGCCATGTATAAATATGTGAGAGGAAGCCACAGGGAGGAGGGAGCAAGCTTGTTTTCTGCTTCCTTGGAGACTAGGACGCGGAACAATGCCTTCAAACTACAAGAGAGGAGATTCCATCTGAACATGAGGAAGAACTTCCTGACTGTGAGAGCCGTTCAGCAGTGGAACTCTCTGCCCCGGAGTGTGGTGGAGGCTCCTTCTTTGGAAGCTTTTAAGCAGGGCTGGATGGCCATTTGTCAGGGGTGATTTGAATGCAATATTCCTGCTTCTTGGCAGAATGGGGTTGGACTGGATGGCCCAGGAGGTCTCTTCCAACTCTTTGATTCTATGATTCTATGATTTGGGAAGGGGTGCGTTTTAAATGCCAATTTAAGTGTAGTTATTATATTTGAATCCATATTGTAACCTAAGTCCAAACTGTATTATGTAATTGGGTATTTTAAATTTTGTATTGCACTTTTAAAAACTATGACCCAAGTGTTAGGTGCCTTGTGTCCCCATGACGAGAAAGGTGGGTATCAATAAGGTAAATAATAAATAATAATGATAAATAGGCAGACAGACAGATAGATAGATAAGAAGACAGATAGATGATAGCCGAATAGGTAGCTAGATAGGTGAATAGATAAGTAGGTGGATGGAGATGATCACATAGATAGAAAGATAGTTAAGTGAATGAAGAAATATAGATAAGTAGGTGGTGGATAGATAAGTGGATATATGATAGCTGGATAGGCAGGGAGATTGCTAAATAGATGGAAACATAGAGAGAGAGAGAGAGAGAGAGAGAGGCAGCGAGATGATAGCTAGCCTCAAAGATCACATGACACCACTTTAACTGATGTGGCTCAACGCTATGGAAACATGGTGACTATTAGGAACTGTGGGAACTGAAGTCCAAAACACCTGGAGGGAGAACCAAAGTTTGTCCATGCCTAGTGTAGATGCACCCCTGGAGTACCGAACATATTGCCTTTTAATGGCTCAGCTGCATGATGTTTTGTCTCTCCTTGACTCTCTCCTTTAGGAAGGGGAGCTGGTGTGTGTTCCAGCGCAGGCGTGCCCCAAGACTTGCAGCCACGGCCTGCCACCCACCGGCGCTTCCTGCTGCCTGGACTGCTCCCGCTGCCTTTTCCGTGGGCAGGTCATCCCCAGTGGAGGAGAGGTCCCCAGCAACAGCCTTTGCCAACGCTGCCTCTGCAAGGTGGGCGCCTTGGGTGCAAGCCACACTCTCTTGGCCTCAGGAGATTTGTAAACACAGGCCAAATGGCCATCTGTTGGAAGGGCTTGAACTGTGTCTTCCTGCCCGGCAGAAGAGGGCTGGACTAGATGGCCCTTGGATGTCCCTTCCCACTCTATTGGAATATAGACTGTCTCAGTATCTGGTAGACTCTCCATCTCTGGAGGGTTTTGAACTGAGGCTGAATGGTCATCTGTCAGGAGGACTTGAATTTTGTCATTCTATGTAGCAGAAAGGAGCTGAACTAGAAGGCCGTTTGGGATCCCTTCCAAATTTTATGATTGATTGATTGATTCATTCATTCATAATAGCTGTTGGACATCAGTTCATTCATGTATACATACATAAGAGCTGTTGCACATCTATACATTCATGCATGCATACATAGGTGCAGTTGTACATCAATTCATTCATGTATTCATACATATGAGCTGTTGCACATCCATTCATTCATACATACGTACATACATAAGAGCTCTTGGACATTCATTCATTTATTCATACAACATAAGAGCTGTTGCACATCAATTCATTCATTCATACAACATACATAAGAGCTGTTGCACATCTATTCATTCATGCATACATACATAAGAGTTTTTGCACTCTATTCATTCATACAACATACAAAAGAGCTGTTGCACATCAATTCATTCATGCATGCATACATAAGAGCTGTTGTACATCAATTCATTCATTCATACAACATACATAAGAGCTGTTTCACATCAATTCATTCATGCATGCATACATAGCCATCTGTCAGGAGGGCTTAGATGGTGTCTTTTTGCTTGGGAAAAGAAGATCAGACTAGGTGGCCCTTGGGTGCTCCTTCTGTGCTAGGATTCTATTCTTCATCGTGTGTCATTCTGTGAGAGTTGACTTGTTAAACCTGAACCAGATGGGAACGTTGATTTTTTTCTTCTCCTTCCTTCCTTCCTTCCTTCCTTCCTTCCTTCCTTCCTTCCTTCCTTCTAGGATGGGAACGTTCTCTGCTCTCCAGTTACTTGCCCAAAGCTGGACTGCGCCATCACAGAGGAAGTTCCCGGACACTGTTGCCACCGATGCCAGGGTGAGAGGGAAGGGCCAACATGGGGCTGGCCCCTTCCAGATAGACCCCATTCCTATTTTAGGGTGCATCTACACTGTGGAACGAAAGCACTTTGAATTGCCGTGGCAGAAGGCTACACAATCCTGTATTCTATTTTAGAGAAGAGGGGAAACTGAGAAACTTGCATTACCTGAGACTATACTTACTTTCTTAAGCAATCCCTCGTAGTTCGAGGATGAGGGCCCTGCAAGTGTAATGTCATGGTGGTGGGTCTGTAGGTGACTATGGAGTCCTATTCTTGACCTGCGTCTTCTCCCGCAGTGAGGACATTGGTTTCCATGTGGAAGGCAGTCCCAGTCAGGGTTGGCTTGATGCACCTTCCTCTTGGCACGTTTTTCCCTTTCACCCTCCATTCGTACCTCTTCAAATTCTGCAGCACTGCTGGTCACAGCTGACTTCCGGTTAGAGTGCTCAAGAACCATTGTTTCCCAGTTCTCAGTGTCTATGCCAGTTTTTGAGGTTGGCTTTGAGCCCATCTTTCAATCTCTTTTCCTGTCCACCATCATTCCATTTTTCAGTCTTGAGTTTGGAGTAGAGTAACTACTTTGGGAGATTGTGATCTTTGGGCATTCGGACAATGTGGCCAGTCCAGCAAAGTTGATGTTGGAGGAGCATCACTTTGGTATTTGCTGGTGGTATTTGCTTCTTCCAGCATGCTGACATTTGTCTGCCTGTCTTCTTCCCAAAAGATTTGCAGGATTTTTCAGAGGCAGCGCTGATGGAATCGTTTGAGGAGTTGAGTGTGATGTCTGTAGACAGTCCATGTTTCGCATGCATATAACAGGCTTGGGACATTGACACTGAAATTCCACACCTCCTGAGCTCTGCGAGTGCAGCATTTTTGGAATGAAGCAGAGAATGTTTGAGGACTGGGACATCCGTAGGGAGACCAAGGTGCTTGTTTATAAAGCTATTCCCCTCCCAACCCTGCTATACGCCTGTGAGACATGGACAGTCTATAGACGTCACATGCAACTCCGAGAATGATTCCATCAGCGTTGCCTCCGGGAAATCCCGCAAATCTCTTGGGAAGACAGGTGGACAAATGTTAGTGTGCTCAAAGAAGCAAAGACCTCCAGCACTGAAGTGATGGTCCTCCGCCATCAACTTCACTGAACTGGCCATGTTGTCCAGATGCCCGACCACCGTCTCCCAAAGCAGTTGCTCTGCTCCGAACTCAAGAATGGAAAATGGAATTTCGGAGGACAGGAAAAGAGATTTAAAGATGGCCTCAAAGCCAACCTTAAAAACTCTGGCATAGACACTGAGAACTGGGAAGCCCTGGCCCTTGAGCGCTCCAGCTGGAGGTCGGCTGTGACCAGCAGTGCTGCAGAATTTGAGGAGGCACAAGTGGAGGGCGAAAGAGAGAAATGTGTCAAGAGGAAGGCGCATCAAGCCAATCCCAACCAGGACCACCTTCCACCTGGAAACCAATGCCCTCACTGTGGGAGAAGATGCGGGTCAAGAATAGGGCTCCACAGTCACCTACAGACCCACCGCCAGGATACTACACTTGGAGGACCATCATCCTCAGAGGGATCACCTAAGTAAGTACATAAAAGGCTTGGGAGGACAATGGCTTTATAAACAAGATGCTTGGTCTTCCTATGGATGTCCTGATCTTCCAACACTCTCTGCTTCATTCAGAACCATGCTGCACTCTCAGAGCTCAAGCGATGTTGTATTTCAGTGTCAATATTGACTTTGGTGGAGAGGTGGCTGCCAAGGGAGAGGAAGTGGTCCAAATTTTCAAATGTTACACCATTAAGCTGTATTTCTGGCATTGGAGAGGGATTGGCTGGTGACTGCTGGAAGAGCACTTTGGCTTTCTTGATGTTCAATGACAGGTCGAGCTTCTCGTCTGCTTCTGCGAAGGTGTTTACAGTGGCTTGTAGATCTTCTTCTGAATGCGCACAGACAACGTTGTCATCAGCATACTGGAGTTCTATTTCTGGCATTGGAGAGGGATTGGCTGGTGACTGCTGGAAGAGCACTTGGGTTTTCTCAGTGTTAAATGACCTGAGAATATACCGAAACCCCCAGATCTGGGTTTAAACATTTTTTTATGTAATGTTTATTCAGCATTTAAAATCATACATTGCCTTGGCACCAAGTGGGTTCATTCCCTTTCACATACATTCCCCATACTCACCAAGCCCCCACAAAGAGTCGATCCATTTCTTTGTAGAAGCGATGGGTGCAGGTGTAGGAGCACATCCAACAACACTCCACATCTGAAAGACCGCCCCCCCCCCCTTTTATATCATTTGACAGCAATTCTAGTCTATGGTTTACATCTTCCACATTCCTTGTTCCACGGTAATAACAAACAGTTCCTTTCATGTTGTGTTTGAGCTAGAGCTAAAATGATCAAGGGTCTGGAGAACAAGCCCTATGAGGAGTGGCTTAAGGAGCTGGGCATGTTTAGCCTGAAGAAGAGAAGGCTGAGAGGAGATATGATAGCCATGTATAAATATGTGAGAGGAAGCCACAGGGAGGAGGAGGGAGCAAGCTTGTTTTCTGCTTCCTTGGAGACTAGGACGCAATGGAACAATGGCTTCAAACTACAAGAGAGGAGATTCCACCTGAACATGAGGAAGAACTTCCTGACTGTGAGAGCCGTTCAGCAGTGGAACTCTCTGCCCCGGAGTGTGGTGGAGGCTCCTTCTTTGGAAGCTTTTAAGCAGAGGCTGGATGGCCATCTGTCAGGGGTGATTTGAATGCAATATTCCGGCTTCTTGGCAGAATGGGGTTGGACTGGATGGCCCAGGAGGTCTCTTCCAACTCTTTGATTCTAGGATTCTATTCTATGATTCTAGAGAAGAAGCAGGAGTCCTGTCTCTCTTTTCTCCAGCTTCTTCTCAAGCTCAAACACTTCTTTTTTCCTACAAAAGACTTCTGCAGAATGATAGCTTTCCAGTTCAAACGTTCACTTTACCACCGTCTCCCCAAACTTCAGATCCCAGGATTCGGTTGCATTGAGCCACGGCACTTAAAGTTGCATCAAAATGTATTCATTCCACAATGTATGTGCATCTGTTTGTCTTGGGTTGGAAATACCTTCTGTAACAACTCTAACTCACTTCTTGATGCCACAGGGTGCATGGATGGGGCTTCTTGGTACGAACACAATGAGGAGTGGACCCCCGCTACGGATCCGTGCCTTAAATGCAGGTGCCAGGTAAGGCCAAAGTGGAGGCTTTGAAACAACTGGATGGCCATCTCTCAGGGGTGTTTTGATTGTACTTTTCCTACATGGTTGAATGGGGTTGGGCTAGATGGCCCTTAGGGTCTCTTCCTTCCTTCCATGATTCTAGAGTGAGGCCCCAACCTCCTCCTTGCTCTCTATTCAACTTGGAAGCACACACTATGTCCATTTCTGGGCCCATCAGTTCAAGGGATATTGACTCTCAGCTGGAAGGAGTCCAGAGGAAGAAGGAGACTCAAAGGATCATAGGTCCTACAGGCCATGAATAATCCCTCTGAAGAGCTTCTTAAAGAGTTGGGTTTGTTTAGCCTGCAGAAGAGAAGTTTGGGAAGAGACATGAGAGACATGTATCAATATGTGAAATCATGTCATAAGGAATAGGGAACAGGCCTTGGAGACAAGGGCTCAATGGAGCCATAGGTTCAAATGACAGGAAAGGAGATTCCACCTGAACATTAGGAAGAACTTCCAGACGGTTCGAAGAGCAGTGGAACTCTCTGCCTCGAAGTCTGGTGGAAGGTCCTTGCTTGGAAGCTTTGAAATAGAGGTTGGGTGGGGTTGCACTCCAGGTCAGGAAAAAACCCTCTGACTTTAAAACACACCACACGGAGAGTGAAGAAACAAATCTTCTTTTATTGAAGCTTAGTAAATAGCCAGAAGAAATAAATACTTGTAAGAAAATTAGAAAGTTCCAAAAAGTAATAAGTGCATAAAGGGTAGTAACACAAAGCAATGTCCACATCAGATATAAAAGCACTTGCATTTATCCAGACAGGAATCAACAGGATGCAAAGACAATCCAAATGGCTAAAAAAAAACTCCACAGGAACAAGATCCCTTGAACAGGATTTCCATGGCACATGAACTTGATTTCCAAACGATGCCTGATCTAACAGGTTTCCCCTTGAGGCAAACCTTATATCCCAAAAATCAGAAATTGGTTTCGCTTTTCCTCACATTTACCCCTTATCAGGCAAAGCCTTTTGGAGCGACATAAACACTGAGTTTGTTGTCGATCCTGGCTAATCTCCAGCCGCCTATTCTTCAGCTCCCTATCTGGCTGCTCATTAAAATTCCCAGGTGTCAGATTGTTTTCCAAACCCAAATCTTGAGAGCTCACAGAGAGAGGGAGTGAACCATCATTGCTAGGCCCAGCAGGGATATTCTCATGAGAAACTGCCCTTTGCAATGGGGCCTCCCTGTCATTGTCTGCATGAAAATCATTGACCAAACCATCTCCATCTTGTACCTCAGCCTCGATACCATCATATCTCTCATTATTTCCCTCATCATTTCCCACATCAGGATCCTGAAATGCAAACACAGGCTGATTCCTAACAGGTGGCCACCTGTCCGGAATATTTTGACTGTGCTTTTCCTGCATGGCAGAAGGGGGTTGGACTAGATGGCCCATGTGGTCTCTTCCAACTCTATGATTCTATGATTCTGTATCACATGAAGATGAGCCAAAGGTGTGATGCTCCAGCTAAAAAGGTCAATGCAATTCTAGGTTGCATTACTCACCTGCTATCTATGCAAGGTTCAGTTTTTGCACCCAATGGCTCTGTTTCATGACGCTCTCCTTTTCCATCCCAGGAAGGCAATGCTGTCTGCAAAAGAAGGCACTGCGCCATCCTTTGCCGCTCTCCTGCCCGCCCTCGGCCAGGCACCTGCTGCCCAGTTTGTGATGGTGAGTCCCATAAAAAGAAGCGGGTGGGCAGAGAGGAATTTCCAGGTTTCCTGTGGTCTGCAGGAAGACAACTATGGCTCCAAACTGGGCTTGGAATGGGGAGAATCTCAGTGAGGGGTGAAAGTATGCAAGGGGACAATTTTGGGTAGGAGAGCAGGAAGCAGGTGGCACAAGGGGGCAGAAAGCTATTCCCAGAAGGGTTATTTCAAAGCAGGATGCTGCTCTTAGTGTGAAGTCAGTTGCAAAAATAAAAGAGTGCAATTCTAGGCTGCATAGATGGAAACTAAGTTGAGAGAACGCCTCTTTTCAGGGTGCATCTACACCAATTATGGGAAAACCCAGGCCCGGGGGCCAGATACGGCCCCTTGGGCTCTTTATGCAGACCCTCCTCTCTCTCAACATCTTATCCTTTCTTCTTTCTCTCTTTCCTTCCTCCTTCCCTCCCTCCCTTACCTTCCTCTTTCTCCTTCCTTCCTTCCTTCCTTCCTTCCTTCTTCCTTCCTTCCTTCCTTCCTTCCTTCCTTTTGTCCTTTCCTTCCTTCTCTCTCTCCTTCCTCCTTCCTTTCCTTCCTTCCCTCCCTCCTCTTTCTTTCCTTCTTTCTCCTTTATCCTTCCCTTCCTTCCATACATCCTTCTCTTCCTTTCTTCCATCTCTCTTTCCTTTATCTTTCCCTTCCTTGTATCCTTCCCTTCCACCTTTTCATCCTTCCTTTCTTCCCTTTTTGTCTTTCCTTCCTTCCCTCTTTTCTCTCGTCTCCCTCTTTCTCCTTCCATCCTTCACTTACTTACTTACTTCGCTTCCTCTCTTCCTTTCTTCTCTCTTTCCTCCCTCCTTCCCGTACTTTCCTCTTTCTCCTTCCTTCCTTCCCTCCTACCTTTTTCTTCCTTGCTTCCCTCCCTTCCTTTTGTCTTTCCTTTCTTCTGTCTTTCCTTCCTTCCTCCTTTCCTCCGTCCCTTACCTGCATCTTTCTCCTTCCTTCCATCCTTCACTCCCTTTTCTTTCTTCCTTCTCTCTTTCCTTCCTCCTCCTTCCCTCCCTCCCTTTCTCCCTCCTTTCTCCTCCTTTCCTTCCCCCCTCCTTCCTTCTTCCCTCCTCTTTCTTCCTTCCTCCCTTTTGTCTTTCTTTCTTTCTTTCCTTTCCTTCCTTCTTCCTTCCTTCCTTCCTTCCTTCCTTCTTCCTTCCTTCCATCTCTCTTTCCTTTATCCATCCCTTCCTTCCATCCTTCCCTTTCACCTTTTCATCCTTCCTTTCTTCCCTTTTTGTCTTCCCTTCCGTCCTTCCCTCTTTTCTCCCATCTCTCCCTCTTTCTCCTTCCATCCTTAACTTACTTACTTCCCTCACTTCCTCTTTCCTTCCTTCTCTCTTCCATCCCTCCTTCCCTTACCTTCCTCTTTCTCCTTCCCTCCTTCCCTCCTCCTTCCTTTTGTCTTTCCTTTCTTCTGTCTTTCCTTCCTCCTTCCCTCCCTTACCCCCTCTTTCTCCTTCCTTCCTTCCAACCTTCCTTCCCTCCCTTTTGTCTTTCCTTCCTTCTTTCTTTCCTTTATCCTTCCCTTCCTTCCTTCTCTCTTTCCTTTATCCTTCCCTTCCACCCTTTCATCCTTCCTTTTTGTCTTTCCTTCCTTCCCTCTTTCCTCCTCCTTCCCTCTCTCCCTCTTTTTCCTTCCATCCTTCTCTTCCCCCCTTCCTTCCTTCCTTCCTTCCTTCCTTCCTTCCTTCCTTCTCTCTTTTCTTCCATCCTTCTGTTACCGGGAAGCCAGTCCTCCTATTAGGGAGTGCTAGCATGCAACCCCCAAGTGAGAAAGTTTGCCCATGCCTGATGTGCACTGTCGCATGGATGCAGTTTGGCCTGACTTGAACTGCCATGGCTCAAGGCTATGGAATCCTGGGAGTTGTAGTTTGGTGAGGCACCAACCCCTTTTTGACAGTGAAAGCGAAAGGCCTTGGTTCAACTGGTTATTTTAACGCTAGTCATTGACCAAAATTAAAAATTTGCTTGTTCACTCAAGGCCTTGCAAAACTACAATTCCCAGGATTCCCTAATATTGAGCTCTGGAAGTTAAAGTGGGCTCAGACAGTACAGATGCGTCCACCTAAATGGAAGGAAGTTTTAGGACACATCTACATCTCCACTGATATCTTGGGCCTGTCTGGATGATGGACTCAAGGGTGTCCAAATCAGATGGCTCGAAATAGGGAGGGAAAAGGAAAACCATAGCGGACAAGATCAGGATCCAAAATAACCTTAAAAGATTACAGAACTAACAAAGTGAATGCCCAGAGGGAGAATTGTATGGTACTACAAGGGACAGGTGAGTGAACAAGGGACAGGTGAGTGCTGTGCCAAGGTTGCCACCTGCTGGTGTGTCAGGGGATTGCAGCATGACATCTGTGCAACCAAACTCTTGTGAGTTTTGACACACTTCTTGTGCCTCCAGGTTGCTTGTGGGAAGAGCGGGAGTACCGCCGTGGGGAGACGGTGCCCAGCGAGGACCCCTGCAAGAGGTGCACCTGTTTGGTGAGTCTGGCACCAGGGTGGGTTTCACCCAAAAATTGTTCAATCCTTCATAGGAATGCTACAGACAGTGACACCTGGCTTGAAAGATGTTGGTCAAACGTTGGCCAAGCAGTGCTACTATTCAGTGGATCTATAATTGGTTAAGCAACTGAACCCAAAGGGTGCTTCTCTTCAATGGTTCATCTTCTTCATCCTGGAAAGAAGTGACCTGGGGTCTGACTTGGCCATGGTGGTCCATGCTCTTGTTACATCCTGTATAGATTACTGCAACACGCTCTATGTGGGGTGGCCTTTGAAGACTATTCAGAAGCTCCAGCTGGTCCAGCAAGCAGCAGTCAGGTTGCTCACTGGAGCTGTGTGGCAATAGATTGACTGCTTTTTTGCGCTGCTTGTGTAAACCTGCTTGATTTGTATTGTCGAAGGCTTTCATGGCCGGAATCACTGGGTTGTTGTAGGGTTTTTTGGGCTACATGGCCATGTTCTAGAGGCATTCTCTCCTGACGTTTCGCCTGCATCTATGGCAAGCATCCTCACTACCTCTGAGCAGGCATGTAGCCGGGAGGGGGGCTTGAGGGGCTTCAATATATGTCCTTCACTCAAAAAATTGATTTTGTCATTTGGGTGTTGTAGCTGCTGGGATTTATAGTTCACCTACAATCAAAGAGCATTCTGAACTCCACCAATGATGGAATTGAACCAAATATGGCACACAGAACTCCCACGATGAGCAGAAAATATATATCTGTGATTGGTGGAGTGGGGGGGGGGGGGCAAAATACTGTTTGCTTACCGTTGAAAATTACCTAGGGCCGCCTCTGGTTGCGCCAGCTTCACTGGCTCCCAGTTTGCTACCAGGCACAATTCAAAGTGTTGGCTTTTGTTGCACTCCAGACCAGGAAAGTCCTCTGACTTTAAATACACACAGCTGAGTAGAAATGCAAGCTGTTTATTGATATTTTAAAAGCAGTAGCAGTAAAAAAAAACTCCATAAAAATAGGTAAATCCAATTAGGTAGAAAGATAAACAGGAACAAATAGTTCAGGAAATAAGTCCATCAGAGTTCATGGAAAGCAAATACTGAAACTTCCAAGGCAAAATTCCAAAACTTGAATCATAAATCAAACAAGGCACTTAACACATGAATCTATCCAAAGGAAGGCTTCCAGGGACTTGGGAAGATGTCTTGACTCAGTTTCAACATTGCTTCGTCTGACTACAGATTCTGTACTTGACACTTTTATCTCCTAATCTACTCTATGTCCCAAGCGACCAGGAACAGATTTTGTTTCAGCCTTGACTCTGCTATCAATCTCTCCCTCAGTCTGGTAGAGCACCTGAGAGATTGGTTTGTTTTCCTGTGCTGACTGAAAACATGCCTTCTATCTACTGGCTCATTAATTTCTGCAGCTGCCCCAGGTGCCAAGCTTTTCTCAGGCACAAAGTTCTGGGAATTCTCTGGTAGCAATTCAGGCCCTTTTCCAGAGACCCTACCATCATCCCCAAACCCTTCAGGAACAGTCTCATCAGAAAAGACACTTTTAACAGGAATCTCTTTGTCATTCTCTGCACCTAGAGCAGCGTTTCTCAACCTGGGGTTCGGGACCCCTGAGGGGGTCACAAGGGGGTGTTAGAGGGGTCACTAAAGACCATCAGAAAACACATATTTCTGATGGTTTTTGGAACACAGTGCTCTCTGGAGGTAGATGAACTACATCTCCCCTAAATCACTGTTGATTCCTCCCAAATCCCGCCAGTATTTTCTATTGGTCATGGGGGTTCTGTGTGAGAAGTTTGGCCCAACTCTATTGTTGGTTGGGTTCAAGGGGCTCTTTGATTGTAGGTGAACTATAAATCCCAGCAACAACAACTCCCAAATGTCAAGGCCTATTTTTCCCAAACTCCACCAGTGTTTGCAGGTGGGCATATTGAGTGTTTGTGCCGAGTTTGGTTCAGATTTGTCATTGTTTGAGTGGATGTAGGTGAACTAGAACTCTAAAACTCAAGGTCAATGCCCACCAAAACCTTCCAGTATTTTCTGTTGGTTATGGGAGTTCTGTGGGCCAAGTGTGGTTCAGTTCCGTCATTGGTGGAGTTCAGAATGCTCTTTGATTGTAGGTGAAATATAAATCCCAGGAACTACAACTCCCAGATGACAAAATCAATTTGCCCTCAACCCCACAAGTATTCAGATTTGGGCGTATTGGGTATTTGTGCCCAGTTTGGTCCAGTGAATGAAAATACATCCAGCATATCAGATATTGACATTACAATTCATAACAGGAGCAAAATTGCAGATATGAAGGAGCAATGAAAATAATGTTATGGTTGGGGGTCACCACAACATGAAGAACTGTACTAAGGGGTCGTGACATTAGGAAGGCTGAGAACCACTGACCTAGAGCAACCTCATCAATACAAACATAATTAGGTACATAAACCTTATTGTCATACCCAACATCCAGAGTATCCTGATCATTAGACACAATCACAGGCTGAACTCCAACATCCAACAAGCAGCAGCCAGGTTGCACATTGGAGCAGTGCTCAGGGAGCACACAACTTCCATGTTGCGTCAGCTCCACTGGCTGCCATTTTGCAACCGAGGGAGCAGGTTTCCTTTCTGCTGTCCTGGAGAGAGACTAGGATGCAATGGAACAATGGCTTCAAACTACAGGAAAGGAGATTCCACCTGAACATAAGGAAAAACTTCCTGGCTGTGAGAGTTGTTCAGCAGTGGAACTCTCTGCCTCAGAGTGTGATGGAGGCTCTTTCTTTGGCAGCTTTTAAACAGAGGCTGGATGACCATCTGTTGGGGATGTTTTGAATGCAATTTTCCTGCTTCTTGGCAGAATGGGGTTGGACTGGATGGTCCACTAGGTCTCTTCCAACTCTAGGATTCTATGATTCAATGAGAGTCATGTATAAACATGTGAAAGGATGTCATAAGAAAGAGGGAGCAGACTTAGAATCATAGAATCCAAGAGTTGGAAGAGACCTCCTGGGCCATCATCCAGTCCAACCCCATTCTGCCAAGAAGCAGGAATATTGCATTCAAAGCACCCCTGACAGATGGCCATCCAGCCTCTGTTTAAAAGCTTCCATAAAGACTTCCTTTCTGCTGCCCTGGAGACTAGGACTCAATGGAGCCATGGGTTCAAATGACTGGAAAGGAGATTCCATTGAACATTAGGAAGAACTTCCTGACTGTAAGAAGAACTGTTCAGCAGTGGAACTCTCTGTCTCAAAGTCTGGTGGAAGCTCCTTCCTTGGAGGCTTCCACCAGAGGTCCTTTGATTGTGCTTTCTCTGCATGGCAGATTGGGGTTGGACTACATGGCCCATGTGGTCTCTTCCAACTCCATGCTTCTCACCAATTCTGTAATGTTCTGCTTTGTTTTGACAGGCGGGAGAAGTCACGTGTGAGAACCTGTTTGCAACCTGCCCGCCTTTGTCGTGCTCCCATCCGGCCAAACTCCCAGGCCAGTGTTGCCCGACCTGCGAAGGTGTGTTGACCCTCCTCTCTCCAATTCCTGCCTCTGATTATGCCAATAAGCTCAGCTTTGTATCTATTTGGGGGAGGCCTTTTCCTAAGGGCGCATCTGCACTGTGGAATGAATGCAGTTTGAGATCACTTTAACTTGCACAGTGGAAGGTTAAGGAACCTCAAGAGTAGTTTTACAGAGTCTTCAAGAGAGATATTGACAAGCTGGAATGTGTCCAGAGGAGGGCGACTAAAATGCTCAAGGGTCTGGAGAACAAGCCCTATGAGGAGCGGCATAAGGAGCTGGGCATGTTTAGCCTGCAGAAGAGAAGGCTGAGAGGAGATATGATAGCCACGTATAAATATGTGAGAGGAAGTCACAGGGAGGAGGGAGCAAGCTTGTTTTCTGCTTCCTTGGAGACTCGGACACAATGGAACAATGGTTTCAAACTACAAGGGAGGAGATTCCATCTGAACATGAGGAAGAACTTCCTGACTGTGAGAGCCGTTCAGCAGTGGAACTCTCTGCCCCAGAGTGTGGTGGAGGCTCCTTCTTTGGAAGCTTTGAAACAGAGGGTGGATGGCCATCTGTCAGGGGTGATTTGAATGCAATATTCCTGCTTCTTGGCAGAATGGGGTTGGACTGGATGGCCCAGGAGGTCTCTCCCAACTCTTCGATTCTATAATTCTCCTCCGCTGCCCAAGGAGGCTTGTACCTTGCCAAACTGCAACTCCCACGATTCCATTGCATGGAGACATGGCAGTGGGGTCAAACTGCATTCATTCTACAGTGTAGACGCACCTGATGATTGGGACATAGTCTCTTTGCTTTGAGTCCCCCCAGGGGTGGGAAAGGCAGTATATAAATACTGTAAATAATACTAAATCTATATACATAAAAATGTAATGCTCGTTTGTGGGATTAACATAACTCTAAAACCACTGGACAAATTGACACCAAATTTGGACACTCTACCCCTAACAGACCGAGTGACCATCACTCCAACCCCCCCCCCCCCAAAGAAAAAAGAAAGGACTTAAACCCATAAATGAAATTACCCAAAAACTAATGACAATACAAAAAAAGATAGAGGGAAAGGAGGGATAAAGTAAGTAAGTAGTAAGTAATTAAGAAAGAAAGAAAAGAAAAGAAAAGAAAAAGAAAGGGGAGGAAGGAAAGAGGAGGAGGGAGGAAAGAAGCAAGAAGGAAGGAAGGAAAGAGGTAGAGAAGGAAGGAGAAGAAGGAAGGAAAAGAAAAAGGGAGGAAGGAAAGAAAGAAAGGAAGGAGAGAAGGAAAGAAAAAAGGGAAAGAGGAAAGAGGGAGTGAAGGAAGAAGAGAAAGAGAAGAAAAAAGGGAAGGGAGGAAAGAGGGATGAAGGAAGAGAGAAGAAGGAAAGAAAAGGAAAGAGGGAGAAAGGAAAGAAGAAGGAAAAAAAAAGGAAGGGAGGAAAGAAGGGGAAGGAAGAAGAGAAAGAAGGGAAAGAAATAAAGGGAAGGGAGGAAGAGGAGGAAGGAAGAAGAGAAAGAAGGAAGAAAGGAGGGAGGAAAGAAAGAAGAAGAAGAAGGAAGAGAAGAAAGGAAGGAAGAAGAAAGAGGAGAAAAGAAAGGAAAAGGAAAGAAAGGGAAGGAAAGAGGTAAGAAGGAAGGAGAAGAAAGAAATAAAGAAGAGAAGGGGAGAGAGAAAGAAAGAAGAAAGAGAGAGGGAGGGAGAGGGAAAGAAAGAAAGAAAGAAAGAGAAGGAAGGATGGAAGCAAAAAGCTAAGGAAGGAAGGAAAGAGGTAGAGAAGGAAGAAAGGAGGGAAAGAGGAAGGAAAAGAAAAAGGGGAGGGAAGGGAAGAAGAGATAGAGAAGGAAGAAAGGAAAGAAGAAAAGGGAATGAAGGAAGGAAAGAGGGAATGAAGGAAGGAATGAAAGAAGGAGAGAAAGAGGAAGGGATGGCTGGCCATAGCAATGCGTGGCGGATACAGCTAGTAACAAATAATAATGTAAAGAGACAGAAAGAAAGTGTGGAAGGCTGAGAGAAGGACAGCAGCAGAGAACGGCGCTTTGATGTGGAATATCCTTGGCACGGAATGGCTTTGATTCCTAAAGAGGAAGAGATCTAAATAATACATTTGTTGTTGTTGTTGTTGTTGTTGTTGTTGTTGGAGCAGGCAATTGATACAAATATAAGGAAAAGGGATTCCACTTAAGCGTTACCTCTTTGACCATGGAATATACTGCTTGGGATTGTGTTGAAGTTTCCTTCTCTTGAGGTTTTTAATCAGAGGCTGGCTGGCTGGCTGGCCACCTGTTGGGAGGGCTTTGATGGTGTCTTCCTGTGTGACAAAAAGGGGTTGGACTGGATGGTCTTTGGAGACCATTGCAAATCTTACAATGAACTGATTTGGGTTTCACTCATGGGTGTCTCCTTTTCTGGAGGTTCTGAAGCAGGAGCTGGATGGCCATCTGCTGGGAGGACTTTGATTGTGTCAGAGTAGTGGTAGTAACCCGCAGGATGTCTCAACCCCTTTTACTCTCAGCGTGATAAAAACTCAAAAACTACACATGAGTCTGCTGCTTTAAGTAGAAACAAAAATATACTTCTATTCACTGTAGGTGACAAACACAAAGCAAAACAGAAGAATTGTTCTCATCAATATACGACAAACAATATCTCCAGTGAGTCGTTGTCTTCTTTACGCGACGATATGCAAACACATAGCAAAATAATACAGTCTCTCTACTTAGTTATCAGTAGAATGTCCTTATCCTTAGACAATGACTTAAACTGGCGAGTGTTAACTGTTTGATTGTCTGTTTTTACTGTTTTATTGCTGTATTGTTATTTAAATTGTATATTTATGTTTTTGTTGTGGGCACCCAGGGTTGCCAGTTTGTTAGCTGCCCTGAGTCCCTCTGTGGAGGTTAAGATAGGATGGGATACAAATGCCCGAAATAAATAAATAAATAAATAAATAATATTGCTATAAACAAGCAGTTTCCTTGGCACTCCAAAGAGCTTCAGTCTTCAGCTTCAGGGTGCTGCATAACCACTCCCAGCAACAGGCAAAAGTTTCTTCAGCTCAAACAAGTCATCAAGCTAAGCCAAATGCAGCACTCAAAACTTGCAAGCTTTAGTACCTTGTTATATGCTGAAGCAGATAACACACCCAATTAACTTGTAGCAGCTGTAACAGAAAAGGTTCTGACCCTCCCTGTTGCTTAGAAAAAGGCTGTTGTAAACCCCTAATAGCAACAGATTGTGTCTTCCTGCCTGGCAGAAAGAAGGGGGTTGGACTGGATGGCCTTTGGGGTTCCCTTCCAACTCCTGCTTCTCACTTCTGCTTCTTTCTTCTTTTTTGCCAGTGTGTGATTTTGAAGGCCGCCTGTACCCCAATGGAGAGACCTTCACTCCTGCGGGAGAAAGCCCCTGCCTGCGCTGCACATGCACAGTGAGTAGAGCCTTATTAGTAGTAGTAGTAGTAGTAGTAGTAGTTGTTGTTGTTGTAGTAGTATCATGTCGTGATATCACAACCAAGGTGTATTATTACAGCAAATCATTGCCTCTGGTCAAGGGATTGGGGAGATATCTGTGCTGGATGGAGTTGCACTCCCCCTGAAATCACAGGTTCGCAGTTTGGGGGTCCTCCTGGATTCAGCGCTGATGCTTAATGCGCAGGTGTCGGCGGTGGCCGGGGGGGGGGGGCGGGCTTCACATAATTAAAACTCGTGCGCCAACTACAACCTTACCTCGTGAAGTCTGACTTCACCATTGTGGTCCATGCCTTAGTTACCTCTAGACTGGACTACTGCGATGTACTCTACATGGGGTTACCCTTGAAGACGGCCTGGGAACTACAACTTGTTCAATATTCGGCAGCCAGATTAATAATGGGGCTAGTTACAGGGAACGGTTGACCCCCCCTGTTTAAGGAGCTCCGGGCCCAATTCAAGGTGCAGGTTATCACCTACGAGGCCCTAAATGGTTTGGGACCCGCCTACCTTCGTGACCATATCTCCCTCCATGAACCAGCCTGGGCCCTCCGATCTTTGGGGAGGCCCTCCTTTCACCCCTGCCAATTTCACAAATTTGTCTTATGGGCACAAGGGAGAGAGCTTTCTCCTCTGTGGCCCCCCAACTCTGGAACTCATTACCTGGAGAGATCAGGAAAGCCCCTACCCAAACCTTTAAAAAGGACCTTAAAACCTGGCTCTTCCGCAGTGCCTTTGGCGAGTAGGCACACAACCTCACATTATTGCTCACCCTCAACGTTTCTGTCACTGGAGTACATATCCCCGCCCCCCCTTGTAGGAAAGCTTGGTCCCACAACCCCGTTTTTTTATGAGCTCCCCTTCTCAAATAACCTGCTCCTCCTTTTATCTCACCTGAGTTTTTAATCATTTATTCTGCACATGTGGCCTGCCCATTGTCACTGTGATTGTCTTATTGTAATTTTATATTGCTAATGTATTCACATGTTTTAATGTAATTATGATGTTGTTTGTTGCTTATGTTTTTTTTTTTATTTTGCTGTAATTTGTTGCTTGGGCTTGGCCTCATGTAAGCCACCCCAAGTCCCCGTTGGGGGAGAGGGTGGAGCGGTATAAATAAAGATTATTATTATTATTATTATTATTATTATTATTATTATTATTATTATTATGTCCTCTTGCCTTCCCGTCCTATTCCTCCTTCATTTAATCACAGTAACATATAGTTAAGGGGGGGCCCAAAGGCCATCTAGTCCAACATCTTGTTGTGCCATTGTCCCTCTTCCAGGGACCATACCATCATCCCCAGCACTGCTGGTCACAGCTGACCTCCAGCTGGAGCGCTCAAGGGCCAGGGCTTCCCACTTCTCAGTGTCTATGCCAGAGTTTTTAAGGTTGGCTTTGAGCCCATCTTTCAATCTCTTTTCCTGTCCTTCAGCATTCCATTTTCCATTCTTGAGTTCAGAGTAGAGCAACTGCTTCGAGAGACGGTGGTCAGGCATCTGGACAACGTAGCCAGTCCAGCGGAGTTGATGGTGGAGGACCATCACTTCAGTGCTGGTGGTCTTTGCTTCTTCCAGCACGCTGACATTTGTCCGTTTGTCTTCCCAAGAGTTTTGCAGGATTTTCCGGAGACAGCGCTGATGGAATCGTTCCAGGAGTTGCATGTGACGTCTATAGACAGTCCACATCTTGCAAGCGTATAGCAGGGTTGGGAGGAGAATAGCTTTATAAACAAGCCCTTTGGTCTCCCTACAGATGCCCTGGTCCTCAAACACTCTTTGCTTCATTTGGAAGAATACTGCACTCGCAGAGCTCAGGCAATGTTGCATTTGAATGTCAATGTTGATGTCTGTAGACAGTCTATGTTTTGCCGGCATATAGCAGGGTAGAGAGGACAATAGCTATATAAACAAGTCCCTTGGTCTCCCTACGGATATCCCGGTCCTCAAACACTCTCTGCTTCATTCTGAAAAATGCTGCATGCGAGGAGCTCAGGCAATGTTGCATTTCAATGTCAATGTTGATGTCTGTAGACAGTCCATGTTTCACAGGCATATAGCAGGGTAGAGAGGACGATAGCTATATAAACAAGCCCCTTGGTCTCCCTACGAATGTAGCGGTCCTCAAACACTCTCTGCTTCATTTGGAAAAATGCTGCACTCGCAGAGCTCAGGCAATGTTGCATTTGAATGTCAGTGCTGATGTCTGTAGACAGTCCATGTTTCGCAGGCATATAGCAGGATAGAGAGGACGATAGCTATATAAACAAGCCCCTTGGTCTCCCTACGGATGTCCTGGTCCTCAAACACTCTCTGCTTCATTCGGAAAAATGCTGCACTCGCAGAGCTCAGGCAATGTTGCATTTGAATGTCAATGTTGATGTCTGTAGACAGTCCATGTTTCGCAGGCATATAGCAGGATAGAGAGGACGATAGCTATATAAACAAGCCCCTTGGTCTCTCTACGGATGTCCTCAAACACTCTCTGCTTCATTCGGAAAAATGCTGCACTCGCAGAGCTCAGGCGGCGTTGTATTTTGTGATAGAACTAATTAGAGAATGACATTGATAACCCAGGAGCAGTTGCAAGGGCCTTGCTGTGTATCTCAGCTACTCTTCTCTTGACATCTTTCTCTGTTTTCTGAGCAGGAAGGGAGCGTCCGGTGCCAGGAAGAGGCCTGTCCTCCGCTGCTGTGCTCCCATCCCGTTCGAGAGCCAGGGCAATGCTGCCCTTCCTGCAAAGGTGATTCTTGAACCCGAGACCATGTGTTTGTGGCAAAGGGGGGGGGGGAACCAGGCATGAGCCAACTTTGGCCTTCCCTCCAAGTGTTTTGTACTCCAACTCCCACAATTCCTAACAGCCAAAGTTGGCCCATGCCCTATCTATACTGTAGAATGAATGCAACTTGACCCCACTTGAACCCCACTTGAACTGCCATGACTCAATGCTATGGGGTCCTGGGAGTTGCCATTTGGCAAAACACCAGACTTTGTAAAGCTACAACTTCCAGGATCCCATTGCATTGATCCACAGTGGTGGATTAATCCTACAGTGAAGATGCACCCTGGAAGATGACATTGCATTGTAAAATTAAAGCTCTAAAAGAGCCCATGGAGAGGCAATAACATGGTAAATTTGCCCCTGCAAGAGCAATTTGGAGACAGAACCTGATTGTTGTTGTGGTGGTGGTTGGATTGGTTTTTCTCGGGGACCAATGCCGCTTCTTTATATCCAACCATTGCTCTGTCCTGCTATTTGGAGGTAAAAGCCAGGCCTAACATGCATTTTGTCTTTTTCACCCTTCAGTCTGCATTCTGGACAGCATTGAGTTCGAAGACGGCACCGAATGGGAACCTGAAGGAGAGCCTTGCAGGACCTGTGTCTGCCACCAGGGGGAGCCAGTCTGCAGTGCCATCCAGTGCCCACCAGTTCCGTGCCAGCATCCAGCCCAATTGCAAGGTAAATGCATCCCTTATTCCCAGATTAATTGTCAGGTTTTACAATGTATTGTAATATAGTATAGCTGAGTCATGCACTGCTAATAGGCTTCTATTGGAAATGCTGAGTCATGCATTGTGCCGTTGCGCTTGGGGGCTATTAGTCTTAATGAAGAAGGGATGGATGTGGCGCCTTTCCCCCAAGGGATTGCTTCTTGCCCTCCTATAGGAAACTGGAACTCCCAAAAACCCAAAACGCTGTAAATAACTCAAAATAAGTTTTATTGAACACAAAGTCATTTCTTTAAAGCGGTGAGCTGGAAAACTTCAGAGGGGTGAAGGAAAAAATATACATTACAGTCTCAATTAGTCCTGGGTCCAAGGGATTTGAAGCTGAGAAGCCTCACCAAGTTTCCTCCTTCCTCAATGGCTGTGAATGCCGGAGCAAACCACAACCCCAGTTCAGATGGCCTATGTCTTGAAGATTCAGAATCTTCCTTTGGTGCCAAAAGAACCGGCTTGAAGGCACCTGGGTCTCCTCAATAATTGTCCAGGATGATCTGGACATAAAGCATGAGTCCCAGGGGTAAAAAAAACCCCTCAGAACTGGTGCTAAGAGGTAACTTAAATCAGGGTCTTTAAGAAACAAGTCTCTTACTCACGTCCATATGGCAGGACCTCTGATGGCAGAATGAAAAAGGAAACCACTCCCCCCCTCCAGGAAGAGGTGGAGCCAAACAGTACTGATTGACAGCTACAAGCAACCAATCCATACAACTATACATAAACATGGTAAAAAGGGGCAGGATTAAGCATGATACAACAGTTTAAATCTTACAACTAACAGTTCTATACATAGGTGGCACCACTTGCACCGTCACAGACATCAATTGGGGAATGTGTTCTGGCCTGGTCCAAATTAGTGTTAATGATGCAATCCTGGGTTTGAGTTAAGTCAATGAGTTGGGAACCAATCAGAGATTGCTATGTGTAATTGTACAGAATTGTATATAAGGAAGTCATGTACAGTGTATACTCTCTCCTTGTGCTGTGATGCTGTTCGTTGAAGGCTCTATGTAATTGATTAAAAGAACCTGTCTGCTAAGACAAGATATAACTGTGTGCTGTGGTAATTTGTAATGTCATCTTGACTGGGGGAAAGACAATAGTCAAACTGACAATGGCCGGGCATGTGCTCAAGTGTCTGTAAAAGAGTCCCAGAGTGACTGCAGGCTGTGGGAGCAGTTGACTGAAAAAATACTGTGCAGGAAAAAGCTACTGGAAAGCGCTGAAGTTGTGCAACTGATCTGCTGCTGAATTGTGAAATTAATCTCAACATTAATTATAGTTATAATTATAATTACTTATATCCTTCTCTTAACAGCACTCAAAACCATAATACTTTTGGGAATCAGCCTGTGTTTGTGTTTCAGGATCCTGATATGGGTCATGATGAGGGAAACGATGAGAGAAATGATGGTGCTGAGGTGGAGATGGTTTGGTTAATGATTTTCAGGCAGACAATGACAGAGAGGCCCCAGTGCAAAGGGCAGTTTCTCATGAGAATATCCCTGCTGGGCCTAGCAATGATGGTTCACTCCCTCTCTCTGTGAACTCTCAAGACTTGGGTTTGGAAAACAATCTGACATCAATAGGAGCCTAGTGTCTAGATCTAGGGAAGTCATGCTCCCCATGCTCTATTCTGCTTTGGTTAGACCACACCTGGAATATTGTGTCCAATTCTGGGCACCACAATTGAAGAGAGATATTGACAAGCTGGAATGTGTCCAGAGGAGGGCGACTAAAATGATCAAGGGTCTGGAGAACAAGCCCTATGAGGAGCGGCTTAAAGATCTGGGCATGCTTAGCCTGAAGAAAAGAAGGCTGAGAGGAGATATGATAGCCATGTATAAATATGTGAGAGGAAGCTACAGGGAGTAGGGAGCAAGCTTGTTTTCTGCTTCCTTGGAGACTAGGACGCAATGGAGCAATGGCTTCAAACTACAAGAAAGGAGATTCCATCTGAACATGAGGAAGAACTTCCTGACAGTGAGAGCCATTCAGCAGTGGAACTGTCTGCCGCGGAGTGTGGTGGAGGCTCCTTCTTTGGAAGCTTTTAAACAGAGGCTGGATGGCCATCTGTCAGGGGTGCTTTGAATGCCATATTCCTGCTTCTTGGCAGAATGGGGTTGGACTGGATGGCGGCCCAGGAGGTCTCTTCCAACTCTTTGATTCTATGATTCTACGATTTGAGTTTGGAAAACAATCTGACATCTGGGAATTTTAATGAGCACAAGAAGACAATGGATTCCCACCAATACAAAAAACACAAATCCACTAACATAAATGACAATGGTCGATATTGCCTAACAGTTTGTATATTACAATATTCAACAAACGACAAAATTAAATGGTATAGGCATAACCCAGTATATAACGAACAAGAACCAGTTGTTTACAAAGATTACACATACATAACATAAAGAGTCTTTTGGTGTAAAGACAACTTGTCTTCAGGGCATAAGATCCCTTGCTTTAGAGTAAGCATAATGTAAAGAGTCTTTCTTGGTGTAAAACCAACTTCTCTTCAGGGCACAGGATCCCTTGCTTTAGAAAATTTGTGGGTATCCAAAAGAAAAGTTGTCTTTACACCAAAAGACTCTTTATGTTATGTATGTGTAATCTTTGTAAACAACTGGTTGTTGTTCGTTATATACTGGGTTATGCCTATACCATTTAATTTTGTCGTTTGTTGAATATTGTAATATACAAGCTGAACGGCTCTCACAGTCAGGAAGTTCTTCCTCGTGTTCAGATGGAATCTCCTCTCTTGTAGTTTGAAGCCATTGTTCCATTGCGTCCTAGTCTCCAGGGAAGCAGAAAACAAGCTTATATACTGGGTTATGCCTATACCATTTAATTTTGTCATTTGTTGAATATTGTAATATACAAACTGTTAGGCAATTTTAATGAGCAGCCAGATAGGGAGCTGAAAAATAGGCACCTGGAGATTAACCAGGATCGACAGCAAACTCAGTGTTTACGTCGCTCTGAAAGGCTTCGCCTGATAAGGGGTAAATGTGGTGGAAAGCGAAACCAATTTCTGATTTTTGGGATATAAGGTTTGCCTCAAGGGGAAACCTGTTAGATCAGGCATCGTTTGGAAATCAAGTTCATGTGCCATGGAAATCCTGTTCAAGGGGTCTCGTTCCTGTGGAGTTTTTTAGCCTTTTTGGTTGTCCTTGCATCCTGTTGATTCCTGTCTGGATAAATGCCCTCTTGGATTGCTTTTATATCTGTTGTGGACATTGCTTGGTGTTACTATTTTTTATGGACTTATTACTTTTTGGAACTTTCTTATTTTTTTACAAGCATTTATTTCTTCTGGCTATTTACTAAACTTCAATAAAAGAAGATTTGTTTCTTCATTCTTAGTGTGGTGTGTTTTAAAATCAGAGGGCTTTTTCCTGACCTGGGAGTGCAACAAATACCAACTTACTTACAATTTCTACTTAGGCGATTCCTTGTAGCTCGAGAATGATTGTCTTCCAGATGTGGTGTCTTGGCAGTGGGTCCGTAGGTGGTTGTGGAGCCCTATTCTTGATCCGCATCTTCTCCCACGATTAGGACATCAGTTTCCAGGTGGAAGGAGGTACCGGTCAGTGTTGGCTTGACACACCTTCCTCTTGGCACGTTTCTCTCTTTCGCCCTCCATTCATACCTCTTCAAATTCTTCAGCACTGCTGGTCACAGCTGACCTCCAACTGGAGTGCTCAAGGGCCAGGGCTTCCCAGTTCTCAGTGTCTATGCCAGAGTTTTTAATGTTGGCTTTGAGCCCATCTTTCAATCTCTTTTCCTGTCCACCAACATTCAATTTTCCGTTCTTGAGTTTGGAATAGAGCAACTGCTTTGGGAGACGGTGGTCGGACATCCAGACAATGTGACCGGTCCCACAGAGTTGATGGCGGAGGATCATCACTTCAGTACTGGTGGTCTTTGCTTCTTCCAGCATGCTGACATTTGTCAGCTTGTCTTCCCAAGAGATTTGCAGGATTTTCCGGAGGGAGCACTGATGGAATTGTTCCAGGAGTTGCATGTGACGTCTGTAGACAGTCCACGTCTCGCAGGCATATAGCAGTGTTGGGAGGACAATAGCTTTGTAAACAAGCACCTTTGTATCCCTACAGATGTCCCAATCCTCAAACACTCTCTGCTTCTTTCAGAAAAATGCTGCACTCGCAGAGCTCAGGCGGTGTTGTATTTCAGTGTTAATGTTGATGTCTGTAGACAGTCCACGTCTCGCAGGCATAGAACAGGGTTAGAAGGACAATAGTTTTATAAACAAGCCCCTTGGTATCCCTACGGATGTCCCGGTCCTCAAACACTCTCTGCTTTATTTGGAAAAATGCTGCACTCGCAGAGCTCAGGCGGTGTTGAATTTCAGTGTCAATGTTGACTTTGGTGGAGAGGTGGCTGCCAAGGGAGCGGAAATGGTCAACATTTTCTAATGTTACACCACAGAGCTGTATCTCTGGCGTTGGAGAGGGATTGGCTGGTGACTTCTGCTGGAAGAGCACTTTGGTTTTCTCGATGTTTAATGACAAGCCGAGCTTCTCATCTGCTTCTGCGAAGGTGTTTACAGTGGCTTGTAGGTCTTCTTCTGAATGTGCACAGACATTGCAGAAAGACACAACCCAAGCCCTCCCAACAGATGACCAGTCAGTCTCTGTTTAAAATCCTCCAGAGAAGAGACTCCACAAGACTAATAAGCAGTCTATATTCCATTAGAGTAGAGAAGGGACCCCCAAAGGCCACCCAGTCCAACCCTGTTTAACAGTTCAGGAGGGCACACCTAAAGCACTCCCAACAGATGGCCATTCTGTTGGTCTTCTTCTGAATGTGCACAGACGATTTCACTGATGACCTGCATCCTCTTCTTCCTCCTCTTCTTCCCCAGGCGCCTGCTGCCCAGACTGCCAGCGATGCTCCTACAACCAGCGGCTTTACAGCAACGGGCAGGAATTTCTCGACCCCGATAACCTTTGCCAGAGCTGCCGGTGTGCGGTGAGATCCAGGAGGGTTCTCCTTATTAGAGAAATAAACAGAGAAAATGGGGAGAAAGTACACAAGCCCAGCAAAACCCAGTAGATGGGAAATGTGGGTATTTTAGATTAGAGCTCCCACAATCCCCAGCCAAGCTAGTGGAGACTCAGAGTGGTAGAATAATAGAAATAGAGAGCTGGAAGGGGTTGGGTTGGGTGGCTCTTGTGGTCTCTTCCAACTCTTTGATTCTATGCAGGGACCCCCAGAGGCCATCTAGTCCAACCCTCTGCTCAGTGCGAGGTCTCAAGCTATGGCAGGTAACAGCCAAGAAGACTCTTTTGGAAGACACCTCGAGAAGAAGACCCCACCATCTCTCAGTCTATAGGCTTGCCTATATCACCCAAAATAATCCCGTTGTGATTCAGATTATTCGGCCCTCGGTCTGCCCCGGATTCAGCTTTTTCGACCCACATTACAATTGTCAATCAGCACAGTCTTTCATAGAATCCTAGAATTGTAGATTTGGAAGAGACCCTCAAAGGCCATCTGGTCTAACCCCCATCTGCCTTGCAGAAAGACACAATCCAAGCCCTCCCGACAGATGGCCAGTCAGTCTCTGTTTAAAATCCTCCAGAGAAGGAGACTCCACAAGACTAATAAGCAGTCTATATTCCATTAGAGTAGAGAAGGGACCCCCAAAGGCCACCCAGTCCAACCTTGTTTAGCAGTTCAGGAGGGTACACCTAAAGCACTCCCAACAGATGGCCATCAAGCCACTGCTTCAAGACTTCCTGAGAAGGAAATTCCACCAGATTCCCAGTCAATCAATCAATCAGTCAGCAGCAGATTACACGGTCAACTGGATTATCTGAGTCTACCCTGCTATATAGAATCCAGATTATATGCTTTAAACTGGATTATATGGCAGTGTAGACTCATTATTATTATATTATTTGTCTTCTTTGTTGTAGTATCACACATATAGCTAATGTTCAGCTTGCTATCAGCACTTAACCCAAGGTTATGTCACGTGTGTGTGTGTGTGTGTGTGGAGGGGGTCCAAAATACTCAGTTTTCCAATCCCTGCAAGTCTCACTGCTGAACATGAATCGGTAGACATGAAAACACAACTATTTGGGGTTTGGTAACTGCTCAATATCTCCCTTGGGCTGCAGGACGGGACAGTGAGCTGCATCCCGATCGTTTGCCCCCCAGTCACTTGCCCTCAACCACAGAAGAAGCCTGGATCTTGTTGTTCCACGTGCCCTGGTAAGTCCTTGTTGTTGTTCATTCATTCAGTCATTTCCGACTCTTCGTGACTTCATGGACCAGCCCACGCCAGAGCTCCCTGTCAGTCGTCACCACCCCCAGCTCCTTCAAGGTCAAGCCAGTCACTTCAAGGATGCCATCCATCTACCTTGCCCTTGGTCGGCCCCTCTTCCTTTTTCCTTCCATTTTCCCCAGCGTCATTCTCTTCCCTAAACTTTCCTTTCTTCTCATGATGTGGCCAAAGGACTTCATCTTGGCATCTCCTATCCTTCCCTCCAATGAGCAGTCAGGCTTTATTTCCTGAAGTATGGACTGGTTGGACCTTCTGGCGGTCCAAGGCACTCTCAGAACTTTCCTCCAACACCACAGTTCAAAAGCATCTCTCTTCTTTCGCTCAGCTTTCATAGAATCATAGAATCAAAGAGTTGGAAGAGACCTCCTGGGCCATCCAGTCCAACCCCATTCTGCCAAGAAGCAGGAATATTGCATTCAAATCACCCCTGACAGATGGCCATCCACCCTCTGTTTCAAAGCTTCCAAAGAAGGAGCCTCCACCACACTCCGGGGCAGAGAGTTCCACTGCTGAACGGCTCTCACAGGAAGTTCTTCCTCATGTTCAGATGGAATCTTCTCTCTTGTAGTTTGAAGCCATTGTTCCGCGTCCTAGTCTCCAAGGAAGCAGAAAACCGCTTGCTCCCCTCCTCCCTGTGGCTTCCTCTCACATATTTATACATGGCTATCATATCTCCTCTCAGCCTTCTCTTCTTCAGGCTAAACATGCCCAGCTCCTTAAGCCGCTCCTCATAGGGCTTGTTCTCCAGACCTTTGATCATTTTAGTCGCCCTCCTCTGGACACATTTCAGCTTGTCAATATCTCTCTTGAATTGTGGTGCCCAGAATTGGACACAATATTCCAGGTGTGGTCTAACCAAAGCAGAATAGAGGGGTAGCATTACTTCCCTGGATCTAGACACTAGGCTCCTATTGATGCAGGCCAAAATCCCATTGGCTTTTTTGCCGCCACATCACCTTGTTGGCTCATGTTTAACTTGTTGTCCACGAGGACTCCAAGATCTTTTTCACATGTACCGCTCTGTCGAGCCAGGCCATGTCCCCCATTCTGTATCTTTGCATTTCGTTTTTCCTGCCAAAGTGGAGTATCTTGCATTTGTCCCTGTTGAACTTCATTGTGTTACTTTTGGCCCATCATCTCTCTAATCTGTCAAGATCGTTTTGAATCCTGCTCCTGTCCTCTGGAGTATTGGCTCTCCCTCCCAATTTGGTGTCGTCTGCAAAATTGATGATCCTGCCTTCTAACCCTTCATCTAAGTCATTAATAAAGATGTTGAACAGGATCGGGCCCAGGACAGAACCCTGCGTTTTCCCTTCCACTTTCCCCAGCATAATTGTCTTCTCTAGGCTTTCCTGTCTCCTCATGATGTGGCCAAAGTACTTCAACTTTGTCTCTAGTCTCCTTCCCTCCAATGAGCAGTCGGGCTTTCTTTCCTGGAGGATGGACTGGTTGGATCTTCTCGCAGTCCAAGGCACTCTCAGGACTTTCCTCCAACACCACAGCTCAAAAGCATCGATCTTCCTTCGCTCAGCCTTCCCTAAGGTCCAGCTCTCACATCCGTAGGTGACTACAGGGAATACCATGGCTTTGACTAGGCAACGGATCTTCGTTGCCAGTGTGCTGTCTCTACTCTTCACTATTTTATCAGTCATCTTCGCACCTAGAAATACAAACCCCATCATAGCCTCCATGTTTTCTCCCTCTGTTTGCCAATTATCAATCGGTCTTGTTGCCATAATCTTGGGTTTTTTGATGTTTAGCTGCTTTTGCGCTTTCTTCTTTCACCTTGGTTAGAAGGCTCCTCATATTCTCCTCGCTTTTGACCTTGTTTGCTGTAGACTCATCTTGTTGTGCATTTGTTGTTGTTCATTCGTTCAGTCGTCTCCGACTCTTCGTGACCTCATGGACCAGCCCACGCCAGAGCTCCCTGTCGGCCGTCACCACCCCCAGCTCCTTCAAGGTCAGTCGTCACTTCAAGGATGCCATCCATCCATCTTGCCCTTGGTCGGCCCCTCTTCCTTTTGCCTTCCACTTTCCCCAGCATCATTCCCTTCTCTAGGCTTTGCTGTCTCCTCATGATGTGGCCAAAGGACTTCCACTTTGTCTCTCGTCTCCTTCCCTCCAATGAGCAGCCGGGCTTTCTTTCCTGGAGGATGGACTGGTTGGATCTTCTCACAGTCCAAGGCACTCTCAGCACTTTCCTCCAGCACCACAGTTCAGAAGCATCGATCTTCCTTCGCTCAGCCTTCCCTAAGGTCCAGCTCTCACATCCGTAGGTTACTACAGGGAAGACCATGGCTTTGACTAGGCGGATCTTTGTTGCCAGTCTGATGTCTCTACTCTTACTATTTTATCGAGACTGGACATTGCTCTCCTCCCAAGAAGTAAGCGTCTTCTGATTTCCTGGCCACAGTCTGCATCTGCAGTAATCTTTGCGCCTAGAAATACAAACCCTGTCACGGCCTCCACATTTTCTCCCTCTATTTCCCAGTTGTCAATCATTCTTGTTGCCATAATCTTGGTTTTTTGTGCATATTATTATTATTATTATTATTATTATTATTATTATTATTTAATGTGTCTGCATGTTTAATTCCATTTTAATATGTATATGTTGTGGATTTTCAAATTGCATTTGCATCTCAGCCATGTGATAAGAGCAGGATCCTCTCTCTCCTCCTCCATCCTGCTTTAGACTGTGCTTATGACAACCGGGTTATAGCAGACGGAGCAGAGATCCCCAGCCCTTTGAACCCTTGCCAGGCTTGCGTCTGCACCAGAGGCGAAATGCTCTGCATGGAACGGCAGTGTCCAGGGGCTTTGTGCGCCCACCCTTTACCGGGCTCTTGCTGCCAGAACAACTGCAATGGTAAGTCGTAGAATGCTAGAATCCTTGGAAGGAGCTCAAAAGTGGCTTAACATAAAAGCATCACCAATACGAGGGTTGAATGAAAAGTAATGCCTCCACCTTGGTAACTCCTCAACAGATGGCAGTACTGGTATGCGGCAGGTACTGGCTTGTTCAGTAGACTCTCCTCTACAGTTGCATTTTGGCGGGAAGCCTTAGCATTGAACGGTTGTGTTGTTAAAGTGTGAAGCATGGAACCCTGCTCAGATGGTCAGTCAATGTGAATTAAGGAATGTGCAGTCATTGAATTCTTGACAGCAGAAGAAGAGTCATCAGAGAATGCAAACTGTTTATGGGGATTGTGTTGATGTGAGTACTGTGCATCATTGGGTGAGTAAGTTTAAATATGTTGAGGTGGGAACATCTGACTTGCGTGACAAACAAAGAGTTGGACGTCCTATGACAGCAACCACCAAGTTTCACAACCAAAAGGTTGACAGAGAGATTCAGGACGATCTTCGTATCACTCAGAGAGAAATTTCAAGCATAATCAGCACTTCACAAGAACGTGTGGGTCCCATTATTGCTTTGCTTGGCTATCGGAAAATCTATGCACGATGGGTACCCAGGATGCTGACACCTGAAAGGAAAGCCACAGACTTGAAACTTCAGAGACTGGATCTCACCACCGTACGACATCCTCCATTCAGTCCAGATTTAGCACTGCCTGACTTCCATCTGTTCCCAATAATGAAAGAAGATCTGCGGAGACATCATGATGCTTCTGATGAAGATGTTGAGAGAACTGTGAGACGCTGGTTGCGGAAACAGAGTGTCGACTTCTTCCGTGACAGCTTCAGAAAACTTGTTTATCATATTGTTGAAGGTTTTCATGGTTGGAATCACTGGGTTGTTGTAGGTTTTTTTTGGGCTGTATGGCCATGTTCTAGAGGCATTCTCTCCTGGCGTTTCACCTGCATCTATGGCAAGCATCCCCAGAGGAACAATGGCTTCAAACTACAAGAAAGGAGATTCCATCTGAACATGAGGAAGAACTTCCTGACTGTGAGAGCCGTTCAGCAGTGGAACTCTCTGCCCCGGAGTGTGGTGGAGGCTCCTTCTTTGGAAGCTTTTAAACAGAGGCTGGATGGCCAGCTGTCAGGGATGATTTGAATGCAATATTCCTGCTTCTTGGCAGAATGGGGTTGGACTGGATGGCCCATGAGGTCTCTTCCAACTCTTTGATTCTAGGATTCTATAGAGAGGTTCATCGTTTGCAGAAATGTATCCAATTGTCTGGTAATTATGTGGAAAAGTGAAGAGTGGTAGTTCAAGAGCAGATTCTAAGGATTATTTCTGCCTTTGTTTTATTAAAATATTCCCATCCAAACCCAAGTAACAAATATGGAGGCATTACTTTTCATTCAACCCTCGTACAAACATTAAAAGGGGATTAAATCTAAACAGTATTTTTTTTTAAATTCCCAGTTAAAAACAATTAAAACCTATTGTCATGACTCCATGCTATGGAATCCTGGGAGTTGTAGATTTGCAAAGCCAAAAAGAATGCTGGTGCCTACTACTACAACTCCCACGATTCCATAGCAAGGAACCATGGCACTTCGAGTGCTATCAAACTGCATTCAATCTACATTCCTTGATGTGTTGTCAACGTGCCATGCTTTTGGTTTGGCGTTGTGTTGAATGAAAACAATATTGAAGGATTGCTCTCCTGTGACTTCTAAGATCATGTTTTGGTTTATGGTCAACCGAAAACAAACCAACCAATTCTCCTTGCAAGAAGTGCTCCTTTGAGGCTGAGAGAGTGTGGCTCACGCAAGGCCACCACACTGCTTCATCTGGAGCCCGAAGTGGCAGAACGTGCCAGCAAGTGGCATTAACCCTTCCCTCTCTGCACAGGTTGCAACTACGCCGGGAAGGAGTACCCCAATGGAGCTGAATTCCCACACCCCACAGACAAGTGTCGGAGGTGCCATTGCATTGTGAGTGATGGGCTTGCGTCTGCAGACCTGATGTCTTCCTCCCCATCATTGTAGGTCCTCCTCCCAATAGGAAATGTCAGCCTGTTTTTTGCAGGGAGGGAAAAGAGCAAAGAGGTTGGACTAAATGACCTCTAGGTCATTCCTCATGTTGTGTTGACCCCCAACCATAACATTATTTTCGTTGCTAATGTTATGAATCGTAATGTAAACAGATTGTAATCGTAATGATATGCAGGATGTATTTTCATTCACAGGACCAAATTTGGCACAAATACCCAATATGCCCAAATTTGAATACTGGTGGGGTTGGGAGCAGGGTATTTATTTTATCCTGTGGGAGTTGTAGTTGCTGGGATTTATAGTTAACCTACAATCAAGGAGCATTTTAAACTCCACCAACAATGGAATTGAACCAATCTTGGCACACAGAACTCCCATGACCAACAGAAAATACTGGGAGGGTTTGGTGGACATTGACCTTGAGTTTTGGAGTTGTAGTTCACCTACATCCAGAGAGCACTGTGGACTCAAACAATGATAGATCTGGACCTGACTTGGCACGAATGCTCAATATGCCCAAATGTGAACAATGGTGGAGTTTGGGGAAAATAGGCCTTGGCATCTGGGAGTTGTAGTTTCTGAAATTTATAGTTCACCTACAATCAAAGATAATTCTGAACTCCGCTAATGATGGAATTGAACCAATCTTGACACAGAACTCCCATGACCAACAGAAAATTCTGGAAGGGTTTCATGGGTATTGACCTTGAGTTTTGGAGTTGTAGTTCACCTACATCCAGAGAGCACTGTGGACTCAAACAATGATGGATCTGGACCAAACTTTGCATGGATACTCAATATGACCAAATGGAACACTGGTGGAGTTTGGGGGAAATATACCTTGACATCTGGGAGTTGTAGTTGCTTGGATTTATAGTTCAGCTACAATCAAAGAGCCTTCTGAACCCCACCAACAATAGGATTGGGCCAAACTTCCCACACAGAACCCCCTTGACCAACAGAAAATACTGTGTTTTCTGATGGTCTTTGGCGACCCCTCTGAGACGCTTTAAGTTACCCAAAGTCAACCAGTTGGTCCCAAACCGAACAGTGATTTGAACACTGATCTCCAGAGCTGCTCAAACCCTTGCCCCACACTGGATCCTGTACTTTTCTTGTCTGAGATGCAATATTTTCCCAGGAAAGACTGAGCTAGAAAGGAAAGTTGTAGGGGTCAGGCTACATGACCTTTGGGGAACCCACTTTGCTTCATTTTCTTTTTACAGAATGGCAATGTTCAATGCCTCACTCGCCGATGCCTTCCGCTGCCCTGTGCAGAGCCCTTCTCTGTGCCGGGAGAGTGCTGCCCCCGGTGTCCAGGTATGGAACTGCAACATCCAGGTAGACCCTATAAAGGCCAGGTAAACTTATAGGGTATAAATGGGGTCAGCTGGATTCATTACCCAAACAGCGGTGATGATGGAGGGTTTGTCCCCTAAATGGGATTATTTGGAGGGGAGTTATAAAGGGAAAAAAGGGGCGGGGACGCACACCTGGACAGGTAGTAAGGCGTCTCCTTTCTTATTTCGGTCTCCACAGCCCCACCAGCCACCTGTCTCTACCTGGGCCTCTCCTATCAGCACATGGAGCGTTTCTACGATCCGTCGGAGAAATGCCGGGATTGCATCTGCACCAATGGGACCATCACCTGCCAACGCCAGCCCTGCGCGCCAGTCCAGTGCTCCCACCCCCTGCGGCACGATTGCTGCCTCTCCTGCGATGGTGACTGGCTTTGTTCATCTGTGGATGCTGTGATTTGTAGTCCAAATTTTCTCCCCAAGCTTTCAAGTAGTACTGGCCATGGATACTGGGAAATGGATCCCCAAAATGAGCTTTCGAGAATGAACTTAATATAAAAATGCAAAAAGTATAGATTGAAAAGTTTATATATACATATATATACAGACCCACATAATTATAGACCCATTAGCCTGTTGAACGTAGTGTCAAAAATTTATGGTAGGTTCCTGCTAAATAAACTACATAGTTGGGCTGAGGAGAATAATATTATCGCAGAGGAACAGGCTGGATTTCGGCATGGCAGAAGCACAATAGACCAGTGTGCTTTCACACCTAATCCAAAATAGTCTGAAGAAACCAAAGGGATGCTTATACACGGCATTTGTGGATTTTACCTCAGCCTTTGACTTAATTGATAGACAGCGTTTGTGGGCAAAGTTGGCAAAGACTAATGTGGATAGACGACTATTGTTATTATTGCAACAGCTATACTCGGGGACAGACCTAAGAGTGAGGTTAGGCCTGTCAGGCAAGCTATCAAACAATATTGAAACAAAAAGAGGAGTTAGGCAAGGCTGTCTGCTAGCACCCTTTCTGTTTAATTTTTACGTGAATAATTTAGTTGCTGAGCTAAGCTCCCCTGACCACTTCCCTCCCTTAGCAGGTAGTAGGAGAATCCAAGTCTTGTTGTATGCGGATGATATGGTCCTCCTGTCAACTACGCAAATAGGTCTCAGGAGACTTTTGAGGTCACTAAGCAGAATTTGCGAACAAGAGAAGTTGAGGATCAATCACTCTAAAACCAAAGTAATGGTATTCTCCAAAAGGAAACAAATGCATAATTGGAAATTGGATGGCCATTCAATAGAGCAGTGTCATAGCTTTAAATATCTGGGCATACACTTCTCATACAATGGAAATTGGAAGAGCCATATTGAGGCAGCCAAACTAGCTGCATGGAGGTCAGTGAACTCAATCCTAGCCTTCGGGAAAACAAAGGGAGGGTCCTTGGTATGTCCCACAGCAAAGATTTTTTCTGCTAAAATTTTACCCCAACTATTATATGAAGCTGAAATTTGGGGACAGGGCAATACAAAACAGGTTGAATGTATTCAGAATAAGTTTGCAAGAGCTTTGTTAGCCCTTCCCCCTGGGACTCCAGCTGCCTTGTTAAGGCTGGAATTGGATCTTTATTTATTTATTTATTATTTAAACTTATATGCCGCCACTCCCCTGGGGCTCGGAGCGGCTTACAAGAATAGCTAAAATCTAACAAAGTTTAAAAGCAATTTAAAACAATTTAAAAACAACAGTATCAAACATTAAAAGCCTGTCGGAACAGGTATGTCTTACATGCCCTGCGGAAAGCTGGCAAGTCCCGCAGGGCACGAACTTCAGGTCGCAGAGCATTCCAGACTGATGGCGCCACTGCTGTGAAGGCTCTGCGTCTGGTTGCCGTTAGACGCAAGGTGCAATGGCTAGTACAATAAACCATTCATTCATTCATATATACATATGTATATGTATATATATGCTGCTCTTCTGACAAATGGGAAGTTATTTTTTAAAGCTGAGCGATTGATATGTAGATAGATAGATAGATAGATAGATAGATAGATAGATAGATAGATAGATAGATAGATTTTCCTGAGCTTTGCGGTGTATTGTTATATGTTCCCTATAGTTTCAGTTACATATGTAGTCATGTGCATATGTATTCAGGTTTCCAACAGAAGGAACATTCAAGTTCCCAAAAGATCAAACTGAGCTGCCATTATACTCATGCGTTCCCTATGGGGTGGCCCCAAACCTTCTCAACTGAGCAATGGGGCCTTTTCTTTGTGTCTCCCTCCTCCAGGTTGCCTTTACCAGGGCAAGGAGCTCCCCAACGGAGAGCAGTTTGCAGACCCCAAAGACCCCTGCGGCACCTGTTCCTGCTGGGAAGGCAGCATCACCTGCAAGGCCACCCCCTGCCCGCCCGCCGAGTGCCCCTTCCCCACCTCAGGGCCTTGCTGCAAGCTTTGCGAAGGTAAGTTGCATGGGCTTTGGGCTGCATCTACGCCAGGTATAACGATAGCAGGAGGGTATTTTCCCCAAACTCCACCATTGTTCACATTTGGGCATATTGAGCATTCGTGCCAAGTCAGGTCCAGATCTATCATTGTTTGAGTCCACAGTGCTCTCTGGATGTAGGTGAACTACAACTCCAAAACTCAAGGTCAATGTCCACCAAACCCTCCCAGTATTTTCTGTTGGTCATGGGAGTTCTGTGTGCCAAGATTGGTTCAATTCCATTGTTGGTGGAGTTTAAAATGCTCCTTGATTGTAGGTTAACTATAAATGATAAAAATGTTGAATTTTACCAGACGGGGAAATATAGATAAAACAAACCCAACGCTGCTCAGCCAAATTATAACGATGACACCTCCACTACAGACTAGCTCACCAAAATATAGAGGGAGTATGGCTGTTGGACTAACTGAATACTTAGAAGTTAGAAACTGGGAACCACTGCAACTGAAAGACTAAAAATGATTCTTCAAAAGATTTCTACCACTTGTTGTTGTTCATTCGTTCAGTCATCTCCGACTCTTCGTGACCTCATGGACCAGCCCACGCCAGAGCTCCCTGTCGGCCGTCACCACCCCCAGCTCCTTCAAGGTCAGTCCAGTCACTTCAAGGATGCCATCCATCCATCTTGCCCTTGGTCGGCCCCTCTTCCTTTTGCCTTCCAGCTTCCCCAGCATAATTGTCTTCTCTAGGTTTTGCTGTCTCCTCATGATGTGGCCAATGGACTTCAACTTTGTCCCTAGTCTCCTTCCCTCCAATGAGCGGCCGGGCTTTCTTTCCTGGAGGATGGACTGGTTGGATCTTCTCGCAGTCCAAGGCACTCTCAGTTCCTCCAACACCACAGCTCAAAAGCGCCTCTCTTCCTTCGCTCAGCCTTCCCGAAGGTCCAGCTCTCACATCCGTAGGTGACTACAGGGAAGACCATGGCTTGGACTAGGCAATGGATCTTGGTTGCCAGTCTGATGTCTCTACTCTTGACTATTTGATCGAGACTGGACATTGCTCTCCTCCCAAGAAGGAAGCGTCTTCTGATTTCCTGGCCACAGTCTGCATCTGCACCATTACAGACTAGCTCACCAAAATATAGAGGGAGTATGGTTGTTGAACTAACTGAATATTTAGAAGTTAGAAACTAGGAACCACTGGAACTGAGAAACTTGAAATGATTCTTCAAAAGATTTCTACTGCCACTATATTAATAACGTTGAGCATTAGATTGGTTTTATTGATTGTGATGTATAATTGATTGTTTTAATTGTTTTATAATTGCTGTTTATATATGTTTTATCTTATTGTTTGTGTTGGCATCGAATTGTGCCTTTTGTAAGCCGCCCTGAGTCCCCCCTCGGAGGTTGAGAAGGGCGGGGTAGAAATGCGCGAAATAAATAAATAAATAAATAATAAACAGGCTGAGTTATTATCAAGAGGTTGTTCAGTACCACACTCTGTGTCACTATAGTTTTCTTCTTTTTTTTTGCATGAATTTTTTATTGAATTATCATAAACTACAACGAAAGAGGGTGAATAATATGAAGAAGATAGGAAAGTGGGAAAGGAGTTATAGATGCACATAACAACAACAACCTCAAAAAAGGAAAAGTTAAAAAAAAGAAAAAATGAAGAAAAAATTACAAAAAATCGCACGAAAAAAGAAAAAAAACAAAAAAACACAAATCCACAAAAATTTGGACCTCCTTCCGGCTCTGCCCGTATATTGTCTTTTTGTCAATCCTTTTCAATGTATTCAACCTTATGAGGTTTTATTACCTTTCCCTTTAATTACATGTCCTTGGACCTATTTTCGATATAGTCTTCAATTATTGTCCAGTCTGTTTTATTGGATTGCCTGTACTATAGTTTTCTTAGAGGCTGCTGAAAACTTACTTGAATAATTCTTTGACCACAAAGGTATTCACACTGAGGCTGGTAAAAGCTGATAAAAATAACAAGAACATTTATTGAACAGGCTTGAATTATTCAGGTACAAATGCTTAATGGTTTCAGTAGAATATTGGCATAAAAAGCTTGTGGTTGCGTTTGAGTAAAGACTTGGGTTACAAGTCTTAAAAGTTACAACACAGAAAATTACTTCGGGAAATGAATCTCTGAAAGTAACTCCCAAAAATCCCCCTTAGGAAACTAGTCACAAACCCTGAACTAGCCTTCCTTAGGAAATGAACAGACCACTAACGGGGTGATGTTCCACACAGTATTCTAGCTATATTTTCTATAGTTATTCTGAATACTACACAAAAAACTGACCCAAACTTCTACAAAACCCAAACTACTCTTGCTAACATCCAAACTCCCAACTGGCAAACTGGGTCCTCAAACCTCAATTTTTTTCTTTAGACCACTTAGGCTCTGCCCCCATCTTCCTAACCAATCCTAGCCTTCTGATTTTCCCTCCTAGACTAGAACATGCCCCCCCCCTTTAAGGCAAACCTAACCTAAGATGGCGTCTCTCTGTCTCCCTTCTCTAAAACGGATGCCGTGGCTTTGCCAGGCCCACTTCCCTAGGCCTAGGCTAGCCTGCTAAGGCAAGGGATTCATTACACCAAGCCATGCTGTCCCCCCCCCCCCCCAAAAGCAGGGTTTTCTGTTTTCTTTGTCTGAGACAAAGAGAGTGTGACTTGCCCATGATCCCTCAATGGATTTCCTTAGCCAAACAAGGATTCGCAACCCAGGCCTCCCAATGTCCAAGTCGAACACTCAAACCACTGCAGTTCATGAAAATGTTTCCATCCCCTCCTTCTCCAGGTTGCGAATACCTTTCGGAGCCTTACCTGAATGGCCAGGAATTCCCAGACCCCCAAGACACCTGTGGAATCTGCACCTGCCTTGATGGGTTTGTCACCTGCGCCAAGAAGCCCTGCTACCAAGCAGGTTGCAGCCACCCTCTCCGAATGCCTGGCCAGTGCTGCCCTGTCTGCCAAGGTGAGCCCCGAGTGCGAAACGCTGGCCTTTACGGTCCAGAACAATGCTGAGTTGGGGGAATACGAGTGTCACACTCTATCTTCACTGTCAGAAATCCTGCCGACTGTGCCAAAGATGTCATGAGTACTTTTTAAACACTATTATTATTATTATTATTATTATTATTATTATTATTATTATCATTATTATCTTTACTTGTACCCCGCTAGCATCTTCCGAAGGACTCAATGCGGCTTACAAAGGCCAAGGCCTTTGGGTTCTTTTATTCATTTCCAATGAGACAGGTTACATCAGGCACTTTCCTCCTTAATGTAAGGAACCATTGTGTTGCCTTAAAGAATAAGTTTTTGACTGTGTAAACATGTTGTTTTCAACCAAGAGTTAATCCTCGTCTCTGGTCGTGTCAGCAGTTCATGATTTCTTCACCTCCTTTTGTAGTTTTCTAGGCTTCAATATTCTTAGAATGGTGTCTTCAGTCTTGGCCAGACTCCAGTCATACGCCTTTCATACAATGTCATTCAAACCACTCATCACACGAGGGCCCATCTACACTGACCACCAGCCTGGCTTAAGCACAGTTGGCAAATCACCAGCAATGATAAGATCTACAAACCGAAAGGTTGCCAGTTTGAAGCTTTGCGTCATCGTGAGCTGCCAACTGTCAGCCCAGCTTGCTGTTTACCTAAGCCAGTGGTTCTCAACCTTCCTAATGACACGACCCTTAATACACTTCCTCATGTTATGGTGACCCCCGACCATAAAATTATTTCTGATGTTACTTCATAACTGTCATTTTGCTGCTGTTGTGAATAGTAATGTAAATATCTGATATGCAGGATGTATTTTCATTCATTGGACTAAATTTGGCACAAATACCTGATATGCCCAAATTTGAATACTGGTGGGATTGGAGGAGGGTATTTATTTTGTCCTGTGGGAGTTGTAGTTGCTGGAATTTATAGTTCACTAACAATCATAGAGCATTCTGAACTCCACCAACAATGGAATTGAGTCAAATTTAGCACACAGAACTCCCATGACCAACAGAAAATACTGGAAAGGTTTGGTGGGCATTGACCTTGAGTTTGGGAGTTGTTGTTCACTTACATCCAGAGAGCACTGTGGACTCAAACAATGATGGATCTGGACCAAACTTGGCATGAATGGAATTGAGTCAGACTTCCCACACAGAACCTCCATGACCAACAGAAAATACTGTGTTTTCTGATGGTCTTTGGCAACCCCTCTGACACCCCCTCACGACCCCTCCAAGGGTCCCGATCCCCAAATCGAGAAACACTGACCTAAGCAGTTCGAAAACAGCTTAGAGTTGTAAGTAGAGGAATTAGTTACCGCTAAAACAAGTCGGGGAGGTATTTTATTAAACCATAAAGAAAAAAGATCAGAAGTCGTGATGGCTCTTTGTCATAGAGGATGGAGCAACAGCACCCCCCTGTGGCTGGATTCGAGTACAACCTTCTAAGGCGCCAAAAAGCTGAATGTTGACGTTGACACAACATACCTCCTTTCTGTTCTGTCTGTCTCTGTCCTGTCTAGCCAAAAGGGCACTGAATATATGCCGTGTATGTGTCCTGTGATCCGCCCTGAGTCCGCCTCGGGAAATAGGACACAATATAAATAAAGTGTTGTTATCATTATTATTTTATGCTGTTTCAAACCAGTGTTAGAAAAATGTATAGTTTTTTAGAGGAAATCCTGGAACCTCATGATTGCACAAACCACAAAGTACCAACATGTGCCTTTGTGGGAATTTGTTGTCTGGCTGCCAAAGTTTGATGCTAGCTTCGAACTGCTTTAAATAGTCCATGTAGATGAAGCTGAGACAGGAAGGAACATCAGCAGTTCAAAATACGCAGATGACACCAAGCTCATAAAATTCGTTTATTTAGGAATGTGCTGATGTTCTGTGGCCATCCAAATTCTACCTCATGAGATGAGTGATTCATTCTAATTCCTTACCATGTTCCTTTCCACAAACAGGTTGCTCCTACAATGGCCTCACTGTTGCCAATGGGCAGACCTTTGCTGACCCTGGAGACCCTCTCTGCTCCCAATGTACTTGTCGGGTGAGTGGCTTAGCCCTGGACTTTCCAACAAGGAACCAAGCAAAATTCAAAACATGGGTCTGGAAACTGGGGTCTTCCCCTTTCTGGGGTTCTTCCGGACCCTAAAATGTTGTGAGGCTGTAAGATTTCTTGAAAGTCTTAGGTGATGTCTTCCTGCCTAAAAGAAGAGGGTTAGACTGGATGGCCTTTAGGGTCCCTTCCAACTCTAGGATTCTGTGCCCACTCTTGCCTTCTTGTCCTCCACCCAGCTGAAGGTTTCTAACAGCTTTGTCATATTGCCCAGGGTGCGTACAATAAATAGATTTGGTGACATGGTGCAATGAACAACCCAATAAACTCTCTTATAGTGCTGAGGCTTATTAAAAACTAGCCATCCCCTGCCACTCGTTGCTGTGGCCCACTCTGGTGGTCATGGGGGTTCTGTGTGGGAGGTTTGGCCCAATTCTATCGTTGGTGGGGTTCAGAATGCTCTTTGATTGTAGGTGAACTATAAATCCCAGCAACTACAACTCCCAAATGTCAAGGTCTATTTTCCCCAAACTCCAATTGTGTGCATATTTGGGCATATGGAATATTCGTGCCAAGTGTGGTCCAGATCCATCACTGTTTGAGTCCAAAGTGCTGTCTGGATGTTGGTGAACTACAACTCCCAAACTCAAGGTCAATGCCCACCAAACCCTTCTAGTGTTTTCTGTTGATCATGGGAGTTCTGTGTCCCAAGACTGCTTCAATTCCATCATTGGTGAAGTTCAGAATGCTCTTTGATTCTGTCCCTGGTCAAAAAATGGTTGGGAACCAGTCATAGAGGATGGAGCAACAGCACCGCCCTGTGGCCAGAGTTGACCATAACCTCCAGGATGCTGAAGTTGGAAAAATGCCGAGACACATACCTCTATCTCTCTGTCTTGTATGTCCAACAGCATTGCATGTTTGCAATGTGTTCATGTTTGCCATGTATAGGTTCTGTGCTCCATCTAAATGCCCCCAGCTCTTTTAGCTGCTACTCAAAGGAATTCATAGCTTCCAGACTATCTTGGGGACCCTTCTCTAGATACTTTCCATTTTATCCATCTCCTTCTTGAATTGTAGCACCCAGAGCTAGATACAGATGAAAGCAGAATAGAGTAGAGCTATAACTTCCCTCAATCTAGGTATCCTGCTGATGCAGCCAGGAATTGCATTGGCCTTTTTAGCTGCCGTATCACACTGCTGGCTCATATTAAGCTTGTGGTCCCCTAAGGCTTCTAGATCCCATGGGAAGACTATTTCCAGACTGGTAATTATTGTTCTCCCCTTCCCTGCAGGCTGGCTCCGTTCAGTGCCTCAGGAAGCTCTGCCCTCCAGCCCCCTGTGCCCACCCTGTGCAGGGTCCATGCGCCTGTCCTCTCTGCCAAGGTGAGTCAACCCAGGACAAAAAAAAATCCTATAAATCAGGCATGGGCAAACTTTGGCCGTCCAGGTGCTTTAAACTTCCACAATTCCTAACAGCTGGTTAGTCCACAAGTGACTTAAAGAATATCCACATAAGGATGATATGGATTTGGTTCCACTGGAATGTTAGACTCAGGGAAATCTCTCTGGGTCAAAAATGCTTTACTTCAGCAAACACAAGAGAACAGCACATGCAGTTGAAAAATGCAAAAGAAAGCAAGGGAGTCTTAATGCAGACACAAAACTCAAGTCTCTGATAAAGTCCAAAAGAAACAGCAGTCTTACATCAGACAACAGGCAATGATCACTAAATCCTTAGAAGCAGACTCGAAGGAGGTACAACTGGAGTGAAGGCATAAGCATCAGGGTCGTTTGTTACCAGAGAAAGGTGACTACTCCTACTTCTGATTTATAGCCCTGAATTCCCCACACAAGAGGTGCTAGGGCGGTTCCCAATTAGTTTGGCATTTCTAGCAGCAATTGTAGCTGTTTCCTTTCGCCTTTCCAGAAATGTGGGCACTTGCAAATCCTCATCCTCTTATTCTAACTCTAAATCCCCTTCTGGTTCCTGAACACTTTCCTGCTCCCCTTCTTGTTCTGAAGATGAGGAATCCCTAACCCTGCCACCGCAGATACCTGGGCCTCCAGGTTCAATGCTGAGTCCAGGAGGAACCCCAAACTGCGGACCTGCCTTTTCAGGGGAAGGGTGACCCCTTCCATCCAGCACAGGATGGGTCTCTATTCCCTCATCTGCCTTGCGACTGACCAGGAGTGCCTCTGTCTTGTCTGGATTAAGTTTCAATTCATTTGACCTCATCCAGTCCATTACTGGTGACAGGCACTGGTTTAAGGGCAGGTACTGTTGGGGCTTGTGGCTGTGCCCTCTTACTAATTAGCCCAAAAACCTTCAGAGTTTGTTTTTATTCAATCAAACACTGACAGCAGGAGATAATTGCAACAAGTTTAATTGAGCAAGTCACCTTGCTGGGTGTGAAGTGCCACACACATAACTGGGAACAGCTTAGTTTTATCGACCAAATTTTAAACATTATTCTCTAAATTTTGCCTCATCTTTTCTCTTCCTTTGGCATTTTGTGGACAACAAGTTAAACATGAGGCAACAATGTGATGTGGCGGCAAAAAAAGCCAATGGGATTTTGGCTTGCATCAAGAGGAGCCTAGTGTCTAGATCTAGGGAAGTCCTGCTCCCCATGCTCTATTCTGCTTTGGTTAGACCACACCTGGAATATTGTGTCCAATTCTGGGCACCACAATTCAAGAGAGATATTGACAAGCTGGAAAGTGTCCAGAGGAGGGCAACTCAAAGGATCAAGGGTCTGGAGAACAAGCCCTATGAGGAGCGGCTTAAAGAGCTGGGCATGTTTAGCCTGAAGAAGAGAAGGCCGAGAGGAGATATGATAGCCATGTATAAATATGTGAGGGGAAGCCACAGGGAGGAGGAGGGAGCCAGCTTCCTTTCTGCTTCCCTGGAGACTAGGACGCAATGGAACAATGGCTTCAAACTACAAGAGAGGAGATTCCACCTGAACATGAGGAAGAACTTCCTGACTGTGAGAGCCATTCAGCAGTGGAACTCTCTGCCCCGGAGTGTGGTGGAGGCTCCTTCTTTGGGGGATTTTAAACAGAGGCTGGATGGCCATCTGTCAGGGGTGATTTGAATGCAATATTCCTGCTTCTTGGCAGAATAGACTGGATGGCCCACGAGGTCTCTTCCAATTCTTTGCTTCTATGATTCTATGATTCTCTTATTAGTATTGTCCCAGCAGTTATTTTTCTCCTTTCACCTGCAAGTTGTTAGGTTAATCTTTTCCCTGGGCTTGAACTCTCCTCCTTTTGGTTCACCACCCCTTCTGCTCCCCAATGCATGCAAGACTTTGCCTGAACTTTATTTTGGCTGGTAAATATCCAGCTCCCCATCTCTTTCTTTCTCCAACCCTCTGTCAACTTGGCTGGCACCTTAGCCTTAATTCCATTTTACCTTAACTGGTAGTTTTTCACTCTAGTGTCCCTTCAGTACAGCACTGGAGCCCCCGGTGGCACAGTGGGTTAGACCCCTGTGCCAGCAGGACTGAAGATCGACAGGTCACAGGTTCTAATCTGGGGAGAGACAGATGAGCTCCCTCTATCAGCTCCAGCTCCTAATACGGGGACATGAGAGAAGCCTCCCACTGAGAGGAGCAGTGAACCAAAGTTACTCCATTTTGGATCTGTCTATCTTAAAGGTGTCAGAAAAGGCATATTTCTAATTATTAATCAAAGATGCAGCCTGCCTCCAAGGCAAGTATTACAACAGCTTGTTTCAAGAAGCAGTTTGGGGTCAGCCCATGCGGTCGGCCAGTTACTGTAAAGATATAATGCAATAGGTACCCTGCTCATAGAAATGCATAAGAAGTTTGTTTACTCTAAGGGTATAGGGTATAGGGTTACAGCCTGTGTTAGACAGGGTTACACTCCCCCTGAAGACGCAGGTTCGCAGCTTGGGAGTGATCCTGGACTCATCGCTGAGCCTGGAACCCCAGGTCTCAGCGGTGGCCGAGAGAGCTTTCGCACAATTAAAACTTGTGCGCCAGCTGCGCCCGTACCTTGAGAAGTCAGATCTGGCCACGGTGGTCCACGCCCTTGTTACATCCCGGTTGGACTACTGCAACGCACTCTACGTGGGGTTGCCTTTGAAGACTGCTCGGAAACTACAACTAGTCCAGCGAGAAGCAGCCAGATTGCTCACCGGAGCGGCGTACAGGGAGCACACCACCCCCCTGTTGCGTCAGCTCCACTGGCTGCCGATCCAATTCCGAGCACAATTCAAAGTGCTGGTTTTGACCTACAAACCCTATACGGTTCCGGCCCAGTGTATTTGTCCGAACGGATCTCCCTCTACATCCCACCTCGAAGTTTAAGATCTTCTGGGGAGGCCCTGCTCTCGACCCCGCCAGTGGCACAAGTGAGGCTGGCGGGGACGAGGAGCAGGGCCTTCTCAGTGGTGGCCCCTCACCTGTGGAACTCACTCCCCGGGGAGATCAGATCGACGACTTCCCTTCTAGCGTTTAGGAAAAAACTAAAGACCTGGATGTGGGACCAAGCTTTTGGCCATGCTGACAACTAACTAAAGGACCTGTCGATAGACAAGGACAATGGAATGGAATGGATATATGGACTCTGATATATGGACTCTGACATGAGATAGTTTTTATGATTTTATTAGGTATTGATGTTTTATTTTAATTGTTGAATTGTTATATTTTGTATTGTTTGTTGTTGTGTGATTTGGGCATCTAATTGTGCCTTCTCTGTAAGCCGCCCTGAGTCCCCCTCGGGGTGAGAAGGGCGGGGTATAAGTAAATGAAATAAATAAATAATAAATAAATAAGGAAGTGTCTTGCATAAACCTAGACCGTTGGTGGTGAGCTACAAGAAGTGTTTGCCAATGCTATGCCAAATAGGGAAAAAAGAGAACTCCAAAAGTTGTCAACAAGAAGGGTATAAATTGTTGGATGTTTGCCCCAGAAGGGGAGTGGACAGAGCTTGTACTGGCATGCTGCGTGCATGACCTTCTGTCCGTCTCCTATTGCGCAATATGAATAAACTTGTGCTTGCCTGCTAACTGTTTGGACTCTTGCTTCGGATCCATAGCGGACTGGTAAGATCCTGGAAACTTTGGGTTGCGAACAGCGTTCCCGCAACATTTCTGGGGGCTCGTCCGGGATGTAGCACTGATAGGATCGCTGAGATCTAGCGCTGCCAGGATCGCTGAGATCCCACAGGAGTGGCTTTTGGAAGCCACAGAGTCCGTTCTCCCTCCTGGGACGCTGCGACCGATTCATGCTGAGAGCGGCCGCGTCAAAACTGAACCAGCAGTTTCGTTTCGCTAGCGTCCGGAGAAGGGATAGCGTAAACTCTGCCAAACTAAGAAGTTAGAGGCAACCACAGCCGGGGCTGGATGATAAAAACATCAATTCATCTGGGCATCCCCTGGCAATGTCCTTGCAGATGGCCAATTCACTCACACCAGAAGCGACTTGCAGTTTCTCAGGTCGCTCCTGACAGGACAAAAAAAAAGTACAGCATTGGATTCTGTGTTGTGACATAGCAGCTTGTGTTTTGATACCATCTGGGACTATGGAAGAACCATATAGAGGCAGCCAAATTATCTGCCTGGAGGTCAGCGAAAGCAATCCTAGCCTTTGGAAAAACAAAGGGAGGTTCACTGGTTTGTCCCACAGTAAAGATTTTTGCCACTAAAATTTTACCCCAACTGTTATATGGAGCGGAAATTTGGGGGCAAGGTAATACAGAACAGGTTGAATGTATTCAGAACAAGTTTGCAAGAGCTCTTCTAGCCCTTCCCCCTGGGACCCCAGCCGCCTTGTTAAGACTGGAATTAGATCTTCCCTCACTCAAGGCCAGAATGCACAAGCTTAACATCTCGTATGGGAAGAGATTGCTAGGAATGGAGGAGGAGAGCATAGCAAAGCAATGCTTGAGGGAACAGTTCAAACGGGGAGGATGGGTGCAATCCTGGCTAGCCTTGCTCCATCAATATTTTGATGGGTCAATAACAACTCTAATGCAGCTGGACAAGAAGGCGATTAGTGATAAAATCTTTGAGAAGGATGCAGCTGACAATTTGGAGATTAGTAAAAAGCAAGGTTTTTCTATATGGTATCCCAGACTAAAGAGTGACCAATACTGCCAACAATATCTTCAAGACCTAACGTCAGCTGTGTTGAGGAAAGCCTTTACAGCCCTGCGCTTCCAAACAATGCCCTCAAACTGGCTAGAAGGGAGATACAGAGGGATCCCCCATGCCCAAAGGCTTTGCATTTGTGGCGCTGGGGAAAAAGAAGATCTAACACACTATTTATTACACTGCCCGTTGTATAATGACCCCAGAAAAAATCTCCTGGGAACATTCCTTGAAGAAAGGGCAGCATGGCAAGAACCTGCCGTGATTGGTGCCTTACTAGCAGATTATGACAAAAATATAACACTAAAAGTAGCCACATTTGCAATCGCTGCCCAAAAGATCAGAGACAGAGTAGCGAAATCCTCGTTGGAGACCAGATAGGGAAAGGGAGATGGTTAGGGAGGACACAGACTAGATGCTGTTATTGCTAGGTTTCTGCCAGCAAAATTTTAAAGTACTAGTTTTTTAAATCTTGGACGGGCTTTGGTTTACATTGGAATGTGTTTATAAAGGTCGTGTGTTTATAATGTGTTTATAAAGGTTGTATGTAATTGATGTCATGGCCTATGGCTAGTGCAATAAACTTTATTCATTCATTCATCTGGGACTAAGGTTGGGAAAGATTGGCATGCCTTTCCCATTAACCCTAACCAGCCAAAGGCTAGCCATTTTTCTTCTATTCTGGCTGTACTGTTTACCTTTTTTCCCAGGGTGCAGTTTCCAGGGGAACAAATATGGAGACGGAGAGACCTTTGCTTCCCCCAGCAAACCCTGCGAGGATTGCCGTTGCCTGGTGAGCTCCTAGTGCAGGGGGGGGGGGGGGAGGATATTTTCCTCTTCTGTCATGTGTAATATTTGTTATTTAACATGCATTAAAAATGTTCTTTTATTCTGTCCACGATAAGATAGAGTATTAGGCAATTTACAGAGAAAGAAGGTAGGCAAACAGACTCTATAGCAGTGGTTCTCAACCTGGGGGTCAGGACCCCTGAGGGGGTCACAAGGGGTTTGTCAGAGGGGCTGCCAAAGTTGATCAGAAAACACAGTATTTTCTGTTGGTCATGGGGGTTCTGTGTGGGAAGTATGGCCCAATTCTATCATGGGTGGGGTTCAGAATGCTCTTTAATTGTAGGCGGACTATACATCCCAGTGACTTGTTGTTGTTCATTCGTTCAGTCGTCTCCGACTCTTCGTGACCTCATGGACCAGCCCACGCCAGAGCTCCCTGTCAGCTGTCACCACCCCCAGCTCCTTCAAGGTCAGTCCAGTCACTTCAAGGATGCCATCCATCCATCTTGCTCTTGGTTGGCCCCTCTTCCTTTTGCCTTCCACTTTCCCCAGCATAATTCCCTTCTCTAGGCTTTGCTGTCTCCTCATGATGTGGCCAAAGGACTTCAGCTTTGTCTCTCGTCTCCTTCCCTCCAATGAGCAGCCAGGCTTTCTTTCCTGGAGGATGGACTAGTTGGATCTTCTCGCAGTCCAAGGCACTCTCAGAACTTTCCTCCAACACCATAGTCCCAAAGCGCCTCTCTTCCTTCTCTCAGCCTTCCCTAAGGTCCAGCTCTCACATCCATAGGTTACTACAGGGAATACCATGGCTTTGACTAGGCGGATCTTTGTTGCCAGTCTGATGTCTCTACTCTTTACTATTTTATCGAGATTGACTACAACTCAGTGACTACAACTCCCAAATGTCAAGGTCTATTTCCCCAAACTCCACTAGTGTCCACATTTTGGCATATTGAGTATTCATGTCAAGTTTGATCCAAATCCATCTTTGTTTGAGTCCACACTGTTCTCTGGATGTAGGCGAACTTCAACTCCCAAAACTCAAGGTCAATGCCCACCAAACCCTTCCAGTATCTTCTGTTGGTCATGGGAGTTCTGTGTGCCAAATTTGGTCCAATTCCATCATTAGTGGAGTTCAGAATGCTCTTTGATTGTAGCTAAATTATAAATCCCAGCAACTACAACTCCCAAATGACAAAATCAATCCTCCACAACGCCACCAGTATTCAAATGTGGGTATATCGAATATTTGTGCCAAATTTGGTCCAGTGAATGAAAATACATCCTGCATATCGAATATTTACAATTCATAACAGTAGCAAAATTAGAGTTATGAAGTAGCAACAAAAATGTTATGGTTGGGGGTCACCACAACATGAGGAACTGGATTAAGGGGTCACGGTATTGGGAAGGTTGAGAAACACTGATCTATAGCATTGAGTACACAGAGGCGGATTACATTTTACTTCAGCATTCACACACATATAAACACTCACTCTTCATCATACATACAATTGCCATGTCTTCTTCCTTCTCCTGGAAACGAGACATGGGCCAGATGGCATTCCCATCAAATCTGCCATTCTGTGAATACAGCATCTTCCTTCATCCCTTGGAGAAGATAGCAGGTGGACCAGACTTCTCCAGTCTGTCACAATTTTGGAATAGTAAAGTGTCTCTTATATAGCAATATTTCTTGCTGATGTTGTTCTGAAAGTTGTAAATGAATGACAGGCAACTAAAACATGCTGGTTCCATCTTCTGGACAGATGTTTGGTTTTCTTCCTGATAATTGGTTTTCCTTCTTAAGGAGTGTTGTTTGACTTAGAATAGAATCATAGAATCAAAGAGTTGGAAGAGACCTCCTGGGCCATCATCCAGTCCAACCCCATTCTGCCAAGAAGCAGGAATATTGCATTCAAAGCACCCCTGACAGATGGCCATCCAGCCTCTGTTTAAAAGCTTCCAAAGAAGGAGCCTCCACCACACCCCAGTGCAGAGAGTTCCACTGCTGAACGGTTCTCACAGTCAGGAAGTTCTTCCTCATGTTCAGATGGAATCTCCTCTCTTGTAGTTTGGAGCCATTGTTCCATTGCGTCCTAGTCTCCAGGGAAGCAGAAAACAAGCTTGCTCCCTCCTCCTCCCTGTGGCTTCCTCTCACATATTTCTACATGGCTCTCATATCTCCTCTCAATTAGACTTCCTTAACTAATGTTGGTCTTCCTTCTTAACGTAAGAAGCTACTGTGTTGACTTCCTTAACTTAAAAGAGTTATTGTCTCTGGTAATGTAAACATGTTGTTTTCCACCACAGGGTTAATCATTTGTCTCTGGTCATGTCAGCAGTTCTCTTCAACAACTTTTAATTACAGTTCAGCAGTTAACTTCCTTTTCTTAGGATGGCATCTTTAGGCTATATAGGCCTCAACCATACACCATTCATACAATCTCATTCAATCAACGTATCTTATTTATCACACCTCCATGTCCCTCTGGGATACTTCTGGAGTAAATCTGAGACCCACTGGGTGAGGTTGAGAGTGTGTGACCCCTTATAAAGCCTTCCACTAACTTCTTTCCCATTTATTCTGCCCTGTATGGGGTTCTTTCTCCCTTTGCTCATCAGAGAGGAGAGGTCTCCTGTGCCCCCCATCTTTGCCCAACACCTCTCTGCCCTCACCCTTCGAAAGACCCCTGCGGATGCCCCAACTGTGATGCCTGCAGCTTCCATGGGAGAGATTGTGACAACGGTGAGCTCTTTCCAGACCCCCGGGACCCCTGCGGCCAGTGCAAGTGTTCGGTACGCATGTCGTGAATACTTTTTGAACCTTAAAACTGTTCTTTCATCTGTTTTCAGTGGGATAGAGTACATCAGACCCTTTCAGAGAAAGAAGTAGACACATAGACTGGGTTTTATAATAGCTATATTGGTTACACATACAAAGGGGAAATGTCACATATATTTAGCATTCACTCACATACATTCACTCGTTCATACTCACCAACCTTCTCCATTTAGGCCTGCTGCTGGAGAAGAGAGGTGGGTGGACAAATCCCACATTCTTCCCAGATCTGGCACACAATTGAAAAGGAAGAGGGTCTCCTTATGGAGTGATTTTTGGTTATATATGAGGGTTATTTTTAAATTAAGGTCCGTTTTGTTGTAGACACTACTAGTTTGCGTGCATACCGCAACGAGTGCATGCGTCGTGTACCGGTATGCCTCGGGAACAACTGTGCTCAGTTTCCGCTCTGTAGCTCACCTGTACGGTTCTGTTTTGTGCTTTAAAAATGTTTAAGACTATCAACTCACCCTCTGCATGTGAGGTTCGCTCAGTGATACAGTTTTTGTCAGCAAGGAACCTGCCTGCTGCAGAAATTCATCAACAGATTTGTGAAGTGTACGGTGATACTGTTATGAGTGAAAGCAAAGTGCGTAAGTGGGTACGACAATTCAAAGATGGCCGTGACAACGTCCATGATGAGGACCGCTCCGGTCGCCCTTCTTTGATTACAGACGATTTGATTTGATCGCACACTCAAGTCTTTGGTTTTTGTGGTCCTCTGTTAGGAGTTTCGGGACCCAACGGGAGCACAGTTTCCAAAACTTTAGGTGTTCAGAAACAATGTTGTAAAGCACTGATCTCGACACATCAAGAAATTCGTTTGAGAGACCTGTTATTGTGAAGCGCCAGTTCTCACAAACCTCGCTTCAACTGAAGCCACCAAATCGTCTGTAATCAAAGAAGGGCGACCGGAGCGGTCCTCATCATGGACGTTGTCACGGCCATCTTTGAATTGTCGTACCCACTTACGCACTTTGCTTTCACTCATAACAGTATCACCATACACTTCACAAATCTGTTGATGAATTTCTGCAGCAGGCAGGTTCCTTGCTGACAAAAACCGTATCACTGAGCGAACCTCACATGCGGAGGGTGAGTTGATAGTCTTAAACATTTTTAAAGCACAGAACAGAACCGTACAGGTGAGCTACAGAGTGGAAACTGAGCACAGTTGTTCTCGAGGCATGCCGGTACACGATGCACGCGCTCGTTGCGGTATGCGCACGAACTACTAGTGTCTACAACAAAACGGACCTTACTTTAAAAAATACCCCTCGTATTATTTGGTTGTTTTTATAACTTCTGTCATTCAGCACAGACCTGCTGGAGACTAATCAGTTCTGGAACAGAGAGGTTGTTCAACTTTTTTAAGTTAAAGAGCTATTGTCTTTGACTATGTAAACGGGCGTTGTTTGCGACCAGAGTTCTCTGGTCAGTTCTCAGCAGTACAGCACTTTTCTCTTAGCACTTTTCATGCTAAAGTTAATCAAATTCTTCACTTCCTTTCTCCTCCATAATGCAGTTTTCCAGGTTTCAATTATAGGATTGTGTCTTCAGTCCTGCTAGACCTTTTTAGGTCTCAGCCAGGCCCCAAACATACCATTCATTCAATCCATTGATCACATTGAGGAGAAGTGATATAAAGCAGGCATGGGCAAACTCCAGGTGTTTTGAACTTCAGCTCCCACAATTCCTAACAGCCTACTGGCCAGGGTTGCATAGTACTGAGCCACAGGAGTTTCAGTGGTGGCAAACGGCATGTGTTTGATAGTGCAGATGCCCTTCTCCCTGCAGGGTGGCACCGTGACCTGTGTTCCTGCTCCATGCCCACCTGTATCCTGTCAGAACCCCATCGCTCTGCCAGGGCAATGCTGCCCAAAATGCACAGGTGCCTGCCGCTACCATGGGAAGCTCTACAAGAGCGGAGAGACCTTCGTTTCGCTGGAGGAGGCCTGCCTCACCTGTACCTGCCAGGTGAGTGGAGACTGGCATCTCGGGGCAGGATACAGAGGTGATCTTTTGCATTCTAACACAGGGTCTACCTCCTGTGTTACAGCCAGTGTGGCTACCAAGTGCTGGGCAGAATGCATTAATTACCAGTTAGAATCATTTATTGTTCATTCGTTCAGTCGTCTCCGACTCTTCGTGATCTCATGGACCAGCCCACGCCAGAGCTCCCTGTCGGCCATCACCACCCCCAGCTCCTTCAAGGTCAGTCCAGTCACTTCAAGGATGCCATCCATCCATCTTGCCCTTGGTCGGCCCCTCTTCCTTTTGCCTTCCACTTTCCCCAGCATAATTATCTTCTCCAGGCTTTGCTGTCTCCTCATGATGTGGCCAAAGGACTTCCACTTTGTCTCTAGTCTCCTTCCCTCCACCCTGCGCAGACGGTTGGTCAATGCAACTTAAGCAACATGCAGTCATTGAATTCTTGACAGCAGAAGGTGTCACCCCAAAGGAGATTCATCAGCGAATGCAAGCTGCTTATGGTGATTGTGTTGATGTGAATACTGTGTGGCCCTGTGTGGGCAAGTAAGTTTAAAGATGTTGAGGTGTGAACATCTGACTTCCGTGACAAACAAAGAGTTGGACATCCGGTGACAGCAACCACCGAGTTTCACAAGCAAAAGGTTGACAGATTGACCGATTGATGACAGGATGATCGTCGTATCACTCAGAGAAAAATTTCAAGCATAATAGGCATTTCACAAGAACGTGTGGGTCACATTATTGTTTTGCTTGGCTATCGGAAGATCTGTGCACGATGGGTACCCAGGATGCTGACACATGAAATGAAAGCGCACAGACTTGAAACTTCAGAGACTGAGTCTCACCACTGTACGGCATCCTCCATACAGTCCAGATTTAGCACCATCTGACTTCCATCTGTTCCTGATAATGAAAGAAGATCTGCGGGGACATCATGATGCGTCTGATGAAGACGTTGAGAGAACGGTGAGACGCTGGTTGCAGAAACAGAGTGTCGACTTCTTCCATGACAGCTTCAGAAAACTTGTTCATCGTTGGCAGAAATGTATCCAATTGTCTGATGATGTGTGGGTCACATTACTGCTTTGCTTGGCTATCGGAAGATCTGTGCATGATGGGTACCCACGATTCTGACACCTGAAATGAAAGCGGAAGCAGTGTCGACTTCTTCCATGACGGCTTCAGAAAACTTGTTCATCGTCGGCAGAAATGTATCCAATTGTCTAGTGATTATGTAGAAAAGTGAATAGTGGTTAAAGAACACGCTCTAAGGATTATTTCTGCCTTTGATTTGTTAAAATAATCCCATCCAAACCCAAGTAACGAAGGTGGAGGCATTACTTTTCATTCAATCCTCGTATATAGTCAATTTCTGGTGTCAGGGTGAGTCTACACTGTGGAATGAATGGCTCCGCTTTCACTGCCATGGCTCAATGCTGTGGAATCCTGGGAACTGTAGTCTGCAACTCCCAGGACCCCAAGAAGCCACAACAGTTTAAATGGGGTCAAACTGAATTCATTCCACCGTTTAGAAACACCCTTCCTCTCGTTTTCCATTCTGTCTCTCTAGGCTGAAGTGGTGACCTGCCAGCCCAAGCCTTGCCCCCAAAAGTGCACTCATCCTGAGGCCCCAAAGGCACCCTCATGCTGCCCGTCTTGTGATGGCTGCCTCTATAAGGACCACAGCTATGCCAATGCGCAGACCTTCACCCCTGCTTCCGACCCCTGCAAGCGCTGCAGCTGCCTCCGCGGCAATGTGCTCTGTGCTCCGGTGCTGTGTCCTCAGGTGCCGTGTGCCAATCCCAGGCATGAACCTGGCCAGTGCTGCCCCCGATGCCCAGGTAAGAAGCCCACTGGGATTGCATGCCCAGTGTTGGAAGGGAGGCTAAAGTGGTCCAAAGTCTGGAAACTATGGGTCCTTCTGAGGAGCAGCTTAAGGAGATGGGGATGTTTAGCCTGGTGGAAAAGGGGACATGATAGCCATGCCGGGGACATGAGAGCCAGACCAGAACTAACAAAATGAACCTCCTCTGGGAGAAATGTACAGCACTATATGAAATGTATAGATGTAGGATGGGTGGGACCTGGCTTGGAATCACTCAATGGGAAAGGGATCTAGGGATCTTAGTAGAGCACAAGCTGAACATTTGCTCAAGAGCAGTACGTGTGAAAAAGATCTTGGAGTCCTTGTGGGCAAATTGGGAGGGAGAGCCAAGACTCCAGAGGACAGGAGCAGGATTCAAAACGATCTTGACAGATGAGAGAGGTGATGGGCCAAGAGACACAATGAAGTTCAACAATGACAAATGCAAGATACTCCACTTTGGCAGGAAAAATGAAATGCAAAGATACAGAATGGGGGATGATGCCTGGCTTGAGAGCAGTACATGTGAAAAAGATCTTGGAGTCCTCGTGGACAACAAGTTAAACATGAGCCAACAATGTCATGTGGCGGCAAAAAAAGCCAATGGGATTTTGGCCTGCATCAATAGGAGCCTAGTGTCTAGATCTAGGGAAGTCATGCTACCCATGCTCTATTCTGCTTGGTTAGACCACACCTGGAATATTGTGTCCAATTCTGGGCACCACAATTCAAGAGAGATATTGACAAGCTGGAATGTGTCCAGAGGAGAGCGACTAAAATGATAAAAGGTCTGGAGAACAAGCCCTATGAGGAGCGGCTTAAGGAGCTGGGCATGTTTAGCCTGAAGAAGAGAAGGCTGAGAGGGATATGACAGCCATGTATAAATATGTGAGAGGAAGCCACAGGGAGGAGGAGGGAGCAAGCTTGTTTTCTGCTTCCCTGGAGACTAGGACGCGGAACAATGGCTTCAAACTACAAGAGAGGAGATTCCATCTGAACATGAGGAAGAACTTCCTGACTGTGAGAGCCGTTCAGCAGTGGAACTCTCTGCCCCGGAGTGTGGTGGAGGCTCCTTCCTTGGAAGCTTTTAAACAGAGGCTGGATGGCCATCTGTCAGGGGTGATTTGAATGCAATATTCCTGCTTCTTGGCAGAATGGGGTTGGACTGGATGGCCCAGGAGGTCTCTTCCAACTCTTTGATTCTATGATTCTATGAGCCAACAGTGTGATGTGGCAGCTAAAAAAGCCAATGCAATTCTAGGTGGCATCAATAGGACTATAATGTCTAGAGGGAGGGAAGTCCTAGTCCCATGCTCTTTGTCACTTGGAATCACCCTGTGTCTATTTCTGGGCAAAACAATTCAAGTAGGAGATGGGCAAGATAGAAGGTGTCCAGACCTAATATGGTCAAAGATCTGGAAGCCATGAATCCCTCTGCAGAGCATCTTAGGAAGCTGGAGATGTTTAGTTTGAGAAGATCAAGAGAAGGGGACATGAGGGCCATGTTGAAGTATCTGAAAGGAGATCATGGACTGTGTCTAGAATGGGGTTGGACTTGATGGCAGGGTGGAATCTCTTCCAGCTCTTAAGATTCTATGAGTCAACATTGGGACAACATTTGGGAGGATGTAGTCCTTCAAATAACCTGAACCTGTGATACTTTAGAGTTTATGGGAAGCTGGGTGGGATCCCAAGAGGGGAACCTTCCACCGGACGGTTCGGAGAACTGTCTCTGTTTGGGAAAAGACCCTGAGACCTGTCTCTCCATCCCATTGGCCCCTTGGCAGCCGTTTGCCAACACGCAGGCCGGGAGTATGGAGAAGGCAAGCAGTGGATCTCCTCCTTGGACCCTTGCCAGAGGTGCTCCTGTACGGTAAGACACACAAACCCCATTTTGTCCCCTTGCATGCATTGCCTTTCCACTAGAACCAGGGGACTATTTGCAAAGAATATCGGTGCAACTCTCTCCCCAATGGGTCATCATGGGAACTCGAAGCTGCAGGTAACAGCAAACCCTACAGATACAGAAATGAACCATTTGCAGTAAACATGGAATCAGGCTGATGAACCTAGAAAAGAGCACCTCCCTAGTATTTCTAGGTTCTCCAATGCAACTCAGTAGCACATTTCCAGCAGGAGCATGACATAGATTTGGGCTGGAGGACCTAGCCCCACAGTATGCTAGGTCCTCCAACCCAAGGTGCATATTTACACATGCACCTGTTTATGGTTTTGTTTATTTTTTCATGTCAGGAGCAACTTGAGAAATTGTTTATGTGTAAATGGGTGAATAGGGTAGGGTAGATATGGATGGGTGACGGGAGAGAGCGAAAGACAGATGGAGAAAAAAGGGGGAGGATGAGATAAAAGGCTCATTTATTATATTATTATGTTTTATCATATTAATCCATGCCCTCTTGATGAAGACCCAAATTGCTCAATTGGTGAGTAGACCATGTATGGAGACTTTGAGGGCATCTTCTCTGGCTTCCCACTTGTGCCATTTTCTGGAAACCCAAGAAAGATTGGTTGAGAGAGAGAAACAGGGGTGCATAGAAGGAGGATGGATGGATGGATGGATGGATGGATGGATGGATGGATAGATAGATAGATAGATAGATAGATAGATAGATAGATAGATAGATAGATAGATAGAATAAAGAAGGGGAGCCAGGAGGACATTGCCATCTTGTCCCCTGTGACATCAGCGCCCCTCCCCTAGCAATAATGTAATATTATGTAGTACTAGTGTTATGAATGATGTAATAGTACTATGCTAGTTATGTATTATGTAGTATGTTGTATGTACTTATGACTTGTAAGCCGCTCTGAGTCCCCTTCGGGGTGAGAAGGGCGGCATATAAATGTCGTAAACAAACAAATAAATAAATAAATAGATGGATAGATAGATGGATGGATAGGTGGATGGATGGATGGATGGATGGATAGATGGATGGATGGATGGATGGATGGATGGATGGATGGATGGATGGATGGATGGATGGATAGATGGATGTCACAATGCCAGGGCTCTGCTGTTATTCCAGCAGAGGTGAACCAAACAATTTCTTTAAAGCAGCACTTACTTTCTGGCTGTTTTAAGAGTCCAAAACATAAAGATAGCACTCAGCCACAGAATCTAAAACAAAACCGACAGCAAACGCTGTTGCAGGTTGAAGATAACTCCGTAGTCAAAGGGTCCAGTCCAGTGGTCAAATGCCGAGAGTTCAATGAGCAAAGTCCAGGGATCAAGAGTCTATACCATAGTCAAAAGCCAGTCCATAGATTCAACGTTCCAAGGGTTCAAGAGACAGATCAGGATACCAAAAATCCACAAACCTGGGGGGAAACCAGCAGCATCTACCACCAAAATAAGACAAATACTTTTCTCCCCAAGGCTTACTCCTTATATCCAGAAACACCGAGCTGCAGCCTATCTCTTGCATACCTCCACCCTTAATTGCTTTCACCCATGATCTCTTACTTACAGATTACTCAATGCTTTAGAACTAAGACTTACATTAGGCCTACCACCACCAACCACCAACAACTGCAGAACATGGTATATGACAATAGATGATAGCTGGGTAGGTGGATGAATATATGGATGGATGGATGGACGGACGGACGGACGGACGGACGGACGGACGGACGGACGGACAGACAGACAGACAGACAGACAGACAGACAGACAGACAGATAGACAGACAGACAGACAGACAGACAGACAAGATAAGACAAACAGATGGAAGGGCATGGGCATAGGCTGCCACCACGTCCTTGTCCCCCTTCTCTCTTCAGGCCGGGGAGACCTCCTGCGAATTGGTGCCTTGCAAAGAGACGCTCTGCTCGCACCCGGTTCCTGACCCTGGCCAGTGCTGCCCTCGCTGCCATGACTGCCTCTTTGAAGGAGAGCGCTATGCAAACGGGGAGGCCTTTAAGCCCGAGTCCTGCCTCCAGTGCACCTGCCAGGTGAGCTCCAACCTGCCCGTGTTCCTGTCTCTCTCTGATGGTTCCCCCAGGAGGGAATCATAGAAGCATAGAGTTGGAAAAGACTCCAAGGACCATCCAGCCCAACCCCCTTCTACCAGGTAGGAAGACATCATCAAAGCCCTCCTGACAGATGGCCATCCTGCCAAGAGTTCTGTATAGTTATAAAACTCTTATAGACATAGAATCATAGAATCAAAGAGTTGGAAGAGACCTCATGGGCCATCATCCAGTCCAACCCCCTGCCAAGAAGCAGGAATATTGCATTCAAATCACCCCTGACAGATGGCCATCCAGCCTCTGCTTAAAAGCTTCCAAAGAAGGAGCCTCCACCACACTCCGGCGCAGAGAGTTCCACTGCTGAACGGCTCTCACAGTCAGGAAGTTCTTCCTAATGTTCAGATGGAATCTCCTCTCTTGTAGTTTGAAGCCATTGTTCCATTGCGTCCTAGTCTCCAGGGAAGCAGAAAACAAGCTTGAAAACATGCCTCTAGTTCCGTTTAAGTAACCAGGTATCCAAAAGCACTGTTGTAATGGTCTTCTGCTCAAACACACAGAAACTTTAGGTCTTTCCCTAATAAGCAGGAAGGCTTTTATTTCTCCTTTGTTGCAACAGTATGCAAAAGTATATATAAAATATACAAACTGTACAACTTCTGGGTTGTTGTAGGGTTTTTTTGGGCTATATGGCCATGTTCTAGAGGCATTTTCTCCTGACGTTTCACCTGCATCTATGGCAAGCATCCTCAGAGGTAGTGAGGTCTGTTGGAACTAGGAAAAAAGGTTTATAAATCTGTGGAATGACCAGGATGGGACAAAGAACTCTTGTCTGCTGGAGCTAGGTGTGAATGTTTCAACCGACCACCTTGATTAGCATTTGATTGTCTGGCAATGCCTGGAGCAATCTTTTGTTGAGAGGTGATTAGATGTCCTTCTTTGTTTCCTCTCTGTTGTTGTGCTGTTCTAATTTTAGAGTTTTTTAATACAGAGAAGCCATTGAAATCCACAAGCATGTGGACAATTTCAACAGAAAGGAGGAAACCATGAAAATGAACAAAATCTGGCTACCAGTTCCAGTGAGTGTCTCTGTAGATCTTAGAAAACTGTGTCTAGATTTGAGTCGTTGACGTGCTGGCTGATACCCAAACAGGGGATGAGCTGGAGATGTCTCTGCCTTGGTCCTTTCACTATTGGCTGCTACTTCCCAGCGGATGTCAGGTGGTGCGATACCGGCTAAGCAGTGTAGGGCTAGTCATTTGTGTAGATGTTGAACATGGATGGAACAAGCACGCTCCCCTGAGGCAGGCCGTTCTTCTGTTTCCGCCATCTGCTTCTCTGGCCCTGGAACTCAACAAAAAAGCTCCTGTTTTGTAGCAGGTTTCCTATGAGGCGGGTGAGGTGGTCGTCCTTTGTGATACTATACATTTTTCTCAGGAGGAGGCAGTGGTGGTTCACAGTATCATAGGCTGCTAACAGGTCTATGAAGACAGAAGCAACCAGCATCTGTCAGGGGTGATTCGAATGCAACATTCCTGCTTCTTGGCAGAATGGGGTTGGACTGGATGGCCCAGGAGGTCTCTTCCAACTCTTTGATTCTATGATTCTATGATCCTACCAGATATATCCTACCTTGTTCATGCCTAGCATTTATTTTTTAAATTTTAAACTATTACATTTGGCCTGGCCATATGTTTTTAATTGTTGTGTGTTATTGTTGTGTGTGATTTATATTAATTTGTATTGCATTGTATTGTTTTGTTTATTGCTTTCCTGTTTTATTGATGTGTCGTTGGGCTTGGCCTCATGTAAGCCGCACCGAGTCCCTTGGGGAGATGGTAGCAGGGTACAAATAAAGATTATTATTATTATTATTATTATTATTATTATTATTAATTAATTTATTTATTGTGTCATCCGCAACCAGACCATTGTATTACAAAACAAACAGATTAAAAAAACACAAAGTTTGCAAGCTTGGTAGTTGATTAAATGTCCTTTGACCAGTCTCTGGCCCCTTGGAGTGCCTCTGGTGTTGCCGCAAGAAGGTCCTCCATTGTGCATGTGGCAGGGCTCAGGTTGCATCGCAGCAGGTGGTCAGTGGTTTGTTCTTCTCCGCACTCGCATGTCGAGGATTCCACTTTGTGGCCCCATTTCCTGAGGTTGGCTCTGCATCTCGTGGTGCCAGAGCGCAGTCTGTTCAGCGCCTTCCAAGTCGCCCAGTCTTCTGTGTGCCCAGGGGGGAGTCTCTCATCTGGTATCACCCACTGATTGACGTTCTGGGTTTGAGCCTGCCACTTTTGGATTCTCGCTTGCTGAGGTGTTCCAGCGAGTGTCTCTGTAGATCTAAGAAAACTATTTCTTGATTTGAGTTGTTGACATGCTGGCTGATACCCAAACAAGGGATGAGCTGGAGATGTCTCTGCCTTGGTCCTTTCACTATTGGCTGCTACTTCCCAGCGGATGTCAGGTGGTGCAATACCGGCTAAGCAGTGTAATTTCTCCAGTGGTGTAGGGCGCAGACACCCTGTGATAATGCGGCATGTCTCATTAAGGGCCACATCCACTGTTTTAGCGTGGTGAGATGTGTTCCACACTGGGCATGCATACTCAGCAGCAGAGTAGCACAGCGCAAGGGCAGATGTCTTCACTGTATCTGGTTGTGATCCCCAGGTTGTGCCAGTCAGCTTTCGTACGATATTGTTTCTAGCACCCACTTTTTGTTTGATCTTCAGGCAGTGCTTCTTGTAGGTCAGAGCACGGTCCATAGTGACTCCCAGGTATTTGGGTGCGCTGCAATGCTCCAGTGGGATTCCTTCCCAGGTGATCCTCAGAGCTCAGGATGCTTCTCTGTTCTTGAGATGAAAGGCACATGTCTGTGTTTTAGATGGATTAGGGATCAGCTGGTTTTCCCCATAATAGGCAGTAAGAGCACCTAGAGCTTCGGAGAGCTTCTGTTCAACCATCTCAAAGCTCCCTTCTTGAGCAGTAATGACATGATCATGTGCATAGATGAAACTCTCTGTCCCTTCTGGCAGTGGCTGGTCATTTGTGTAGATGTTGAACATGGATGGAGCAAGCACACTCCCCTGAGGCAGGCCGTTCTTCTGTTTCCGCCATCTGCTTCTCTGGCCCTGGAGCTCAACAATTATTATTATTATTATTATTATTATTATTATTATTATTATCAGAGCATGCAAATACCTTGCAAGACCATGACCAGCCTATCTGGGAGATTCTGCAGTGCAAACGTCTTGGCTTTCCTCTTTACAGGATGGAAACGTCCGCTGTGAGATGATCCAGTGCCCCCCGACATCCTGCTCCCACCCCGTGACGGAGCCTGGGGTCTGTTGCCCACGCTGCAAAGGTGACTGTAGTCTCTGCTTCTGGGAAGATGTCTCCATGTTCCCATCCACCACCACTGTCTGCTTGCCCTGATAACCCAATGTGGAGACTGTTCCAATAACACTATGTAACAAAATGTGAAAAAAAATCTGTTCCTGGATTCAAAGTGTTATTTCCTATTTCATTGTGCAGAACTTACTTTGAAAGTAGTTGTTCAACTCCAAAAACTTGGTTTTTGTGGCTGCCACAAACTAGGTTGAGACTCTCGGTCAGTGTTTCTCAACCTTCCTAATGCCGTGACCCCTTAACACGGTTCCTCCCATTGTGGTGATCCCCAACCATAACATTATTTTAGTTGCTACTTCATAACTATAATTTTGCTACTGTCACGAATCTTCATGTAAATATCCGATATGCGGGATGTATTTCCATTCACTGGACCAAATTGAGCACAATTACCCGATATGCCCACATTTGAATACTGGTGGGGTTGGGATTGATTTTTGTCTTAGGAACCCCTTTGGCAAAGAAGATCTTCTCCCACCGTGAGGGCATTGGTTTCCAGGTGGGAGGCGGTCTCGGTCGGGGTTGGCTTGACGCACCTTCCTCTTGGCACGTTTCTCTCTTTCGGCCTCCACTCGTGCCTCCTCAAATTCTGCAGCACTGCTGGTCACAGCTGACCTCCAGCCTGAGCACTCAAGGGACAGGGCTTCCCAGTTCTCAGTGTCTATGCCAGAGTTTTTGAGGTTGTCTTTGAGCCCATCTTTCCTGTTTTTCCTCTTGGCATGTTTCTCTCTTTCGCCCTCCACTTGTGCCTCCTCAAATTCTGTAGCACTGCTGGTCACAGCTGACCTCCAGCTGGAGCGCTCAAGGGCCAGGGCTTCCCAGTTCTCAGTGTCTATGCCAGAGTTTTTAAGGATGGCTTTGAGCCCATCTTTAAACCCCCACCTCACCAGTATTCAAATTGGGGCATATTGGGTATTTGTGCCAGTTTTGACACAGTGAATGAAAATACATCCTGCATAGCAGATATTTACATTATTTATTTGTTACAGGATTCATATTCCACCCTTCTCACTCTGCAGGGGACTCAGGGAGGATTACAATGAACATATACATGGCAAACATTCAATGCCATAGACCAGTGTTTCTCAACCTGGGGGTCGGGACCTCTGGAGGGGTCGCGAGGGGGTGTCAGAGGGGTCACCAAGGGTCATCAGAAAACACAGTATTTTTCTGTTGGTTATGGGGATTCTGAGTAGGAAGCTTGGCCCAATTTTCTCATTGGTGGGGTTCAAAATGCTCTGTGTTTGTAGGTGAACTATAAATCCCAGCAACTACAACTCCCAAATATCAAGCTCTATTTTCCCCAAATTCCACCACTGTTCACATTTAGGCATGTTGAGTATTTGTGCAAATATTTGGTCCGGATCCATCAATGTTTGAGCCCACAGTGCTCTCTGGAGGTTGGTGAACTCCCAAACTCAAGGTCAATACCCACCAAACCCTTCCAGTATTTTCTGTAGGTCACGTGTGCCAAGGTTGGTTCAATTCCATCATTGGCAGAGTTCAGAATTCTCATTGATTGTAGGCGAACTATAAATCCCAGCAACTACAACTCTCAAGTGACAAAATCAATCCCCCCAACCCCATGTATTGGGTATTTGTGCCCAGTTTGGTCCAGTGAATGAAAATACATTCTGCATTGTGGATATTTACGTTATAGTTCATAACAGTAGCCAAATTACAGTTATAAAGTAGCAATGAAAATAATGTTGGGGTCACCACAACATGAGGAACTGGGTTAAGGGGTCGCAGCACTAGGAAGGTTGAGAAACACTGCCATAGACACACAACATATATAGACAGACACAGAGGCAATTTCGCATTCCAACTTTTCATGGGGGTATTCCGGCCACCAGGGGAGCTGTCCCTTCACCGACCATTTGTGACACGGATGAAGTACTTCCTCATTCTTTGCATGCTTGCTGGAGATTTTTATGGCATCGTAAATTAGTTAAATTAACCTCCCCGCGTAGGCGGTACCTAAATTTCCTACTTAACAGATGCAACTGTCTTTCGGGCTGCAAACGTCAACAGAAAGCTAGACAAATAGTTGGGAGCTTACTCTGACCCGGGCTGGCTTTGAACTCATGACTTTTTGGTCAGTAGTGATTTTAATGGGGCGGACTCCTATATATGTTGTGTGTCTATGGCATTGAATGTTTGCCATGTATATGTGCATTGTGATCTGCCCTGAGTCTCTGCGGAGTGAGAAGGGTGGTGCGAGGAGGTGATCAGAGTGGAGAGAAAGCACACGCTGCTGTCGTGTGACAGGAGAGTAGAGGGAGATTTATTGTTTATTTCTCTGAATTCTGCCACCAACTGGTATAGTGGAGGCCAATTGTTATATGTAATCTATGGTAACTGCCACCAACGTGAGATATGAGGTATTACTGTGAGATATGGCAATACTGATGCAGAATGGATGGAGATGAGACTGTCTCCAACAAAAGATAACTGGTTTATTGAGTACAAAGCGTGTGGTTACAAGTTGTAACTTAATTTATAGAACTTTGAATAATACTTGGTTAGTTACACATTTCACTCTTCCAGGTTACACAGTATCTCACTGAGGTGAAGCTCTTATTACTAAACAATGTTTCAGTACAGGAATATCTTCCCTATTTGATCTTTCCTTGATCAAATAAATTAACAAGCTTATCCTTTAGCCTTTCCCTTGACTAAAGAAAACTGGCTATGTTTCTCCTTTTAGCCTCCTTAGACTGAGAAACCTCCAGTAGCTGTTCAGGCTTCCCAAAAGCCACAATTCTTTGCTTCACACTTCACTCTCCCACTCTACTCTTCACTTCCACTCTTTTTCTCCTCTCAGATACAAAATCAACTCCTAACTGACTCTCAAACTGTCTGTTTTTTCAAAACTCTCTCCACTTGGCTCCTCCCACTTCTCCTTCTGCCAGCTTGCCTTGGTCTCCATGGTAACGTGCATAAAAGATGCTAAATGCGAGTCATAGAATCATAGAATCAAAGATTTGGAAGAGTCCTCATGGGCCATCCAGTCCAACCCCATTCTGCCAAGAAGCAGGAATATTGCATTCAAATCACCCCTGACAGATGGCCATCCAGCCTCTGTTTAAAAGCTTCCAAAGGAGGAGCCTCCACCACACTCCGGGGCAGAGAGTTCCACTGCTGAACGGCTCTCACAGTCAGGAAGTTCTTCCTCATGTTCAGATGGAATCTCCTCTCTTGTAGTTTGAAGCCATTGTTCTGCGTCCTAGTCTCCAGGGAAGCAGAAAACAAGCTTGCTCCCTCCTCCCTGTGGCTTCCTCTCACTTATTTATACATGGCTATCATATCTCCTCTCAGCCTTCTCTTCTTCAGGCTAAACATGCCCAGCTCCTTAAGCCGCTCCTCATAGGGCTTGTTCTCCAGACCCTTGATCATTTTAGTCGCCCTCCTCTGGACACATTCCAGCTTGTCAATATCTCTCTTGAATTGTGGTGCCCAGAATTGGACACAATATTCGAGATGTGGTCTAGGATCTCTGAAATAGGCTGCTCCAGTGTTACTGTAGCTAACCCAAACACACACACACACACACACATATATATATATATATATATATATTTATATATATATATACACACACAGTTTAAAACATGCAAAGTATTAATAACTTCTGCACAGGTGGAATATAAATACTGTAAATCAATAAATAAACTTGAGGACGGCTTGTATCCAACTCTGGCATTCCGGCCCCGCTTCCTGCCCTCTCATTCAGGCTGCACCTATGAGGGTCGAGAGCGTCTCGACGGGTCCAGCTGGCTCTCCTCAGCAGTGCCCTGCATGGCCTGCATGTGTGTCGATGGTGTGGCCACCTGCGCTGAGATCGCCTGCATCCACTCTTGCACCAACCAGATCAAAGTTCCTGGGGAGTGCTGCCCTCTATGTGCAGGTAAGGAAGAAGGGGCGGGGCCTAAGGCTTTGTGGACGGGACTTTCATCCAGGACTGCTAAGGAGGAGGGACTCTCCCAGTCCATTAATGGGGGGCGCACACGCATTGGCACCTTATCTGATGTTGGAAGCTAAGCAGGTCGGCCCTGGTGAGCATTTGGATGGGAGATTTCCTCACTAGAGTTTTTTAAGATCTACGGAGACACTCGCTGGAACACCTCAGCAAGCGAGAGTCCAAAAGTGGCAGGCTCAAACCCAGAACTTCAATCAATGGCTTGAGGCTTGAGGCTTTATTTATCGTATCAGGAGCAGACCAAACAGTTGTACTGAATTTTTTTTAACAAACAAACAAAAATCCCCACAAAGTTTGCAAGCTTGGTAGTTGATTAATTGTCCTTTGACCGGAAGCTGGCCACTTGGAGTGTCTCTGGTGTTACTATAAGAAGATCCTCCCTTGTGCATGTGGCAGGACTCAGGGTGCATTGCAGCAGGTGGTCAGTGGTTTGCTCTTCTCCACACTCGCATGTCATGGATTCCACTTTGTAGCCCCATTTCTGCATCTCATGGTGCCAGAGCGCAGTCTGTTCAGCGCCTTCCAGGTTGCCCAGTCTTCTGTGTGCCCAGGAGGGAGTCTCTCATTTGGTATCAGCCATTGATTGAGGCTGTGGGTTTGAGCCTGCCACTTTTGGACTCTTGCTTGCTGGGGTGTTCCAGCGAGTGTCTCTGTAGATCTTAGAAAACTATTTCTAGATTTAAGTCGTTGACGTGCTGGCTGATACCCAAACAGAGGATGAGCTGGAGATGTCTCTGCCTTGGTCCTTTCACTATTGGCTGCTACTTCCCGGCAGATGTCAGGTGGTGCAATACCGGCTAAGGAGTGTAATTTCTCCAGTGGTGTAGGGCGCAGACACCCTGTGATAATGCGGCATATCTCATTAAGAGCCACATCCACTGATTTAGCGTGGTGAGATGTGTTCCACACTGGGCATGCATACTCAGCAGCAGAGTAGCATAGCGCAAGGGCAGATGTCTTCACTGTATCTGGTTGTGATCCCCAGGTTGTGCCAGTCAGCTTTCATATGATATTGTTTCTAGCGCCCACTTTTTGCTTGATGTTCAGGCAGTGCTTCTTGTAGGTCAGAGCACGGTCCAGAGTGACTCCCAGGTATTTGGGTGCACTGCAATGCTCCCGTGGGATTCCTTCCCAGGTCATCTTTAGAGCTCAGGATGCTTGTCTGTTCTTAAGGTGGAAGGCACACATCTGTGTTTTAGATGGATTAGAAATCAGCTAGTTTCCCTGTAATAGGCGGTAAGAGCACCTAGAGCTTCGGAGAGCTTCTGTTCAACCATCTCAAAGCTCCCTGCTTGAGCAGTGATGGCACGATCATCAGCATAGATTAAGCTCCCTGTCCCTTCTGGCAGTGGCTGGTCATTTGTGTAGATGTTGAGCATGGATGGAGCAAGCACGCTCCCCTGAGGCAGGCCGTTCTTCTGTTTCCGCCTTCTGCTTCTCTGGTCCTAGAACTCAACAAAAAAGCTCCTGTTTTGTAGCAGATTTCCTATGAGGCGGGTGAGCTGGTCGTCCTTTGTGATACTATACATTTTTCTCAGGAGGAGGCAGTGGTTCACAGTATCATAGGCTGCTGACATGTCTATGAAGACAGCTCCGGTGATCTGCTGCCTTTCAAAGCCATCTTCTATGTGCTGAGTCAGGTTCAGCACTTGCGATGTGCAGCTTTTGCCTTTTCTGAAGCCAACTTGAAAGAACATTTAATCCCTTGAGGCTGAGGGGCTGTGACTCACTCAGAGTCACCCAGTGGGCTCCCATGGCTGAGTGAGTCTTTGAACCTGGGCATTCAGAATCATAGGCTGCATCTACACTGTAGAATTAATGCAGTTTGACAACACTTGGATTACTATGGCTCAGCGCTATGGAATTCTGGGAGTTATAGTTTTTCAAGTTTTTTAGTCTTCTCTGTGAAAGGATGCACACTAAAGCTTCCATGATTCCCTAGCATTCGAGACCACTTTTAACCATAGCAGTTAAAAGTGGTATGAAACTGCATTACATTTACAGTGTAGCTGCACTTGCTGTTTCACATTCAACCCACTGCATGACATTGATCCTTAATTCTATAGTTCACGGTTTCTGTTTTTGATGGTAGAGTATGACTCTTTTTAACTGTGCCATAAATTTGGGAGGAAGGTGAGGAAGGCATGTTTCATGTAATTATGTTGTTGTTGTTTATTGTTTGCGTTTTCGGTTTTACTTTATTGTAAATTGTTGTTTGGGCTTGGCCTCATGTAAGCCGCTCCAAGTCCCCATTGGGAAGATGGTGGCAGGGTATAAATAAAGTTGTATTGTCGAAGGCTTTCATGGCCGGAATCACTGGGTTGTTGTAGGTTTTTCCGGGCTATATGGCCATGTTCTAGAGGCATTTTCTCCTGATGTTTTGCCTGCATTCACCATGGAAAAAGAAAATGAGAAAGACTGCCTTTTCTAGATGTCCTAGTCATCCGCAAACCAGATCAACAATTGGGTCACACTGTTTACAGGAAAACCCCACACACAGATAGATATCTACAGAAAAACTCCAACCACCACCCAAGTCAAAAAAGAAGCCCCATTCAAGCCTTGGCAGACCGTGCAAGAAGAATCTGCGAAGCCCACCTCCTCCAAGATGAACTGAACCACCTCAACTGGGCTCTCCAGGCCAATGGAGACTCCACTTCAGGCATCAGAAGAGCTGCAAGACAACCGAGAAGAAGCCACGAGAGTCAAGATGAAGATCCACTAGAGGAAAAGTGTTCTTGCCAGACATCAAGGGAACCCCTGACCGCAGAGGGAAGCTGATGAGGAAACACAACATACAAACTATCTACAGACCCAACAAGAAAATCCAACCAATGCTCCGTTCAGCAAAGGACAAGAAGGATCCTCTCACCTCTGCAGGAGTCTACCGTATACCATGCAGCTGTGGACAAGTCTACAGAGGGACCACCAAACGCAGAAATGCCCAGACACGAAACAAGAAACATGAAAGGCACTGCAGACTCACTCAACCAGAGAAGTCAGCCATAGCAGAGCACCTGATGAACCAACCTGGGCACAGCATATTATTTGAGGACACAGAAATGCTGGACCACTCTCACAACCACCATGTCAGGCTACACAGAGAAGCCACTGAAATCCACAAGAAGCATGTGGACAATGTCAACAGAAAGGAAGAGACCATGAAAATGAACAAAATCTGGCTCCCAGTATTAAAAAACTCTAAAATTACAACAGCAAAACAACAGAGAGTAAACAATCAGGCACATCTAATCACTCTCAACAAAAGATTCCCCCCCCCCCCAGGCACTTCCAAGCCATTAAATGCTAATCAAGGTGGTCTGTTGAAACATTCACACCTAGCTCCAGCAGACAAGAGTCCTTTGTCCCACCGTGGTCATTCCACAGATATATAAACCCTTTTTCCTAATTCCAACAGACCTCCCTACCTCTGAGGATGCTTGCCATACATGCAGGTGAAACGTCAGGAGAAAATGCCTCTAGAACATGGCCATATAGCCCGGAAAAACCTACAACAACCCATAAATAAAGTTGATGATGATGATGATGATGATGATGATTATTATTATTATAGTAATTACAACTCTCTGTCAGAGAGATGTGGGCCTCTTTCTACTACAAATCCCAGAATTTTGCAGGATCCAGCTATGGCAGTTAATGTGTAATGATAGCACTATAATATGTAGTGTTAAAGAGATCTGTGGCATTGTTTTGGACTTTTCCAATGCTAATTGTGACTCCCTCTTTTTCCCAGATTGTATTTACGAGGGCCTTGTATATGGACCAGGTGAGAGTTTCCAGCCAGGAAAGGATCCCTGTGAAATCTGCACCTGTGAGGTGAGGCCCCCATTTTTGAACCATTTTTGAGGTGGGTCCTCTTGAGGTCATCTTGTCTCACTTCCTGCCCAGCTCATGCCATTCTCTGGAAAGCCAGGGAAGAAAAGACAGAAACTGATTGATTGATTAATTAGCTTGATACGTCTCCTTTTTCTAGGGATGGCTTGTAACATGAACAGAACAATACAAAATTTGAAAAATGTTTTGTTCCTGGTTTGTAAATATTATTTCCTGTTTAAATGTGCAGCTCTTACTTTGAAAGTAATTGTTCTACTCCAGAAACTTTGTTTTTGTGCCACATACTATGTTGAATTGGGTGGGCGGGCCAAATGCACAGGGTAAAATTGATAAAACTGTGGGCGAGATAAGTAAATGAGGACGAATGTGTGTGAGGGGGGAGCTCAGTAGGGGTGAGCAATGGGAGAAAGTGCATTGTGAGGACAGAACTGTAATTGGGATGGACAGTTAAAAATCAGTTAGGGTTTAGGTTTAGAGGAGTGAGCAGTCCGGGTTTAGGTTCAGAGGAGTCAGGAGTTAGGTTCAGAGGAGTGAGGAGTGCGGAGTTGGGAGAGAAGGAAAGGAAAGGTGGCAGAGTGACTTGTGAAGCAAAGCTTTGAGGCTTTGAAAAGCTGGGTTTGGCTATTGGAAGTTTCTCAGGCTAGTGCAGCCAAATGGTGAAACAGAGCTGGTATTCTTTTAGTCTAAGGAGAGGCTAAAGAATAGTTTACTTAGTATTTGATCTAGGGAGGATCAAATAAGGGAAACATCCCTGTATTGAAACTTTGTCTGAAACAAGTGCTCTACGTCAGAAAGATACTGTGTTACTTGAAAGAATGAACTGTTAAAGTTACAAATATTATTCCAAGTGCAACAAGGACAAGTTATGTCTTGCAACCACACGCTGTGTACTTAATAAAATTGTTAACTTTTATTTGAAGATTGCCTCAGCTCCGTCTATTCTGTGTCCAAAGTGCCATTTCTCACAATATTACAACTTACCTCACGTGGTGGCAGAAACGCAGGGAAAAGTAACCAAATAAATCTACATTCTTCTCTCCAGTCACGTTACATTATATACAGTGTAATTACTACTAAGTTATTACTTTCTTAATAAAGGAGGAGGTGCCATTGAACAGCCTCCCTTCCAACTTGATGGTAAATTTGGTTCCTAATCGGCAACCTCCATTGCAAGTTGGCTAGTTCTTTTAAAGATTGGGAACTGGGGTAAAATCTCCTGAATACTGGTTCCTTTCAAATTGGTGGCAACAATAAATCATTCCTCAGCTCCCTTGCTTCTTTTCAATGTTCACTCGTCAAAGGCACGCCGGAAGAACCAGGTTTTTAGGTCTTTCTTAAAGGCTGCCAGGGTGGGGGCTCGCCTAATCTCACTAGGTAAATATGTAAATTGAAAACAAAAGCATATTAATCACAGATATATGTAACTCGAGGACGGCCTGTATCCTCTTTTCTCTCTCTGCAGGTGATGTCTGATGGGGAACAGCACCTGCAATGCTACCGGAAGCAGTGTCCCAGCCTGTTGGACTGTCCGCGGGAGCAGATTCAGGCGCCGGGACCAGGGCACTGCTGCCCCACTTGCGCCCGTGAGCCTCCTTCGCACCCCCTTTCCCAGTGATGCAAAAAAGCCACAGTGGGTTGGTGTCCACAGGGCTGCACCAGAAATAGGTTACTATTTGGATGCCACAGGGGTCTGCCCTGGGCCTTTTAGGGCTGTTCAACGTCCTTATCTATGGCTTGAGCAATGGAATGGAATAGAATTTGGAGCACGAAAACTCCAGAAAACAGGATCAGGTTCCAAAAGTGTTGGATAGTGTAACCGAACCCTGATACTGGTCTACTAAACGAACCTTGATACAGGTCCATTAACCCCAGTGCTGATACTGATCCAGTTACTTACTTACTTACTTACTTACTTACTTACTTACTTAGGCGATCCCTCGTTGGCCAAGTAGGGTAGTCTTCCAGGATCAGAAGTCTTGTAAGTCTGTGGGTGGCTGTGGAGCCCTATTCTGGACCTGCATCTTCTTCTACCTTGAGGGCATTGGTTTCCAGGTGGAAGGCGGTCTCGGTTGGGGTTGGCTTGACGCGCCTTCCTCTTGGCATGTTTCTCTCTTTCACCCTCCATTCGTGCCTCTTCAAATTCTGCAGCACTGCTAGTCACAGCTGACCTCCAGCTGGAGTGATCAAGGGCCAGGGCTTCCCAGTTCTCAATGTCTATGACAGAGTTTTCAAGACTGGCTTTGAGCCCATCTTTCAATCTCTTTTCCTGTCCTCCAACATTCCGTTTTCCATTCTTGAGTTCGGAGTAGAGCAACTGCTTTGCGAAACAGTGGTCAGACATCCAGGCAACATGGCCGGTCCAGTGGAGTTGATGGCGGAGGACCATTGCTTCAATGCTGGTGGTCTTTGCTTCTTCCAGCACACTGACGTTTGTCCGCCTGTCTTCTCAAGAGATTTGCAGGATTTTCCGGAGGTCAGCGCTGATGAAATCGTTCCAGGAGTTGCATTTGACGTCTGTAGACAGTCCACGTTTCGCAGGCATAGAGCAGGGTTGGGAGGACAATAGCTTTATAGACAAGCACCTTGGTCTCCCTACGGATGTCCTCAAACACTCTCTGCTTCATTCGGAAAAATGCTGCACTCACAGAGCTCAGGCGGTGTTGTATTTCAGTGTCGATGTTGACTTTGGTAGAGAGGTGGCTGCCAAGGCAGCGGAAATGATCAACATTTTCGAATGTTACACCATTAAGGTGTATCTCTGGCATTGGAGAGGGGTTGGCTGGTGACTGCTGTAACAGCACTTTGGTTTTCTCGATGTTTAATGACAGGCTGAGCTTCTCGTATGCTTCTGCAAAGGTGTTTAGAGTGGCTTGTAGATCTTCTTCTGAATGCGCACAGACGACATTGTCATCAGCATACTGGAGTTCTATAACAGATGTTGTTGTAACCTTGGTTTTGGCTTTCAGTCTGCTGAGGTTAAACAGTTTGCCATCCAGTTACCCTGTGGTGATCCCAATTGCCCAACACTGATACCTGTCCAATGAACCCACCCTGATACTGGTCAGGAAACCACAAATCTCTCTGAGGAGCAACTGTTTAGATTGGAGAAAAGAAGGTTGAGAGGAGACATGAGGGCCCTGTTTGAATATGTGAAAGGCTGTCCCATTGAGGAGAAGCAGGAAAGCTTGTCCAGAGATCAGGACACAAAGGAGCCATGGATTCGAATTGCAAGAAAAGAGATTCCACCTCAACTTTAGGAAAAACTTCCCGATGGCTAGATCTGGTCAACAGTGGAATATGTGACCTGAGAGTCTGGTAGAGAATGTCTTGTCGAAGGCTTTCACGGCCAGAATCACTGGGTTGTAGGTTTTTTGGGCTGTATGGCCATGTTCAAGAACATTCTCTCCTGACGTTTTGCCTGTATCTATGGCAGTCATCCTCAGTCTGGTGGAGTCTCCTCGCTTCTCTGGAGATGAGACTGGATGAACATCTGTCGGGAGGGCTTATGGGTTCTGTATTAGGCCTGGGCAATCCATGGTTCTAAATGGTTCTAAAGTACTTAAAAAACTAAAGCTCTGGTGGTGAAAATTTCAGAACTCTAACTTAACTCTCAAAATTTCATTATTAATGGCAGTTCCTAATTGGTTCTGTCATAAAAAAAATCACCAATAATAAAATAATAATTAAATTTTGATAGTTTTGTTAGAGTTCTGAAATTTTCACCACCAGAACTTTAGTTTTGTAAGTACTTTAGAACCATTTAGAACAGTGTTTTTCAACCTGGGGGTCAGAACCCCTGGGGGGGTCGCGAGGGGGTGTCAAAGGGGTTGCCAAAGACCATCAGAAAACACAGTATTTTCTGTCGGCCATGTGGATTCTATGTGGGAAGTTTGACGCAATTCTATTGTTGGTTGAGTTCAGAATGCTCTGGAATTATAAATCCCAGTAACTACAACTCCCAAATGTCAAGGTCTATTTTCCCTAGACTCCACCAATGTTCACATTTGGGCATATTGAGTATTTGTGCCAAGTTTGGTCCAGATCCATCATTGTGTGAATCCACAGTGCTCCTCTGGATATAGGTGAACTACAACTCCTAATCCCAAGGTCAATGCCCATCAAACCCTTCCAGTGTTTTCTGTTGGTCATGGGAGTTCTGTGTGCCAAGTTTGGTTCAAATCAATTGCTGGTGGAGTTCAGAATGCTCGTTGTTTATAAGTGAACTACAAATCCCAGCAGATGACACCACTCTGATGGCCGAAAGCGAGGAGGAGCTGAGGAGCCTTCTAATCAAGGTGAAAGAAGAAAGCGCAAAAGCCGGGTTGCAGCTAAACATAAAAAAAAAACAAGATTATGGCAACAAGAATGATTGACAACTGGGAAATAGAGGGAGAAACCATGGAGGCCGTGACAGGGTTTGTATTTCTAGGTGCAAAGATGAGTGCAGATGCAGACTGTGGCCAGGAAATCAGAAGACGCTTCCTTCTTGGGAGGAGAGCAATGTCCAGTCTCGATAAAATAGTAAAGAGTAGAGACATCAGACTGGCAACAAAGATCCATTGCCTAGTCAAAGCCATGGTCTTCCCTGTAGTCACCTACGGATGTGAGAGCTGGACCTTAGGGAAGGCTGAGCGAAGGAAGATCGATGCTTTTGAGCTGTGGTGTTGGAGGAAAGTTCTGAGAGTGCCTTGGACTGCGAGAAGATCCAACCAGTCCATCTCCAGGAAATAAAGCCCGACTGCTCACTGGAGGGAAGGATACTAGAGACAAAGTTGAAGTACTTTGGCCACATCATGAGGAGACAGCAAAGCCTAGAGAAGACAATTATGCTGGGGAAAGTGGAAGGCAAAAGGAAGAGGGGCCGACCAAGGGCAAGATGGATGGATGGCATCCTTGAAGTGACTGGACTGACCCTGAAGGAGCTGGGGGTGGTGACGGCCGACAGGGAGCTCTGGCGTGGGCTGGTCCATGAGGTCACGAAGAGTCAGAGACGACTGAACGAATGAACAACAACAACAATAAATCCCAGCAACTACAACTCCCAAATTACAAAATCAATCCTCTCCCAACCCCACTAGCATCCACATTTGGGCATATTGGTTATTTGTGCTCAATTTGGTTCAATGAAGGAAAATACATCCTGCATATTGGATATTTATCTATCTACTAGCTTGGGGACCCGGCGTTGCCCGGGTTATTAGAGAAAGTGGGTAATGGCGGTTCTGTATGCCAAGTTTGGTCTTTATTGGTCTTTGGATAACGGCTGCATTATTTTCAGGAAGTGAGTGAAGGTACTTGAAGTCCCATCATCCATGGGCCATCCTCCTACAAACAGCAGCAGGATATAGAGTGGGTCATGGGGCTCTGTGTGCCAAGTTTGGTCTTTATCAGTCATTAGATGAGGGTGGCAGTGGTGGCAGTAAGTGAGTGAAGGTACTGCAAGTCCCATCATCCAAAGTCCATCCCCTTTCAAACTGCAGCAGGATGTAGAGTGGATCATGGGGGCTCTGTGTGCCAAGTGTGGTCTTGATTGGTCATTAGAAGAGGGTTGCAGCAATCTTTGGAAGGGAGTGGAGGTACTTGAAGTCCCATCATCCATGGTCTGTCCTCCTCCAAACTGCACCAGGATGTAGAGTGGGTCATTGGAGCTCCATGTGCCAAGTTTAGTCTTGATTAGTCATTGGCGAGGGTCTCAGTGGTCTCAGGAAGTGAGCAAAGGTACTGCAAGTCCCATCATCCATCTCCAAATTTTTCCAAATAACACCAGGACGTAAAGTGGGTCATGAGAGGTCTATGTGCCAAGTTTGGTGTTGATCCGTCATTGGATGAGGTTTGCAGAGGTCTCAGAATGTGAGTGAAGGTACTGGAAGTTCCATCATCCATGGTCCACCCTTCTCCAAAACTGCAGCAGGATGTAGAGTGGGTCATGGGGGCTCTGTGTGCCAAGTTTGGTCTTGATTGGTCATTAGATGGGTTTTGCAGCAGTCTTGGGTAGTGGAGGTACTTGAAGTCCCATCATCCATGGTCTGTCGTCCTCCAAACTGCTCCAGGATGTAGAGTGGGTCATTGAAGCTCCATGTGCCAAGTTTAGTCTTGATGAGTCATTGGCGTGGGTCTCAGTGGTCTCAGGAAGTGAGTGAAGTGACTGCAAGTCCCATCATCCATTGTCAAATTCTTCCAAACCGCACCAGGATGTAGAGTGAGTTATGCGGACTCTCTGTGTAAATTGTGGTCCTGATCCATCATTGTTGGCAGTTGTAATGGTCTTAGGAAGGGAGTGCAGGTATTGCAAGTCCCATCGTCCATGGTGCATCCTCCTTCAAACTGCACCTGGATGTAGAGTGCGTCATGGAGACTCAGTGTGCAAGTTTGGTATTTATTGGTAATTGGATGAGGGTTGCAGTGGTCTGAAGAATTGAGCAATGGTACTGCAAGTCCCATAATCCACGGTCCATCCCCGGCCAAACCACAGCAGGACGTAAAGTGGGTCATGAGAGGTCTATGTGCGAAGTTTGGTCCTGATCAGTCATTGGATGAGGTTAACAGCGGTCTCAGAATGTGAGTGGTGGTACTGCAAGTCCCATCATCCATGGTTCATCCTCCTCCAAACTGCAGTAGGATGTCGAGTGGGTGATGGGGGCTCTGTGTGCCTATTTCGGTCTGTATTGGGAGTGTTCTGACCCAGCCCCCGGCCTTTCCTTTCCTCTCTTTCTCATCTCGGAATGTTGGATTTGAGGCTGGCCAATCAGAGACCATATGCAAATTTCCTTCTGTCATGCCCCGTTTCTGCCATGAACCCTCTTCTCCACCAGGGGCTCCTATTGAAGCTGGCCAATCAGAGACCATATGCAAATAGCACCACAGCGGCAGCCAATCAGAACGCTGCCACATACACCGCCCTCCCTCCACAATTCCTCTGTCCGATACAAACACTCTTCTTTATTATATACTAGCTTGGGGACCCGGCGTTGCCCGGGTTATTAGAGAAAGTGGGTAATGGCGGTTCTGTATGCCAAGTTTGGTCTTTATTGGTCTTTGGATAACGGCTGCATTATTTTCAGGAAGTGAGTGAAGGTACTTGAAGTCCCATCATCCATGGCCCATCCTCCTACAAACAGCAGCAGGATATGGAGTGGGTCATGGGGGCTCTGTGTGCCAAGTTTGGTCTTTATCATTAGATGAGGGTGGCAGTGGTGTCAGTAAGTGAGTGAAGGTACTGCAAGTCCCATCATCCAAAGTCCATCCTCTTTCAAACAGCAGCAGAATGTAAAGTGGATCATGGGGGCTCTATGTGCCAAGTTTGGTCTTGATTGGTCATTAGAAGAGGGTTGCAGCAATCTTTGGAAGGGAGTGGAGGTACTTGAAGTCCCATCATCCATGGTCTGTCCTCCTCCAAACTGCACCAGGATGTAGAGTGGGTCATTGGAGCTCCATGTGCCAAGTTTAGTCTTGATTAGTCATTGGCGAGGGTCTCAGTGGTCTTCAGGAAGTGAGCAAAGGTACTTCAAGTCCCATCATCCATCTCCAAATTTTTCCAAACAACACCAGGACGTAAAGTGGGTCATGAGAGGTCTATGTGCCAAGTTTGGTCTTGATCCGTCATTGGATGAGGTTTGCAGAGGTCTCAGAAAGTGAGTGAAGGTACTGGAAGTTCCATCATCCATGGTCCACCCTTCTCCAAAACTGCAGCAGGATGTAGAGTGGGTCATGGGGGCTCTGTGTGCCAACTTTGTGTCTTGATTGGTCATTAGATGAGTTTTGCAGCAGTCTTGGGGAGTGGAGGTACTTGAAGTCCATCATCCATGGTCTGTCCTCCTCCAAACTGCACCAGGATGTAGAGTGGGTCATTGAAGCTCCATGTGCCAAGTTTAGTCTTGATGAGTCATGGGTCTCAGTGGTCTCAGGAAGTGAGTGAAGTGACTGCAAGTCCCATCATCCATTGTCAAATTCTTCCAAACCGCACCAGGATGTAGAGTGGGTCATGCGGGCTCTCTGTGTAAATTGTGGTCCTGATCCATCATTGTTGGCAGTTGTAATGGTCTTAGGAAGGGAGTGCAGGTATTGCAAGTCCCATCGTCCATGGTGCATCCTCCTTCAAACTGCACCTGGATGTAGAGTGCGTCATGGAGACTCAGTGTGCCAAGTTTGGTCTTTATCGATAATTGGATGAGCGTTGCAGTGGTCTCAGGAATTGGGGAAAAGTACTGCAAGTCCCATAATCCATGGTCTATCCCCAGCCAAACACACACCAGGACGTAAAGAGGGTCATGAGAGGTCTCTGTGCGAAGTTTGGTCCTGATCAGACACTGGATGAGGTTAACAGCGGTCTCAGAATGTGAGTGGTGGTACTGCAAGTCCCATCATCCATGGTTCATACTCCTCCAAACTGCAGTAGGATGTCGAGTGGGTGATGGGGGCTCTGTGTGCCTATTTCGATCTGTATTGGGAGTGTTCTGACCCAGGCCCCGGCCTTTCCTTTCCTCTCTTTCTCATCTCGGAATGTTGGATTTGAGGCTGGCCAATCAGAGACCATATGCAAATTTCCTTCTGTCATGCCCCGTTTCTGCCATGAACCCTCTTCTCCACCAGGGGCTCCTATTGAAGCTGGCCAATCAGAGACCATATGCAAATAGCACCACAGCGGCAGCCAATCAGAACGCTGCCACATACACCGCCCTCCCTCCACAATTCCTCTGTCCGATACAAACACTCTTCTTTATTATATACTAGCTTGGGGACCCGGCGTTGCCCGGGTTATTAGAGAAAGTGGGTAATGGCGGTTCTGTATGCCAAGTTTGGTCTTTATTGGTCTTTGGATAACGGCTGCATTATTTTCAGGAAGTGAGTGAAGGTACTTGAAGTCCCATCATCCATAGCCCATCCTCCTACAAACAGCAGCAGGATATAGAGTGGGTCATGGGGGCTCTGTGTGCCAAGTTTGGTATGTATCAGTCATTAGATGAGGGTGGCAGTGGTGTCAGTAAGTGAGTGAAGGTACTGCAAGTCCCATCATCCAAAGTCCATCCTCTTTCAAAGAGCAGCAGAATGTAGAGTGGATCATGGGGGCTCTATGTGGCAGGTTTGGTCTTGATTGGTCATTAGAAGAGGATTGCAGCAATCTTTGGAAGGGAATGGAGGTACTTGAAATCCCATCATCCATGGTCTGTCCTCCTCCAAACTGCACCAGGATGTAGAGTGGGTCATTGGAGCTCCATGTGCCAAGTTTAGTCTTGATTAGTCATTGGCGAGGGTCTCAGTCGTCTCAGGAAGTGAGTGAAGTGACTGCAAGTCCCATCATCCATTGTCAAATTCTTCCAAACCGCACCAGGATGTAGAGTGGGTCATGCTGGGTCTCTGTGTAAATTGTGTTCCTGATCCATCATTGTTGGCAGTTGTAATGGTCTTAGGAAGGGAGTGCAGGTATTGCAAGTCCCATCGTCCATGGTGCATCCTCCTTCAAACTGCACCTGGATGTAGAGTGCGTCATGGAGACTCAGTGTGCCAAGTTTGGTCTTTATCGGTAGATATAGATATAGATATAAAAATGCTCTGTGCATAATGAGTACCTTAAAAACAAAAGAACCAATGAATGAAATCACACCAAATTTGGCAACAAAACATCTCACAACACAAGGAGTGACCATCACTCAAAAAATTATGATTTTGTCATTTGGGAGTTGTAGTTGCTGGGATTTATAGTTCACCTACAATTAAAGAGCATTCTGAACTCCATCAATGATGGAATTGAACCACACTTGGCACACAGAACTCCCATGACCAACAGAAAATATTGGAAGGGTTTGGTGGGCATTGACCTTGAGTTTGGGAGTTGTAGTTCATTGACATCCAGAGAGCACTGTAAACTCAAACAATGATGGTTCTGGACCAAAATTGGCACAAGCACTCAATAAGCCCAAATATGAACACAGATGGAATTTGGGGAAAATAGACCTTGACATTTGGGAGTTGTAGTCACTGGGATTCACAATTCACCTACAATCAAACCCCACGAACGACAGAATCAGAGCAAACTTCCCACACAGAACCCCCATGACCAACAGAAAATACTTAAGGCCATCCAATCCAACTCCCTTCATCAGGGCAAGAAAATGTAATCAAAGTCCTCCTGACAAAGAGCCATCCAGCCATAGAAAAAGATAGATGGATGGATGGATGGATGGATGGATGGATGGATGGATGGATGGATGGATGGATGGATGGATGGATGGATGGATGGATAGATAGATAGATGGATAGATAGATGGATAGATAGATGGATAGATGGATGGATAGATGGATGGATAGATGGATGGATAGATGGATGGATAGATGGATAGATGGATAGATGGATAGATGGATAGATGGATAGATGGATAGATGGATAGAGATAGATTTACACACAGAGAGATATGGTATCATATATTTGAAAGTGACCTTTAAAGAAGGACAATGAGATGTTGCATGTTCCAGGGTGGGCAAACCAGACACTCTCCACATCAACAGTGGCAAAGAGACAGCAAGAAATACTGCTTACCCACAAGCAGAAAGAAATTACACATATTAGAAACCAACACTTTCTCATTACTTTCTTTTCCAGATCACCAGACTGGGCCACAGCAACGCCTGGCAGGGGACAGCTAATGACTTATAACAGTAGTATAATGACAGATATCAAGTATCAACGAAAACAGTATTATGGTTGGGGGTCACCATAACATGAGGAACTGTATTAGGGGGTCACAGCATTAGGAAGGTTGAGAACCACTGATTTAGAACCATGGATTGCCCAGGCCTATTCTGTATGGTACAAGGAGGTTGGACTGGATTGCCTTTGGGGTCCCCTCCATCTTTAGGATTCTGTGCCGTTCCTCATCCATTTCTGCCTCTTGTTCCTTCTGCAGAAGCCCTGAGCAACTGCACTCCCAGCCTGGTGGGCAACGAGGTCCTGGCTACAGACGAGCCCTGCTACAGCTGCCAATGCAAGGTGAGGCTGCCCCAGGATGCACAGTGCAGGCATCAGGGGATTGGGTATTAGCACAGGATGGTAACACATCCGAGTGTTCCCTGGGCAACATCCTTGCAGGCGGGCAATTCTCTCACACCAGAAGCGACTTGTGTCGCTCCTGACACAAAAGAAGCCTTCTCTGCCAAAGAGGGCTGGCTCCATGCCAAACTATAGCACTCCAAACTGGGTGGCATTGAGCCATGGCAAGATCTTCTTTCACGCAGGACCTGACTTGGGTTTGCATGCACCAAAGCTGCCCGCTGCTGAGCTGCCCGGCTGCCGAGCGCTTCGTCCCTCGCGACGCCTGCTGCCCAGTTTGCGATGGTGAAGTATATCTGCTTTCCTTTCCTCAATGAACCTTTTAAACAACGGTAACCCGTTCTGTTTTGGTCACAGGATAAAGGGTTAAATGGGCACAAAATATTGGGCACAACATAGAACTAGATACATGGGAAAAATGTGGATTATTGCTTTACAGAAAATTCGGTGAGATGACCTGATCGAAGTACTTACTTACTTACTTACTTAGGCGATCCCTCGTTCAACGAGTAAGATGGTCTTCCATCATGGGTTTCCTTGTGGGTCCGTATGTGGCTGTGAAGCCCTATTTTTGCTCTTCATCTTCTTCCGCAGTGAAGGCATTGGTTTCCAGGTGGAAGGCGGTCCCGGTCGGGGTTGGCTTGACGCCTTCCTCTTGGCACGTTTCTCTTTTTCACCCTCCATTTATGCCTCTTCAAATTCTGCAGCACTGCTGGTCACAGCTGATCTCCAGCTGGAGCGCTCAAGGGCCAGGGCTTCCCAGTTCTCAGTGTCTTCTGCCAGAGATTTTAAGGTTGGCTTTGAGCCCATCTTTAAATCTCTTTTCTTGCCCACCAACATTCCGTTTTCCGTTCTTGAGTTCAGAGTAGTTATTATTTTATTTGCTTCATTTTTATACCGCATTTTTCAGCCCTTAACAGGCGACTCAATGCGGTTTACAGTGCAATTAAAACATAACAATACAACAAACAGGATCAACAACATCGATCCACAACAATTAACAATCAACAAGACAGATCAACAAAACAAACATAACGCCTCAGTTGAAATCAGATCCGTTCTCATAATCCTTGTGCCGTTCCTATGTTCCATTTACCGTCTTCCTTGATTAGTTGCATTGCTTAGCCAAACGCTTGTTCGTAAAGCCAGGTCTTGACCATTCTCCGAAACATCAGCAACGAAGGTGCCTGTCTGATGTCTGCCGGCAAGGCATTCCATAGCCGAGGGGCCACCACTGAGAAGGCCCTGTCTCTCATCCCCGCCAAGCGCGCCTGTGACGCAGGCGGGATCGAGAGCAGGGCCTCCCCAGACGATCTTAATGTTCTAGTCGGTTCATAGGTGGAGATGCGTTCGGAGAGGTAAGCGGGGCCAGAACCGTTTAGGGCTTTATAGGCTAAAGCCAGCACCTTGAATTGTGCCCGGTAGCAGATTGGCAGCCAGTGGAGCTGGCTCAGCAGAGGAGTGGTATGCTCCCTGAGTGCCGCTCCTGTTAGCAACCTGGCTGCCGAACGCTGGACCATTTGAAGCTTCCGAGCAGTCTTCAAGGGCAACCCCACGTAGAGCGCGTTGCAGTAATCAATCCGGGATGTAACCAGAGCATGGACCACCGTGGCCAAATCAGACTTCCCAAGGTACGGGCGCAGCTGGCGCACAAGTTTGAGTTGTCCTGTCCACCAATGTTCCGTTTTCCGTTCTTAAGTTCAGAGTAGAGCAACTGCTTTGGGAGACGGTGGTCAGGCATCCGGACAACGTGGCCGGCCCAGCGGAGTTGATGTTGGAGGACCATCGCTTCAATGCTGGTGGTCTTTGCTTCTTCCAGCACACTGACGTTTGTCCGCTTGTCTTCCCAAGAGATTTGCAGGATTTTCCGGAGGCAGCGCTGATGGAATCGTTCCAGGAGTTGCATGTGACGTCTGTAGACAGTCCACGTTTCACAGGCATATAGCAGGGTTGGGAGGACAATAGCTTTATAGACAAGCACCTTGGTATCCCTGCGGATACCAAGATAATCACAGATTATCTGCTATGAACTGGATTATATGAGCCTACACTGCCATATGATCCAGTTCATGATGATACTCAAGAAGATAAAATAAATGAAATAAAGAACAAATGGATTGTTGAGATTAACTTCACAATTCAGCAGCAGATCAGTTGCACAACTTCAGCACTTTCCAGTAGCTTCTTCCTGCACAGTATTTTCAGTCAACTGCTCCCACAAACTGCAGTCACGCTGGAACTCTTTTACAGACACTTGAGCACATGCCCAGCCATTGTCAGTTTTACCATTGTCTTTCCCCTCCAATCTAGATGATATTACAAACTTACCACAGCATACAGTTATATCTTGTCTTAGCAGACAGGTTCTTTAATTACATATAGCCTTCAACGAACAACATCACAGCACAAGGAGAGATATACACTGTATATGACTTCCTTATATACAATTCTATACAATTACACATAGCAATCTCTGATTGGTTCCCAACTCATTAACTTAACTCAGACCCAGGATTACATCATTCACAATCACCTGGACTAGGCCAGAACACATTCCCCAAATGATTCCCTATATACAGTTAATGCATGACTCAGCATTTCCAATAGAAGCCTATTAGCAGTGCATGACTCAGCTATATTATATTACAATACATTGTAAAACCTGACGTGGATGATGTAGACAGACTGGGTTAAAAAGGGAAGCCAACATAAGCATGTTACGGAAATTAAGAAAACTGTGTGCATGGTTAAAGATAGTAGTATAAAATAAATATGTGGTCAGAGGGAGGGAGGCGGGATGGGCAACACAAGTGACTTCAATGTCAAAAAATGAATTAAATGTTAATTGATATATATATATATATATATATATATATATATATATATATTTGAAAATAATAAAAGTGGAGGCTCTTTCTTTGGAAGTTTTTAAACAGAGGCTGGATGGCCATCTGTCAGGGGTGCTTTGAATGCAATTTTCCTGCTTCTTGGCAGAATGGGGTTGGACTGGATGGCCCAGGAGGTCTCTTCTAAGTCTAGGATTCTATGATTCTTTGGAGACTTTTAAACAGAGGCTGGATGGCCATCTGTCAGGGGTGCTTTGGCAATTTTCCTGCTTCTTGGCAGAATGGAGTTGGACTGGATGACCCATGAGGTCTCTTCCAACTCTAGGATTCTAGGATTCTATATCATGCAACATATGTACAACTGTTAAGGCTGTTATGCCTTAACAGTACAAAAATTGTCATAAAAATAATAATCCAGTTCAAAGAAGATACTCTGGATTATATTACTTACTTATTTACTTAGGCAATCCCTTGTAGTTCGAGGATGATGGTCTTCCAGATGTGGTCTCCTGGTGGTGGGTCCGTAGGTGACTGCGGAGCCCAATCCTTGACCTGCATCTTCTCCCACAGTGAGGACATTGGTTTCCAGGTGGAAGGCAGTCCTGGTCAGGGTTGAGTTGATGCGCCTTCCTCTTGGCACGTTTCTCTCTTTCGCCCTCCATTCTTCAGCACTGCTGGTCACAGCTGACCTCCAGCTGGAGCACTCAAGGGCCAGGGCTTCCCAGTTCTCAGTGTCTATGCCAGAGTTTTAAGGTTGGCTTTGAGCCCATCTTTCAATCTCTTTTCCTGCCCACCAACATTTCGTTTTCCGTTCTTGAGTTCAGAGTAGAGCAACTGCTTTGGGAGACAGTGGTCAAGGATCTGGACAACATGGCCGGTCCAGCGGAGTTGACGGCAGAGGACCATCACTTCAATGCTGGTGGTCTTTGCCTCTTCCAGCTCGCTGACATTTGTCTGGCTGTCTTCCCAAGAGATTTGCAGGATTTTTCAGAGGCAGCGCTGATGGAATCGTTCCAGGAGTTGCATGTTATGTCTGTAGACAGTCCACGTTTCGCAGGCCTATAGCAGGGTTGGAAGGGCAATAGCTTTATATACAAGCACCTTGGTCTCCCTACGGATGTCCTGGTCCTCGAACACTCTCTGCTTCATTTGGAAAAATGCTGCACTCGCAGAGCTTGGGCGGTGTTGAATTTCAGTGTCAATGCTGACTTTTTATGATTGTGAAGCACTGGATGCAATTCTTTGCAGGATTTGTGCCACCACTGGGCATGAAAAGGGTTTTGTCCACATCTTTCCTTTTACAGAGTGTGTGATCGAAGTTGAAGGGCGGCGCGTCTCCAGCGGAGAGACCTGGACGGACAGCACAGACAGCTGCGTTTCCTGCACGTGCAACGTAAGTGGGATGGAGAGGCAAAGCAGTCCTTAGACTTGGCCTTGGACTGAGATCCTCTATCATGCATAGCTTAGCTTCTCTAATAAGCAAAACCTTTCCTGGGTCTTGATATCATGGGTTGTATCTACAGTGTAGAACTAAATGCAGGACTCTGAGGGACTTTGAGGAAGCACACCCCACTCGCACAAATCTCTTAGCCTCAGGGAGTTCTCCCTCATGGTATTGTCGAAGGCTTTCATGGCCGGAATCACTGGGTTGTTGTAGGTTTTTTCGGGCTATATGTCCATGATCTAGAGGCATTCTCTCCTGACATTTCACCTGCATCTATGGCAAGCATCTTCAGAGGTAGTGAGGACTGTTGGAACTAGGAAAAGGGGTTTATATATCTGTGGAATGACCAAGGTGGGACAAAGGACTATTGTCTGCTGGAGCTAGGTGTGAATGTTTCAACTGACCACCTTGATTAGCATACAATGGGCTGACTGTGCCTGGAGCAAACTTTTGTTGAGAGGTGATTAGATGTTCTTGTTTGTTTCCTCTCTGTTGTTGAGCTGTTGTAATTTTAGAGGTTTTTTTTAATACTGGTAAACAGACTTTAGATACTTGCCATAGATGCAGGCAAAACATCAGGAGAGAATGCCAGACTGTGCCTGGAGCAAACTCTGTTGAGAGGTTATTAGCTGTCCCTGCCTGCTTCCTCTCTGTTGCTGTGCTGTTGTTGTGCTGTTGCAATATGCTGTGTCCAAAATCTGGCTACCAATATTAATTGATTGCCTGGCAGTGCCACAGAGAGGAAACAAACAATGACATCCATCACCTCTCAACAAAGGATTGATCCAGGCACTGCCAGGCAATCAAATGCTAATCAAGGTGATCCGTTGAAACATTCACACCTAGCTCCAGCAGACAAGAGTCCTTTGTCCCACCTTGGTCATTCCACAGATATATAAACCCATTGTCCTAGTTCCAACAGACCTCACTACCTCTGAGGATGCTTGCCATAGATGCAGGCGAAACGTCAGGTGAGAATGCCTTTAGAACATGGGCATATAGCCCGAAAAAACCTACAACAACCCACTATTTACTTTACAATTGATAACAGTAGCAAAATTACAGTTATGAAGTAGCAACAAAAATGATTTCATGTTTGGGGGGTCACCACATCATAAGGAACTGTATTAAGGAGTCATGGCATTAGGAAGACTGAGAAACACTGCTCTACATTATCTGGTACTTTACATTCTACCCATTGGAATTCATTTTGTCATCACTTAAGTGTCTTGTTCTAATTTTTGGCCTTTTTTCTAACGCTCAGCTGGGTCACATCGAGTGCCATATCCAGGAATGCATGCCCTTGTTGTGCCAGGACGGGCTGGAGAAGGTTCAGGTGCCTGGGAAGTGTTGTGCTGAATGCCAAGGTAAGAAGAACCTGCAGGTGAACTCCCTAAATCAGTTGTTTCTTCATGTAATCTAATGTGCTGCAATCAGCAACCTATGGGAAATAATTAAGACATTTGCAGGCGTACACATTTAAGACCAAATATTGTGCAATCGAGATATTCATATTGTGCAAAGAGTTTGTTCATTTTCTCATTGCTTGTTGAAATTGCAACTTGCTAGTGACTCTGATACTCAAGAGTAAAGAAAATGAACAAAATCTGGCTACCAGTATTAAAAAACTCTAAAATTACAACAGCAAAACAGCAGAGAGGAAACAACCAGGCACATCTTAACACCTCTCAACAGGGGATTTTCCCAGGCTCAGCCAGGCCTTCAAATGCTAATGAAGGTGGTCAGTTGAAACATTCACACCTAGCTCCAGCAGAGAAGAGCTCTTTGCCCCACCCCAGCCATTCCACGGATATATAAACCCTTTGTCTTAATTCCAACAGACCTCACTACCTCTGAGGATGCTTGCCATAGATGCAGGCGAAACGTCAGGAGAAATGCCTCTAGAACATGGCCCTATAGCCCGAAAAAACCCACAAGAACCTAGTAAATTTTGTTTTTCCCATTTACTTGTCTCATTTTTACTCTTTGTGGGTGAACAAAGGGCTGGGAAGTCTGGACAGGACTGCACAATTTCTGGGTTAGGTTTCGTATAAACCGCAACAAGTGGTACCTAAATTTCCTACTTGACAGATGCAGCTGTCTTTTGGGCTGCAAAGGTCAACAGCAAGCTAGACAAATGTTCGGGAGCTTACTCCAACCCGGGCTGGCTTCAAACTCATGACCTTTCGGTCAGTAGTGATTTTAATGCAGCTGACTCCCAACCAGGTTCGTCACAACCTGGTCTTTCCTCGATCTGGACACTAGACTCCTTTTTGGTGCAACCCAAAATCCATTAGCTTTTTGAGTTGCTGCAACACACTCTTGGCTCATGTTCAGCTCGTTCTCCACCAAGATCTTTCTCCAAGATGTTCTCCAAGATCTTTCTCACATGGACTGTTGTCGAGCCAGGCGTCACCCATCCCGTATCTTTGCATTTCATTTTCTTCTGCCTAACTTTCTTCTGCCTAACTTTCTTCTGCCTATTATTCCATCCTGTTGAGTCTCTTCCCTCCCTGTTTGCAGATCCAGGGCACAGCTGCTCTTACCAGGGCCAGACCCTGCAATCCAATGACCATTGGCAGGTGGACGAATGCACCACCTGCACCTGCCTCTCCGGAGAGGTGCACTGCCGGACTGAACGCTGCCCGCCAACCGCCTGTGCTGCTGTAAGTCAATGAGAGAAGGTTGGGGGGGGGGGATATTGCACCCACTCCAACAACCTGGACTCATTGACCCACTGCCTTAGGGTGCATCTATAGCAGGTGTGAGCAAACGTCATCCCTCCAAGTGTTTTGGACTTCAACTCCCACAATTCTTAACAGCCAGTAGTCCAAAACACTTGGAGGGACGAAGTTTGCACATGCCTGATCTGTAGTGTTGAGTGAAGGATTCCCCATCTCATTTTGAATCTACAATTCCTCCTGTTGGAGTTCAGCCTGTGATTGTGTTTCAGGATCAGGGTGCTTTGGATGAAGGGAGTGATGTCAATGAGGTTCAAGATGAATTTCAAGATGGCAATGGTTTGGTCAGTGATATTAATGCAGAGAATGACCAGGAGATCCCTGTAGTTTCCTATGAGAATGTCCCTGAGGGGGTGTGGGGATGCACCTGTAAAAATTAATGAGCAAATATTATTTATTTATTTTATTTCAAAGTTTTATATACCGAGCTTCTCACCTCATAAGAGGGACTCAGCCCGGTTTCCAACCATAAAAACACATACAATTGGTAAAATATCAAAATACACATTACAATAAAACATTTTAAAAGCACATATATTTAAAGCTACAGTGGTCAGCCGTCATACTAAAATCGAATATACACCGTCTTCCATCCAAATCATTGTCTCATTCTTCGAAAGCCTGTCTCCATAACCATGACTTCACCTGTTTCCTGAATGTCAGGATTGTTGGGGCGGTTCTAACCTCTGGTGGGAGAGAGTTCCAGAGTCGCGGGGCCACCACCGAGAAGGCCCTGTCCCTCGTCCCCACCAGCCGCACTTGTGAGGCGGGTGGGACTGAGAGCAGGGCCCGTCCAGACGATCTTAGTAATCTTGATGGTTCATAGGGGAGAATACGTTCAGAGAGGTATACCGAGCCGAAGTCATTTAGGGCTTTATAGGTTAACACCAGCACTTTGAATTGTGCTCAGAAGCTAATTGGCAGCCAGTGGAGCTGGTGTAACAGCGGAGTGGTGTGCTCCCTGTACCCAGCACCTGTTAGTAATCTGGCTGCCGCACGTTGTACTTGCTGCAGCTTCCAGGCAGTCTTCAGAGGCAACCCCACGTAGAGAGCGTTGCAGTAGTCTAAACGGGATGTAACCAAAGTGTGGACTACCGTGGCCAAGTCAGATAATGAGCCAAGAGAGCAAAGAGATAACGAGCCAAGTGATAGACGAGAAGAGTTCTGTCAAAACAGGAGGGCTGAGCAAAGGCTTAGGCGATCTGCCAGGCTTCGGCAGAAAACAATAACAAAGCCTCAACTAATGAGAAACCAATTTCTGACCACTAGTGACCTAGGTAACGAGGGAATAAAAGTCTCAAATTTGGGGTGTGTAGTCAGATGAAGCATCATTTAGAATCACGCTGAGTTCTTGTCCTTGTTTTATTGAAACCTTGCTTTGAAGTTTCATGCTAAGATATTTCTGGTTCATGGTTTTGGCTTCCTGTATTTCATGATTGCTTACCCAAGCCTTGGATCAATGTATTCCTGATTTTCTGGATTGTATTGGAGATGTGTGGGCTTTGCTTTTATGGACGTTGCTGAACTCTCCCTTGGACTAATTTGTTCCTGCTTATCTTCTTACTTAATTGGATTTACCTATTTCTTTTTTTTTTTTAATTATTTATTTATAAGTACATCCAAGTAAATACAACACAAAGTGACATCACAAATACATACATTACTGACATACATAGAACAACACTAAGTGGGGGAGGGGGCGGGAATTTATAACATCATTAGATGATGCTAGGGGCAAACCCAAGGAAGGGGCGGGGGGGTTTGGAGGGCGGGCTGGAAGAGGGAAAGAGGGTGTGAGGTGTGGGGGAGAGGGAGGTGGGGACTTCCAGGTGTCTCCAGATGGGCTCTATTTTTTTTTTCCACGTTAAATTCCATTGCCCGGGGGGTCATCCCCCTCCTTATCTACTGTTGCACTAGGTTTTGTGTTACTTTTTAAATATATGTCTATAAATTTACCTCAATGTATTTTACATTTCCATTAAGTATATTTCTTTATTTCTTTCCCTTATAAATTCTATCACTGCACTCCAGTCTGTTCTTTGGGGTTTCGTATAGTTTTGGGAAATCCTTTGAGTCAGGATGTCCATAGACATTACATCCATTATTTTACTGATCCACTGCTCGATCGTTGGTAGCTCTTCAGTTTTCCATTTTCTTGCCAGCACCATCCTGGCTGCTGCGATTAAACTGAAAAAGATTCTGTCCTCGTTTTTCTGAAGTTTCACTTTGTGTAAGCCAAGTAGTAGAGTTTCTGGATTGCATTCAAATTTTACCTTAAATATGTTTTCCATCGCTTTATGTATTTGTATCCAATATTTTTTTATTTTTTTACAGTTCCACCACATGTGTAGGAAATTGCCTTTCTTCTTCTCACACTTCCAACAACTGTCATTTACTTTACCTTTATTGATTTTCGCAAGTATCTCCGGTGTTAAATACCATCGAAAATAGATCTTATACCAGCTCTCTTGAAGTTCTGTGGCGTAGGTGTATTTGATCTTCTTTCTCCAGACACCTTCCCAATCTTCTAGGGGTATGGAATGTCCTACGTCTTGTGCCCATCTTATCATATTTGTTTTTATTTGTTCCTTTTCCGTGGCCCATAATAGGAGTTGGTTATATATTTTCCTTATTACTTTTGTTTCAGTCTCTAGTATTTTATCCCAAAATAGTTTCTTAGTTTCAAAGCCTAATATTCTGTCTCTCTTGAAGTTTTCTCTTATTTGATGGTAATTGAACCACGATATGTTGGGGTCTAGCTGTGCTAGTTCTTCTCTCGTCTTTAGTAGTACTTCCTGTCCCTTAGTTTTTGTTAGCTGTTTATATGTTAGCCAGATGTTCCGGGGTATTTCCCTTTTGTGGTATGCTTCATTTGGAGAAAACCACATTGGTGTTTTCTGGTAGAGTTTGCTTTTATATTTATTCCAAGTGTGTATTAATGCTGCTCTTATGGGGTGATTTTTGAAGAATTTCTCCTTCTTTTCCCTTTCCCTCCATAGATACGCATGCCATCCCTGATTGGTATCACATCCCTCTAATGCCAGAATCTTCTCTTTTCTTAGTAAGATCCAGTCTTTGAGCCAGCTTAATGCCGCAGCATCATAGTATAGTTGCAACTCAGGGAGTGCCAAGCCTCCTCTTCCCTTATCGTCTATTAGGTTTATCGCACTTATCCTATGTTTGCGGTTATTCCAAATAAAATTAACTATTTCTTTCTGCCATTTCTTTAATGGCGTATTTGATCTAAGTATCGGAAGGGTTTGGAATATGAAGAGGACTTTCGGCAGCACATTCATTTTAATGGTCGCTATCTTTCCTAGCATTGATATATTATATTGAGACCATTTTTGAAGTTTCTTCTTTATCTCGGCCCATTTTTTTTCATAGTTGTTTTTTATCAGCAGGTTGTTATTTGGCGTTATTATTATTCCCAGGTATTTTACCTTTGTGGTGACTTTTATTCCTGTTCTTTCTTGTAACAGTTCTTGTTTCTCTCTCTCCATGTTTTTAACTATAAATTGTGTTTTATTCTTGTTAATTTTCAAACCAGCCACCTCTCCATAATTCTCTATTTCCCTCAGCCACTTATTTGTATTTGCTGTCGGATCCTCTATAAAGCACACCACATCGTCAGCAAAGGCTTGCGTTTTATATGAGTGCCCTTTCGTTTTTAAACCAATTAGTTCCGAGTTATCCCTTATGCTGTTTAGCATGATCTCTAATGTTAAAATAAAGATCTGTGGGGAGAGAGGACATCCCTGCCTTGTTCCTTTTTGTATTGGGATATTCCCCGATTGTTGGCCGTTCACCATGATGTTAGCCGTCTGCTCTGTATATATCGCTTCGACCGCATTCTTAAAATAATATCCGATGTCCATCTCCCTTAATGTTGCTGTAATAAAGTTCCAATTTACCCTATCAAAAGCTTTCTCCGCGTCGATAAACAGAAAAGCTATTTCTTTCTGAATATTTTTTTCATAATAATCTATGATATTTACTATTGTTCTTATATTGTCTCTGAGTTGCCGCTTCGGCAGAAACCCTACCTGATCTTCTCTTATTCTCTCGTTTAACACTTCCTTTAGTCTAGCAGCAAGTATTCCGGCAAAGATTTTATAATCTACATTAAGTAGCGATATAGGTCTATAATTTCCTACTAAGGTGTTATTTGTATTTTCTTTATGTATCAGGGATATTTGTGCATTTTTCCAAGAGTCTGGTAGTTTTCCCTTATCCAGTATATTATTCATTACCTTTTGTAGGTGTGGTACTAGAGCTTCCTGAAAGATCTTGTAGTATCTTGGCGTAAAGCCGTCCGGGCCTGGGGCTTTATCTCCCGGCATACATTGTATTATTCTTTTTATTTCTTCTTGTGTAATTTTTTTATTTAGCTCTTCTCTTTGTTTGTCTGTTATTCTTGGTATATTTTGCTTTCCTAGGTATTCTGCTATTTTCTCATTTGATATATTTTCATCTTTATATAGATCCTTGTAATAGGTTTCAAACTGAAGTATTATGTCTTTTGTTTGGAAATAATTCCTCCCTTTATCCTCGATTTTTGTTATGTATCTATTTTGTCTTTTCGCTGCTATTTTCCTCGCTAAACATTTCCCCATTTTATTAGCATTTTCGAAATGGTATTGTTTGACAAATTTAAGTTTTTTCTCCATCTCCTCTAATTGTGTTATATTTATTTGTTTTTTTAATAACTCAAGTTGGAGAAAAACCTTCTTATTATTTGGGGTTTTTTTTATTTGTGATTCTAGTTCTGATACTTCTTTAACAAGCTTGTCACATTTTTCCTTTTGTTGCTTCTTCAGTCTAGCTCCAAGCTCTATGAAGTGACCCCTGATAAAAGCCTTCTTGGCATCCCATATTATATTAAGTGGTGTTTCGCTAGTCATATTGATATTAAAGTATTCTTCTATTAGTGCTTTGGTCTTCTCTATATGTGCCGCATCTTTTATAAGGTTGTCTCTCAATTTCCAAATGAATGTTCCTTTTGGTTCTGGGCAAATCTTTAAAATTATTTCTATTGGTGAGTGGTCCGAATTAAGCATCGGTAGTATTTTAGTCTTTAATATATTTGGTAATAGTGTCTTGGAGCTCCAGATCATGTCTATACGGGTCCAAATTTTATGTCTATGTGAGAAAAAAGTAAAGTCTTTCTCATCTTTATGTTGATATCTCCAGACATCTTTTAAGCCTAGCTCTTCCTTTAGGTCCTTGAACCTTTTAGGTAACGTTCTTAGTTTTTTTGGGTTTAATTTTTCTTTGTTTATGGATCTGTCTTTTGTTGGGTCGATTATGCCATTAAAATCCCCCATGATTAGTAATTCTCCATATTCCTGTTCTTCCAACAATTTTTCCAATTTGCTAATAAACTTGTCTTTAGCGTCGTTTGGCGCGTATATGGAGCATAGTAAGATGTCTTTTCCTTCTACCTCTATTCTTACTCCTAAAATTCTCCCCTCCTGATCCCTAAATGCTAAATTCGATGGGATTTTGTCGTTTATATACATCACTATGCCGTTCTTTTTTTGCGGTCCTGCTGTGTAGTACATTTTTCCTAATGAATTTTGTTCTAGTAGATTACTGTGTTTCTCAGCTATATGTGTTTCTTGTAATGAAATAACGCTATATTTATGTTTTTTTATTTGGTGCAATATTTTTTTCCTTTTATTTGGACAGTTAAGACCATTCACATTATTACTGTACAACTTAATTTTCCAGCCCATCATTGTTTTTGTTTTCTCTGTTTGAATCCCTATCTTTCCTAGTTTCATATATTTGTGAGGGGTAATCATTCGGCGATTTTTCTCTGGCTCTTTTCCTTTGGTTTCCATATTCATCTTCTTCGAAGTTTCCTAGTATGTCCAATGCTTCTTCTGTATTATCATATAATTTGTCTATTTTTGGGGTTGGGTCCAGTTTCTCATTTTTTTCCTTGCTTTGTCTGCTTTGTCCTTCCGCTTTGATGTAGTTCTCCCAGAAGGCACAAGCTTTTGGTTCTGAAGTGAGCCAATGTTTTGTGTCTTTCCACGTTACCATTAGGCCCTCTCTTTTTTCCCATTTAAATTTTATCTGTCTTTTTTTTAGCTCATCAGTAAGGAAAAAATATTTCCTTCTTCTTTCTAAGGTAGCGAGGGGTATTTCTTTTAAAATCGCTATTTTATTTCCCTTATAAAAAGTCTGTTCCTTTGAGTTTTCTATCAAAATTTCATCTCTCAATGTTTTTTTGCCAAAACATACTATTGTGTCTCTAGGTGTTTTAAATTTTTTTGCGTATTGGGAGTGAATTCTAAATACCCTATCTAAATTCATTTCAATTGTTGATATGGCCTTTTTTGTAATATTTGCAATTATTTCCATTACTTTTTCTTTGATATTTTCTCCCTCTTCCTCCCTTATATTCCTGAATCTCAATTGATGTTCTTTTTCTTTTGTTTCCAAAATCTCCTGTTGGTTTTGCATTGTCATCATATCTTCCTCCAAGTTGTGTATTTTTTTCCTTAAAGCGCCTTGTTCTTTCTTCATTGCCCTATTTTCCTCAAGCAGGCTTTTATTGTCCGCTTTTAGTTTTTCCATGTCATCTCCCCTTGCATTTAATTCTTCCTTTATCAATACCTTTATATCTTCCTTCATCTCTCTCCTTATCTCCTTCATTTCCTTTTTTATCTCGTTAATTTCTCCTCTTAATAATTCATTTTGACTTGTTTGAGATTCCTGAACTGCCTTAATTTCTGCCTGTACTTTCCAGATTTCCTTTAGTATGTCTTTAGCCCCTATTTCCGCTGTGAGAGAGTTCTTTCTGTTTACTTTTTCTCCCTTCGTATCCATCTCCACTTCCTCGTGGCTCTACTATAATTTTTTCTTGTGAAATTAATTGAGTTGTTTCATCTGCTTTCTCCTCCCTCTCCAGACGGGATTGGTGAAAGTAGTAACAAGGAGAAGAGAGAGAGAGGGAGAGAAAAAGAAAAAAAAAGGGGGGGAGCAGGGGAAGGGAGAGAGAGAAGGAAGGGGGGGAAAAGGGGAGGGAAAAGTCGGGAAGGGAGAGAGAAGGGGGATAGAAGGAGAGAGAGGTGAGAAAAGAAAGAAAAGGGAAAAGAAGGAGGGGAAGAAAAAAAATTCTTTAATTCAGCTGTTTCTTTGCGTACATGGATCTCGTCTCGCGTTTTGTCTAGTAAGGTATCGGCTCCCAGTATAATCGTTGCGCGTTCTCTTTTGAGTCAGTGCTTAAGGTCATTTGCTGTTTGAGTTTGTTTGCGTAGCTAGAGGAGATTTGGGTGGGGATAGGGCGGGGAGCTGTCTCAAGTCTAACTTCTCTATTTCCCTCTCGCTCTTGTTTGGGGCTCCTCTGTCACTTTAAATATATATCAAGCCGCGCTAGCTCCTCTAACCCCTCTAGCCCTCAGTCACGTATGTCTTTTTATGTTCTCTGATCCCAGGTGTTGTTCACCGCTGATGTTCTTTTCCGTACTAATAAGCTTGTTTGTATTAGCAGTAAGGTAATACCCTCATTAAATAGTAAACAACAGCTGATAACGTAGACCTTTCACGGAATATTGTGAAAATAAAGATAGCCCAAGAAAAAAGAAAAAAGAAAAAAAAACAATACACAGAGTACAATATCGGCCTAGAATACCCCCCTCAGTGCTTTAACACGTCATAGCCATATTACAACAGTCTTGAGTCTGTAAACCCACCATAGTTTGATTTAGAGGGGTTGAGTAGGCTGGAGTAGTCAAGTCCCTATATTTAGACGTCTCCGACTTTTCAAATCCGTTTTTTCTGTTTTTCTATTTATTTGTTTGTCCTATATTGAACCATACTCCAATTCCCCCTTTCTTTCCAGTTCCGTTTCCTAGGTGTTACTAGGTGTTACGGGAGCGCTTAGTTGCCTTCGTTAAAGTCGAAGCGTTCGGTGCTTTCAATTCATTCAATATATTCAATACCTTCAGAACATTCAGCCCATTCAGTAAATTCAGTAGGTTCCTCTAACGTTGATATCTCTTGTTATCACTTGAAAATTCTTAATGCCTCTTGTGTCCTTTCTTTAAGCACCATTTCTATTTTTAGTCAGCCTATAACATAAACACACATTACATAAATACAAAACACCACAGAGCTCCTTCTATTCGGTTCTGTCTCTTTTTCTTTTCTTTCCTTCCCTCCTCCTCTCTCCCTCCTCCCTCCTCCCTTGCTTCTGTATCTCCTCTTATTTCAGTATCTCCTTAGAATCTCCTTAGAATCTCCTTAGTATCTCTGTGTTTCTCTTTAGTTCTCTTTAGTTCTGCCGAGCAGCAATCCAAAATACTGTGCTATATGTGGATGCAATAACAGACCCCCAAAAGAGGTGTGTTGGTAGCGTCTTTCTCAGAGTCTTAGCGTCCTAGCGTCTTAGCGTCTTTCTCTTGTATGTTGTGTCTTTCCCGGACGCCATTCCTGAGTCACCCCCCCGCAGAACTCCAACCGTCCAGCTGTTGACCTAGTAGCATTTACTTTTCTGGGCTTGTGCTCTCTTACCCTCTGGCGTCCCTTTCTTCTTTAATTTTCACCTTTCTTTTTTTCCTTTCTTGTCTTTAAAATAGCGGACGGCGCCTTGTTCCTGGTTCTTGGCCAGGCAGCCTTTCCACACCCTGCACGACTCGACCATAAGCCGGAAGGAGGGGGGGGAGGGAATCCTCTTAGATCCTCGCGTCTGGAACCCCCGTTCCTGGTCGAGTCTATAGCGCCCACCCGCTTCTCGCTGCCGGGTTGTGGGGAGCTGGGGGGTAAGAAAAGAAGGAAAACCCCCCGCTCTACCAAGGGTTATGTGGAAGGATAGGAATGCCGAAACCGGAGCTTCAGCAATCCGTGGCAGGCGCCTCGGTGCCGCTACCGGAAGTCCTCAACCTCTCCTTCTGTTGTTGACTGTTGGTGTCGATTTACCTATTTCTTTCAAGTGATTTTACTTTGCTGCTTTTTACTTATCTTCAATAAGTGGTGTTTAAAGTCAGAGGGTTATTCCTGTTCTGGAGTGCAGCACCTCCACTGGAAACTAGCAGTTTCCTTATTTGCAGTTTCCATAAGTAATCTAATGGGAATAGTGTGTGGTGGTCTTGATATGCTTTCTCTCGCTTGGCAGGACGAGACGCCCACCATGATCCCTGGCATATGCTGCCCACACTGCGTCCCCCGACCCGCTACTTGTGTGGCCTTTGGCGACCCGCATTACCGCACTTTCGATGGCCGGATGGTCCACTTCCAGGGCAGCTGCACCTACATCATGGCCCAGGACTGCGAAGGGGGAGACTTCAGGTGATGATGCTCTTGTCGGCCCACATACTGTGTGGACTAGATCGACCAATGGAGTGGGATGCACACTGGAATGGTGTTGGGGTGGAATCATAGAATCATAGTATCAAAGAGTTGGAAGAGACCTCATGGGCCATCCAGTCCGACCCCATTCTTCCAAGAAGTGGGAATATTGCATTCAAATCACCCCTGACAGATGGCCATCCAGCCTCTGTTTAAAAGCTTCCGAAGAAGGAGCCTCCACCACGCTGTGGGGCAGAGAGTTCCACTGCTGAACGGCTCTCACAGTCAGGAAGTTCTTCCTCATGTTCAGATGGAATCTCCTCTCTTGTAGTTTGAACACATTGTTCCGCGTCCTAGTCTCCAAGGAAGCAGAAAACAAGCTTGCTCCCTCCTCCCTGTGGCTTCCTCTCACATATTTATACATGGCTATCATATCTCCTCTTAGCCTTCTCTTCTTCAGGCTAAACATGCCCAGCTCCTTAAGCCGCTCCTCATAGGGCTTTTTCTCCAGACCCTTGATCATTTGAGCCGCCCTCCTCTGTCAATATCTCTCTTGAATTGGACACAATATTCCCGGTTTGGTCTAACCAAAACGGAATAGAGCATTGGAGAGCATGACTTCCCTAGATCTAGACACTATGCTCCTCTTGAGGCAGGCCAAAATCCCATTGGCTTTTTTTTGCCGCCACATCACATTGTTGGCTCATGTTTAACTTGTTGTCCACGAGGACTCCAAGATCTTTTCACACGTACTGCTCTCAAGCCAGGCATTGTCCCCCATTCTGTATCTTTGCATTTCGTTTTTCCTGCCAAAGTGGAGTATCTTGCATTTGTCACTGTTGAACTTCATTTAGACGAACGTTATATTCACAGATACAAACCAACTCTTTCCAAACGACCCTCCAAGTGTATGGGATTTCAGAGTAGCCCTTGCAATATGGAGGGATGGAACATAGAAAAGCTCCCTGGGTTGGACTGGGACCCACAGCCATCAAAATGAAATCTGTTGGGTTATTTTCCCTTCCTTAGGCTCATACAATGCGTATCACCCAAATAGGCAAACAAGAATATGGTTTGGGTTGCTGTGCACTTTTCAGGCTATACAACCATGTTCCAGCAGCATTATCTCCTGACGCTTCACCTGGCATCTTCAAAGGTTCTGTTGGCAGTGAAGCAAGTGGTGTACAGTGTTCACTCGCTACTTCATGGTTCACTTACCGCGGACTCACTGTTCCGCGGGTTTGTGTGTGTGTGTGTTGGAGCTCAGCCTGCGATTGTGTTTAAGGACCAGGGTTCTTTAGATGTGGGGAGTGATGACAATGAGTTTCTAGAAGGTAATGGTCTGGCCAATGATACTGATACAGAGAATGACCAGGAGATCCCTGTTCAAAGTGTAGTTTCTCATGAGAATGTCCCTGAAGGGTGTGGGGATGATGGTGTGCTCCCTGAATTGCTACCCAAGAATTCCCATGATTTGGAGCTTGAGAACAGCTCGGCACCTGGCCCAGCTGCAGAAATTAATGAGCAAATAAATGGACAGGAGGTGATTAGTCAAAACAGAAGAGCAGAGCAGTGGCTTCGGTGTTCTGCCAGGCTCAGAGAAAGAAAGATAAGAGATTCAAAGCTAAAGCGAAACCAGTTTCTGAGCACTTGGGACATAGCTTAACAAGGAGATAAAAGTCCCAAGTACAGAATCTGTAGTCAGATGAAGCATCGTTTGGAATCAAGTCAAGATCTCGTCCCTGTTTCTTGGAAGCTTTGCTTTAAAGTGCCTTTGTTTCATGGTTTTGATTCTTGGATTCTATGATTTTGTACTCACTTGCCTTGGATTCATGTTTCCTGGTTTCTTGGATTTTATTATGGTACCTACACTAACTCGGCATTTCACCCTCAACAGCATTCATGTGACCAATGATGACCGTGGACGACAAGGAGTGTCCTGGACCAAGGAGGTGACGGTGATGGTTGGTGATACCATCATGCGCCTGCTCCAGGATCGTGTCGTCATGGTGAGGAAAAATAGAGTCATCATTTTGGCCTCCAAAATGCCACATAGGAAGCTGTGGGTTGGCTCCAGTGCAGAGAGGGAAACACATGTCTACTGAATAGAGTTGGAATGGGTTCCAGTGTAGAGTGAGAAATGCATCTGCTCCACTGAGTAGACGTGGAAGCACTCATGTTCTTCAACACTTTTCTCATCCCTCTGCTCTTTTGCTTCCTTTGCTATTGGATCCTAATGTCAGAAAACTGAGAAAGGTCTGAAAAAGACATCAAGTCCCATCCCCTTCCATATAGGAATCCACCACTAAAACACTCTTGAGAGATGTCCATTTAAGCTTTGTTGAAAGACATCTAAAGAGGAAGAGTCCACCATCATTCCACTGTCCAACAGGTCTTCCTGGTGCTTAGACAGAGTCTCTTTTCGTGTTGTTGGTTCATGTTCTCATCACAGGATCAGCAGAAAGCAGTCTTGCTTCATTTTTAATACGACATCCTAAGAAATATTTAGGGGTGAATATCATATCCCAACCTTCTTCAATCCAAACTTATCAATTTTGTAGAACTTGTTTCCCAAAATATTGACCATCTCTTGGTTGCTTTCCAGAACTTCAACTATCTAGGTTGCTTTCTATAACTTAGACTATCTTGCTTGCTTTACAGAACTTAGACCATCTGGGATGTTTCCAGAACTTAGACCATCTTGGTTGCTTTCCAGAATTTTGATCATCTGTGTTGCTTTCCAGAATTTCAACCATTTTGGTGCTTTTCTTCTAAACATTCTCCAGATTGTCAATAACATTGAAAGGAATCCAAGGGCCATCTAGTCCAACTCCCTTCTGCCCAGCAGAAACATGTAAACAAAGTCCTCCCAAGATATGGGATTAAAGCCTCCAAAGAAAGGTCTGGTGGTTGCTGTTACTACAGATGTAGGTGTATCTGAGCAAACTCTTCCTATTCTCATTCAGGTGGACTCTCTGACCGTGACCCTCCCCTTCCTGAAGGAGCCTCACCTGTACATTGAGCTCAAGACCAGCACCCTCCTCCTGAACACCAACCTTGGACTGAAGGTGCAACAGGGAGGCTGGGGTGGTGGGTACTTTGGAGCTGTGTACAGTGTATGGCAACTTTCCAGATGGGCTTGGCAGAACCAATGGGATTCCAGAAGGTTGAGTCCCTGCATCCATCTTTGGCCTTTAATGGTACCCAAATCTCACCCCTTATTTGCCTCCAATTCATGGGAAGCCCCTTTGTGGGCTATTAGACTTTGAGGAGACATCTGTACCCTTGTTCATCCCTGTCCAGGTTCTCTGGAATGGCCGCTCCCACCTGGAGGTCAGCGTACCTGGGACATACAAAGGCCGGACCTGTGGGCTCTGTGGAAACTTCAACAGCTACCCCCAGGATGACCTGCGGCTCCGATCCGGCCACCTAACCCTCTCGGAGGCAGCTTTTGGCAACAGCTGGAAGGTAACAGTTGTGGGGACTCAAGGTGTCAAGGTTCTATGTCCGGGGTCCCAAATTCATACATTTTTTTCTACACCGAAAATATTTTTGGCTCAGAAGTTGGCTGCCATCCAACTTCCTTACAGTATGGCATAAATATCCACAAAGGGAAACATACTGCCCCAGAATCATAGTAAAACTAACAAAATGAATTCCGACAAGGCAAAATGATCTCAGAGCCAGGATTTCACTTTTTTTTTTTTTGGAAGGTCAGGAGTGATGGAGCAGATCTGATCTCATTTGGGAGGGAATTCCATAGCTGAGGGGCTACCACAGAGAAGGCTCTGCCTCTTGTTCCCACCAAACATGATTGCAATGGTGGAGGGACTGAGAGCAGGTTCTCCCCCAATGATCTTAAGGTGATTCATAGAGGGAGATACGTTCGGACAGATAAACTGGGCCATAGCCATTAAGGGCTTTATAGGCTAAAGCCAGCACTTTGAATTGTACTCAGAAGCTAAAAGGCAGCCAATGGAGCTGACTTGCACTCCAGGACAGGAAAAGCCCTCTGACTTTGAACACCACACGTTGAATAGGAAAACAATCCTTTTATTGGAGATAATTAAAAAGCAGCAAAATAAAAAAGCACTTTAAAGAAATAGGTAAATCCAAGTAGGTAAGAAGATAAGCAGGAACAAAATAGTCCAGGATAAAGTTCAGCAAATTCAATGAAAACAAAGTCTACACTTCTCTACACTTGGATTAATGTTTCCAGAAAACCAGGAAACATTAATCCAGGGCATGAGTATGTAGTCATAAAATCCAATAATCAAAACCATGACACAAGAAATATTTAAGCATGAATCTTCCAAGCTAGGCTTCCATGAAACAAGAAATTAACTTGATTCCAAACGATGTTTCATCTGGTTACATTTCCCGTACTTGGGACTTTTATCCCCTCGTTAAGCTATCCCAAGCACTCAGAAATTGGTTTTGCTTTAATTGAGATTCCCTTATCTTTTTCTGTTGGAGCCTGGCAGAGCGCCAAAGCCACTGTTCGGCTTGTCTGTTTTGACTAATCACGTGCCGTCTATCTATTTGCTCATTAACTTCTGTGGGTGCCGAGTTGTTTTCAAGCCCTAAATCTTGGGAACTCTCTGGGAGCAATTCAAGGAGTAAATCATCATCCCTATACCCTGTAGGAACATTCTCATGGGAAACTACACCTTGAACAAGTGTCTCTATGTCATTCTCTGCATCAATATCATTGACCAAACCATTGCCATCTTGAAACTCATTGACATCACTCTGCACACTCAAAGTACCCTGATCTTGAATTTATTTGTTTATTTATTTATTTATTTATTTATTTAGAACTTTTATGTCCCAGTCTTCTCAACCTCCACAGAAGGACTCAGGCCGGCTGACAACAGAAAATGCATACACAATAAACTAATAACATCATAACGTCATAATACATTAAAATACAAACAGAATAAATACATAGAGCCAAATCGTCAAGAAAGAATCACATTCATCACAATCCCCCAGTGTGGTTATTATTGACTTGCCAATCATTCTGAGAATGCTCTGTCCCAGAGCCAGGATTTCACTAGCTTTCTGAAAGTCAGGAGGGAAGGGGCAGATCTAATCTCCATCGGGAGAGAGTTCCTCAGCCAAGGGGCCACCACCGAGAAGGCCCTGTCTCTCGTCCCCACCAGACACGATTGCAAAGATGGTGGGACCGAGAGCAGGGCCCCTCCAGAAGATCTTAACAACCTTGATGGTTCGCAGGGGAGAATCCGTTCGGACAGGTAAACTGGGATGGAGCCGTTTAGGGATTTATAGGTCAACACCAGCACTTTGAATTGTGCTCGGAAGCTAATTGGCAGCCAGTGGAGCTGGCGCAACAGAGGAGTAGTGTGCTTCCTGTACCCTGCTCCTGTTAGTAATCTGGCTGCCACTCATTGGACTAGTTGCAGCTTCCAGGCAGTCTTCAGAGGCAACTCCACGTAGAGAGTGTTGCAGTAGTCTATACGGGATGTAACCAGAGCATGTACCACCGTGGCCAAGTCAGACTTCCCAAGGTATGGGCACAGCTGGCGCACAAGTTGAAACACAATCACAGGCTGTGCTCCAACACTGGCGCAGCAAGGGCGTTGTGCGGTCTTGGTACCTCGCTCCCGTAAGCAACCTGGCTGCCGAGTGTTGGACTAACTGAAGCTTCTGAGCAGTCTTCAGAGGCAACCCTACGTACTATTTATTTTTATTTATTTCTCATGTCAGGGCAGCCAGTCAATTATATTACATTTCTAACAGAACAAAGCAAACAAACAGAAAATACAAAATGTGTGAGTTTGGTAGTTGATTAAATGTCCTTTGACCAGTCTCTGGCCCCTTGGAGTGCCTCTGGTGTTGCTGCAAGAAGGGCCTCCATGGTGCATCATGTGGCAGGGCTCAGGGTGCATTGCAGCAGGTGGTCTGTAGTTTGCTCTTCTCCGCACTCACATGTTGTGGATTCCACTTTGTAGCCCCATTTCTGAAGGTTGGCTCTGCATCTCATGGTGCCCGAGCGCAGTCTGTTCAGCGCCTTCCAAGTCGCCCAGTCTTCTGTGTGCCCAGGGGGGAGTCTCTCATTTGGTATCAGCCATTGCTTGAGGTTCTGGGTTTGAGCCTGCCACTTTTGGACTCTCGCTTGCTGAGGTGTTCCAGCGAGTGTCTCTGTAGATCTTAGAAAACTATGTCTGGATTTAAGTCGTTGACGTGCTGGCTGATACCCAAACAGGGGATGAGCTGGAGATGTCTCTGCCTTGGCCCTTTCACTATTGGCTGCTACTTCCCTACGTACTGATCTTACCGGTATATATACATACCAATGTACTTTTTATGTGGGCTTGTGCAAATAGGCCTTGTGTTCCTTTACCCCCTAGGTGACCGCCAACAATGCTACAGACCCCAGCCGCAGTTGTGCTGACGGGACAGATGTGGACCCCTGCAAGGAGTCTGGCTACCGTTCCCGCAAAGAGGCCAACACCCGGTGCAAAGTGCTCAAGGGGCCACCCTTTGATCGCTGCCACGCGGCCGTTCCCCCGGAGCCCTTCTTTGCCTCCTGCGTCTATGACCTTTGCGCCTGCGGAGCTGCCGGGATCGAAGACTGCCTTTGCGAAGCCTTGGAGGCCTATGCTGCCGAGTGCCGCCATGCCGGGCTGGTGCTGCAGTGGCGTTCGTCCACACTTTGCGGTGAGAATACGGGCACCATTGACCATCAACCTTGCAGGGTGCAACTACACTGTAGAATGAATGCAGCTTGGCAACACTTGAACTCCATTCTGTGGAATCCTAGGAAGTCAGGCTGGACCTGTATAGATTCCGCCTCTACCTGGGAGATCTGACACTATAACGAACTACAAATCCCAGGATCCCATAGCACTGAGGCAGGACAGTTTGACACCATGACACAATGAGTATGGGATCCTGAGATTTGTGGTTCGATGAGGCAACAGCACTCTTTGGCAGAGAATGCGAAAGACCTTTAAAAAGCACCACACACCCCTTGGTTCAGCCTCGATTTATAATAGACAGTTAACCCTTGGAGAAAACCTTTCCTAGATTATAGAAATGTAAACGCCTTATCATAAAATCATAGAATCAAAGAGTTGGAAGAGACCTCATGGGCCATCCAGTCCACCCCCATTCTTCCAAGAAGCAGGAATATTGCATTCAGATCACTCCCGACAAATGGCCATCCAGCCTCTGTTTAAAAGCTTCCAAAGAAGGAGCCTCCACCACACTCTGGGGCAGAGAGTTCCACTGCTGAATGGCTCTCACAGTCAGGAAGTTCTTCCTCATGTTCAGATGGAATCTCCTCTCTTGTAGTTTAAAGCCATTGTTCCCTTGCGTCCTAGTCTCCAAGGAAGCAGAAAGGAAGCTTGCTCCCTCCTCCTCCCTGTGGCTTCCTCTCACATATTTATACATGGCTATCACATCTCCTCTCAGCCTTCTCTTCTTCAGGCTAAACATGCCCGGCTCCTTAAGCCGCTCCTCATAGGGCTTGTTCTCCAGACCCTTGATCATTTTAGTCGCCCTCCTCTGGACACATTCCAGCTTGTCGATATCTCTCTTGAATTGTGGTGCCCAGAGTTGGACACAGTATTCCAGGTGTGGTCTAACCAAGGCGGAATAGAGCATGGGGAGCATGACTTCCTTAGATCTAGACACTAGGCTCCTATAGATGCATGCCACAATCCCATTGGCTTTTTTTGCCGCCACATCACATTGTTGGCTCATGTTTAACTTGCTGTCCACAAGGACTCTCACACCAGCTGGACAAAAGGCCTTGGAATTCCTTTTTTTGTGAGCGATTGCCCAGACCTGGTCAAGCAGAGGCCAATTTCCCTGGGAGCACTTTTGCCACATGTTCATTTCTTCTATCTATATATCTAAAAATGCTCTGTTTGTTTGGAGTGACATCATAACTCAAAATACGCTGGACAAATTGCCACCAAATATGGCCACAAGACACCTACTAACCCAAGGAGTGGCCATCACTCAAAAGAATTGATTTTGTCATTTGGGAGTTGTAGTTGCTGGGATTTATAGTTCACCTACAACCAAAGTGCATTCTGAACTCCACCAACGATGGAATTGAACCAAACTTGGCACACAGGAATCCCATGACCAACAGAAAACACTCGACGAGTTTGGAGGGCATTGACCTTGAGTTTGGGAGTTGTAGTTCACCAACATGTGTAGAGCACTGTGGACATAAACAATGATGGATCTGGACCAAACTTGGCACAAATACTCTATGCCAAAATATGAACACAGATGGAGTTTGGGGGAAATAGACCCTGACATTTGGAAGTTGTAGTTGCTGGGATGTATAGTTCACCTACAATCAAAGATAATTCTGAACTCCACCAACGATGGAATTAACCACACCTGGCACACAGGAATTCCATGACCAACAGAAAACACTAGAAGGGTTTGGTGGGCATTGACCTTGAGTTTGGGAGTTGTAGTTCGCCTACATCCAGAGAGCACTGTGGAGTCAAACAATGATGGATCTGGACCAAACTTGACACGAATTCTCAATATGCCCGAATATGATCACCAGATCACCAGGCCGGGCCACAGCAACGCCTGGCAGGGGACGGCTAGTAAATATATATATACAGAAAACCTGATTAGATTTAGCACTATATATATATATACATACACACACATATATAAAGATATACAGTAGTAGGTATATAAATATACTACCTTAGGGACCCTGCGCTGCCCGGGTAACTTCATAAAGGCATTGTGTGCCAAGGTTGGTCTTTATCAGTTATTTATGTGGCTTGCAGTGGTCTCAGGAAGTTAGTGAGGGTATTGCGAGTCCCATCATCCATGATTCATCCTCCAAATAGTACCAGGACATAGAGTGGCTCATGGGGGCTCTGTGTGCCAAGTTTGGTCTTGATCAGTCATTGGATGAGGTTCAGAGCGGACTTGGGAAGTGGGTGAAGGTACTTCAGGTCCCATCATCCATGGTACATCCTCCTCGATACTGCAACAGGATGTAGAGTGGGTCATGGGGGCTCTGTATGCCAAGTTTGGTCTTTGTTGGGGGCCGGAGTAGTCTGTGAGAACCAAAGGGTGGGAAAGCACTACAAATCCCATCATCCATTGTCCGTCCTCCCCCAAACCTCACCAGGACATAAAGGGGGGTCATTGGGGTTATGTGTGCCAAGTTTGGTCTTGATTGGTCATTGGATGAGGGTCGCAGCAGTCTCGGGAAGTGTGTGGAGGTACTTCAAGTCCCATCATCCATGGTCTGCCCTCCTCCAAACTGCAGTAGGATGTAGGGTGGGTCATGGGGGTTCTGTGTGCCAAGTTTGGTCTTTATTTGTCTTTGTTGGGGACCAAAGTGGTCTGTGGGAACCGATGGTTTTTAAAGTACTACAAATACCATCAACCTTTGTCCATCCTCCCCCAAACCTCACCAGGATGTAAAGGGGGTCATGGGAGTTATGTGTGCCAAGTTTGATCCAGGTCCGTCACCCATGCTGGTCACAGTGGCCTGTGAAAGTGGGAGCCAATCTGAAATACACCATCCTCCCTCCGCATACAAACACTGACTTTTATTATATACGTACATACATACATGTGTGTGTTATCTATCTATCTATCTATCTATCTATCTATCTATCTATCTATCTATCTATCTAGTCCAGGGGTCCTCAAACGTTTTAAACCGGGGGCCAGTTCAATAAAAAAATTCCTTTGCACATTGCACATATCTTATTTTGCAGTGTGAAAGGGTTCTTTCTAGCCCTCGTTAGGCAGTAATTCCAGGAGCAGAGAATGGGAAATCTTCCTATTTCTAGTCTGAACAAAATCTGGCTGCCAGTATTTAAAAAAACTCTAAAATTATAACTGTAAATAAAAAACAAACTCAAACACAGGGGAACTCCAGACAAGAAACAATCTGGGCCAGCTAATCACCTCTCAACAAAGGATTCTCCCTAAAAAACTGTCAGGCTATGAAATGGTCATCAAGGTGGCCAATTGAAACATTCATACCCACTAGGCCTGGGTAACAACGGAAAAATTTGTTTCTAAAATCGATTCGTTTTTTGGGGGGGTTTGCGTTTCGATATTTAAAAGAATTCCGAAATTTTTCTTTTAAAAAGTTCGATATTTACGAAATTTCGTAAATGTTAAAAAAATTACGAAACATTAACGAAACAAATACGAAACAATAACAAATCGATTCGTTAATGGCGGACGCGACCGCGCAATACGCTAAAAAACCTCCAAATGGGACAGGGGGAACTTCTGAAGCTTCCCTCTCCCTCTGTTGTTGACTGTTGGTGTGATATTTATAATTTTTTTTCACTAATTAAACAAAAAACAACTATAAAACTTGCCCCAGACATGCGGAAATAATAACGAAACAACCTCAAACCAATAACGAAACGAATACATAACGAAATACGAAGCATTTACGAAACGAATTGAAAAATTCGTTTCGTTTTTAAGTTGCTCCAGAATGGTTCGTTATCGCTTCGTTATCAAAAAAAATAACAAATTTTTAACGAATTACAAATTAACGAAATGAAACCGCCCAGCCCTAATACCCACCTCCAACAGACAAGAGTTCTTTCTCCCACCCTGGATCTTCCACAATTGTCCTAGTTCAAGGTTTTGCTCTGACATGAAGTCCAGTTGTGTCTGACTCTGGGGTGTGGGGCTCATCTGCATTTCTAAGTCAAAGAGCTGGCATTGTCCATAGACACCTCCAAGGTCATGTGGCCGGCATGACTGCATGGAGCGCCAGTGCAGCCTCCCTTGACTGGCTCACGCTACCCATCGCGCTCATCTGCATTTCTAAGTCGAAGAGCCGGCATTGTCCGTAGACACCTCCAAGGTCATGTGGCCGGCATGACTGCATGGAGTGCCAGTGCAGCCTCCCTTGACTGGCTCATGCTACCCATCGCGCTCATCTGCATTTCTAAGTCGAAGAGCCGGCATTGTCCGTAGACACCTCCAAGGTCATGTGGCCGGCATGACTGCATGGAGTGCCAGTGCAGCCTCCCTTGACTGGCTCCATCAGACCCGATGGGCAGCGTGAGCCTGCCAAGGGAGGAGCAGCACCATGTGGACTATTCACGTGTAAAGCACCTCGTGAAGTGCTTTACGCACGAGTAGACCATGCAGAGCAGCTGCCCTTGGCTGGCTCACGCTGCCCATCAGGCCTGACGGATAGTATGAGCCAGCCAAGGAAGGAGCAGCACCGCGCGGACTACTCACGCGTAAAGCACCTCGCGATGTGCTTTACGCACGAGTAGGCCATGCGGAGCAGCTGCTCTTGGCTGGCTCACACTGCCCATCCAGTCTGACGGATAGCGTGAGCCAGCCAAGGGAGGAGCAGCACCGGTGACCTACTCGCACGTAAAGCACCTCGCGAGGTGCTTTACGTGCGAGTAGGCCATGCGGAGCAGCTGCCCTTGGCTGGCTCACGCTGCCCATCGGGCCTGACGGATAGCGTGAGCCAGCCAAGAGAGGGCACTGTGGGAGGGGGGGCGCTCCTCCACGGGCCGGATAAGTGCCCTTGGCGGGCCGGAAGTGGCCCACGGCCCGTAATTTGAGGACCCCTGATCTAGTCCATGCTGCTGCTAGTCCTGGCGTAGGGTGACCAAGACTTGGCCCTTTTACACAATTTCAGCCTGATGTCCTTAACAAATTACAGACCCCCAAGCTCTAGGTCAGTGGTTCTCAACCTTCCTAATGCCGCGACCCCTTAGTACAGGTTCTCACCTTGTGGTGACCCCCAACCATAACGTTATTTTCGTTGCTACTTCTTTAATTTTGCTCCTGTTATGAATCGTAATATAAATATCTGATATGCAAGATGCATTTTCATTCACTGGACCAAATTTGGCACAAATACCTGATATGCCCAAATTTGAATACTGGTGAGGCTGGAGGGGATTGATTTTGTCATTTGGGAATGTTGGAGTTGCTGGGATTTATAGTTCACCTAAAATTAAAGAGCCTTTTGAACTCCACCAATGATGGAATTGAATCAAACTTGGCACACAGAATTCCCACGCCAAGAGAAATACTGGGAGAGTCTGGTGGACACTGACCTTGAGAATTTGGAGTTGTAGTTCAACTACATCCATAGAACACTGTGGACTCAAACAGTGATGGATCTGGATCAAACTTGGCGCAGATAATCAATATGCCGAAATATGAAAACTGGTAGAGTTTGGAGAAAACAGACCTTGCCATTTGGGAGTTGTAGTTGCTGGGATTCATAGTTCACCCACAATGAAATAGCATTCTGAACCCCACCAATGATAGAATTGGACCAAACTTCCCACACAGAACACCCATGACAAAGAGAAAATACTATGTTTTCTGATGGTCTTTGGTGACCTCTCTGACACTCCCTCGCGACCCCCACAGGGGTCCCGACCCCCAGGTTGAGAAACACTGCTCTAGGTCCTTTTGATTGGGGAGATAGTGGTGTTTGAGTACAGTGTCACGCTCTCGGGCCGTTGTGGGTTTTAGGATTTTGGGCGGGTGGGTGCTCAGCCTGTGCCAGACCCCACGATGGCAGGCTCCCCAGCTCACGGCGTGGGTCTTCTCTCTGTCTCTCCACAGCGGTGGGCTGCCCCCAGGAGCGAGGCTACGTCTTTGACGAATGTGGTCCCCGCTGCCCAAAGACCTGCTTCAACTGCGCTTTGCCGCTGGGAGTCATGGAGTCGCACTGCTTCAAGCCCTGCGTGCCAGGGTGCCAGTGCCCGGCCGGATTGGTGGAGCACGAGGCGCACTGCATCCCGCCCGAGGCCTGTCCCCGTGTCATTCACGGCGCGCTGTGACCGCAGGATGCATCTGCACTGTGGAACGAACGCAGTTTCGCACCTCTTTTACCTGTCATGGCTCAATGGAACCCTGGGAGCTGTAGTTCAATGAGGCTCCATCACTATTTGGCGGAGAAGGCAAAAGACATGGTAAAGCTCAATGCTATGAAATCCTGCAGTTTGACACCAGTTGGAAATGTTATGGCTCAATGCTATGGTATCTTGGGAGTTATAGTTTGACAAGGTCTTTAGCCTTCTGTACCAAAAGCATAAAGGCCTCGCCATCCTCATCCTGGGAGATGTAGTTTTACAAAAGTTTTAGCTTGCCAAAAAGCAGGCTAGGACCTCACCATCATCATCCTGGGAATTGTAGTTTTACAAAGCTTTTAGACACCCAAAAGTATGCTAGGGCCTCACCACCCTCATCCTGGGAGTTGTAGTTTTATAAAGGTTTTAGACACCCAAAAGTATGCTAGGGCCTCACCATCCTCATCCTGGGAGTTGTAGTTTTACAAAGGCTTCTGTTAGCAGAGTCTTTCTTTATTATAAATTCATAGTGGAAAACATCAAAAGTAAGAAAACAAACATCTTGCATCAGATATCAGACCCTAAACAAAACATTTAGAGTCCCAAACTCCAAAACGCCATAGCTTCTCCAAAAGCTCAAGGCTATAGCAATAGCAGAACGCTGAGGGACGCTGAAAGCTGCTGAAGGCTGCTGCTGGCTGCAGGCAGATGCAACACATTATAACCACAGTAATTAGATCCACCTGCACCCAATTAACCAAAACCACATCACAAGCATTTCAGCAATTAAAGATACAAACTTACTTATACATACATAACCCAAATACATACAATGAACAGATAAAATTTTGCACATTTTTACAGTTCTCCTGACACTCCTCCACAAAATTATATCAGTTCATATTTATATAATTATAAATTCAGTCTTTCACAAAATTGGTTATGTTTATCACATGTAAGAGGCTTCGTCAAAATATCTGCAACATTTTCAACAGAAGACACATAGTTAAGAACAATTCTTTTGTTCTTTACAAATTGTTGCACGTTAGAATATCTAACATTGATATATCTAGATTTTGTTTTTAAATTTTGACTCTTACACAATGCGATGCAAGTTTGAGAATCTACATACACCTGTATTGGTAATTCCAAATCAATGTTCATATTTTTAATCAGAGATTCAATCCACTCTACTGATGTCAAGGCATCAGATAATGCTGAAAACTCAGCTTCTCCTGTGCTTAAAGCAACTAAGTTTTGTTTTCTACTTTTCCAGCAAACTGGTGTATTGGCATAATTTATTATAAATCCTGTGACAGATTTATTTCCTTTTAAATTAGCGAATGAACTATCGCAATGGATTTCCAAAGACTGTTTGTCATTTGGGCAAATTCTGAATATTTTTTCAGCTGTTTGCTTTAAATATCTTAAAACTCTTTTTACTCCGGCCCAGTCTGTTTGTGAAGGATTTTGAATCCTTTGACTTAGGATACCAACAGAAAACGAAATGTCGGGCCTAGTATTGTTTGCAATATACAATAAAGAACCAAGAACTGAACGATAAATAAAATTGTTATCAAACACTTCTCCATCTACATGTTGTAAGAACTGAAGAGCCATAGGAGTATTAACAGTGTTTGCATTTTCCATTCTGGTTCTTTTCAAAAGATCATAAATCTTATCAGTTTGGTTTAATTCAAAACCAGTTTCATTTCTAGCAATATTTATGCCAAGATATCTATTAACATCTCCAAGATTTTTGATTTTCAATACTTTGCTTAAATTCTGAAAAACTTCCTCAATTTGTTCTTCAGATCCAATACATAACACATCATCCACATAAATTATAATAAACATTTGTGTATCTCCACTTCCTTTTGAGTACAAACAAGGATCAAAACTATTTGCAACAAAATTTAACTTTGTCAACACTTTGTCTAAATGTAAGTTCCAATTTCTTGCACTTTGTTTGAGACCATAAAGACTTTTTTTAAGAAGATAAGTCCCATCAGGAAGATCAGATTCAAAACCTGGAATAGCAGAAATATAAACTTTTTCTTCTAAATCTGCATGAAGGTATGCAGTATTCACATCAAAATGTTTGACTTTTAAATTTCTATTACTGGCAATTGCAAGGGTTATTTTTAGTGCTTCACCAGATACTGTGGGGCTAAATATCTCATTAAAATTTTCTCCATATATCTGTTCAAAACCTCTAGCAACTAATCTGGCTTTGTACAAATAACCACCATCCTTTGTTTGTTTACGTCTATACACCCAACGACAACTTAGAACTTTTGCATTATCAACTGTTTTAGATTTCTCCATAACTTGCAAATCTTTCAAAGAATCAAATTCACTTTGCATTGCTTTTAACCAAAGCTTTCTTTCAGTCTCTTCTCTATTCAACATCTCTTTATAACTTTGAGGTTCAGACCAGTCATGGTCTGGTACTTTCACAACTTCACAATGATATCTCTTTGGAGGTATACCCTTAGTTATCCTAGAACTACGTCTAGGAATGGTCCTAGTACTATCTCCTCCATCAGTCTCATCAGTCTCTGAATTACTAGAGCTAGTACTTTGTGAACTAGAGGATTCAGCTTCAGCTTTTCTCTTCTGAGATTCTGTCCTTTTAATTACAGGACTACTGCTTTGTAACTGACTAGAAACAGATTCTTGCTTCACTTGCACTTGTGAACCAAAATGTGTATCATGAGATGTGCTTGGTTGTATATCTTGCTGTGCAGACTGTTGTGAAACTGATTGCACTTGTGTAGCAGGTTGCTGTGAAACTTGTTGTGTAGTTGGCTGTGTGGTTAGTGGTGTGTGCATTTGAGTAGTGTTAAAAGGCAGAAACACTTCCTTATTTGAATGAATCCTATCCCAACCACTGTGTTGTTGAAACTTTACACTTTTAGAAACTAACACCCTATTATTACCACACCAAAATCTCCAACCTTTTGACTCAGAAGCAGGGCCTAGATATTTCAATTTCTTCCAAATAGAATCCTTCTTATGTCTTTGTTGAGAAGGAATTAAGACATATGAGTCACTTCCAAAAACTCTGATTGAACTCAAATCAGGAGTTTTCCCAAAAAACAATAAATAAGGAATACTATTGACACTTTTGCAAAAAGAACGATTGAGCACAAAAGTAGCATTTGCCACAGCTTCAGCCCACAATCCATCAGATAAATTAGCATCTCTTAACATTTTTCTAGCTACAATTTTTAGAACACCTATCCACCTTTCTGCAACCCCATTTTCACTAGGTGAGTAAGGATTTGTTAACCTGTGAACTATGCCAAACTTTTCAAGCAAATGTTTCATTTGTTTGGACATAAACTCTGCACCACGATCACTTTGAAAAGCCTGTACTGGATACTCAGGAAACTGTGTTTGCATTAGCTTCAGCCAAGCAGAAATTTTCTGAAAAACTTCACCTTTAGTTCTTAGAAAGAAGGTGAATTTCAACCTAGAAAAATCATCCACCAAAATCAAAAAATATTTTGATCCGCCTACAGAAGTAGGATGAGGACCAGATACATCAATATGTATAAGCTCTAAGATCCTTTTTGAAACTCTAGCACTGTATTTTGCTATAGGAGCTTTCTTAAGATTTTCTGCTGCACAAATTTCACAATCTAGAAAATTCTTACATCCTTGAATAGGAATTTTACACAACTCAGCTGTTTGTCTTAGATACTGCCATGACAAATGACCCATTTTCCTGTGAAATTCATGAATACATTTGTCGTGTAATGGCCTGGGATTATCAGGTATCTGCTTAATGCAAGCTGACACATTTTTAGCAGACTTTAAAACAAAAAATCCCTTCTCTTGTCTCAGCTGTACTTCATTACCTTGAAAGTCAATTAACTTAGACTTATCCTTCTTCAAAGAAATCTCAAAATCTTCATCTAGAAGTTTGTTAACACTGAGAATATTATACATAATATTGGGTACATAGTACACATTCTCAAGAGTACATTTTAGACTGTCAATATAAAGATCACCACAAGAAAATATTTTAACTTTTCTATCATCAGCTAAAGAAATAAAATTTATATCAGAGTCTCTCACATTTGTCAACAGTTCTTTAGTTTTTACCAAATGCTGAGAACAGCCTGAATCTATAATAAAAGAGTTCATTATATCCTTCTTAGAGGTCACCAGGAAAGCATGCTGTAAGTCCTTTGAAGAACTAGGTCTTTCCACTTGCTTGTTTCTCCATTGTCCTTGATTCTGTTTGCAATTCTTAGCATAATGCCCTTTCTTTTTACATTTAAAGCACACAATTTGCGATTTTGGCTTAGCAACACAAGCAGTGTCATTAGAAGTAGTCCCAGAACTTGAACTTTTCTGTATAGGAGCAAAACTCCTCAATTTGCGTTGAGCCTCAAATTCCATAATTTTTCCTGAAATAAAAGGTATCGTGAGATCCCTGTCAGGAATTCCATGAAGAGAGTCCATGAACGCATAAAAAGGGCGAGATAGAGATCCCATCAAGATTAACGCTTGTTGCTCAGGGGGAAAAATAATGTCTCTTGCTCTCAACTCCGAAAAAAAGAGCCACAACTCTTGTAACATGAGTTTGAACTGGAGAGCCCTCCTCATGTTTGAGGTTAAACAGCTGCCTCATAAGAATTATCTTCGAACCGCTTGATTGTCTCTGAAACATATCTTTAAACAAATTCCACGCAGTTTGCGCATGCAGAATATTATGAAGATGCACCAACAAAGAATCTGACACAGACAATTGAAGAAGTGCCAAAGCTCTTTCATCTTTATGTTGATCCGCAGGAGTTAATTGAGCTGGCAAGTTCTCAATTATGTCCCATAAATTCTGAGAAACAAGAAAAGCTTTAAATCTGACGCTCCAACTGAGCCAGTTACTTTCAGAAAGTTTATCAAAAGGGAGTGAACCAACTTGAAGAGGCGGCAAAGCCATTGTGGTATTTCACTTTAAAGTCCCAAAAAGTCCAGAAACAAAAATACTCACTGCACCAAAAGAAAAGACCCCCAGTACACCCGGGTTTAAGCTCAGCCAATTTATATTCACTACTTCAAGTAAAATTGGCTTCTAGCAGTCCAATATCTTTGCAGTAATTCTCTGGAATCCAAACACAGGGTCTGACACACAAACTGTTTTCTTCTTCTTTAGGCTTCTGAAACTTTTGTTGAAAACACCTCTGTGCAAGGCAAGACAGGAAAGCAACTTAGTTGGCCCTTGCTGCTCAGGCACGTAGAAGGCAAATTTTCCAACATAGCAAGCCATAAATCTTCTTGATTTCTCTGAAGGCAAATCCTCCAAGGTTTAGTGTACAGCAGCAAGCCATCACTTTAAACCTCACTGCTGATCAAAACAGCCAGGAACAGAAGATTCCAACAAAAAATGCCTTCAAAAACTTCTTAATGTTCCACCACATATTTACCTCAGACATGCGCATTATGCAGCGTTCTGGGCCCATAACCTGTCAGCAGAG